GTGATCCGTCACTGCTGGACCTCACCCTCACCCACCACTGTGAGGATGTCTTTGATATTCAGCACCTTCCTCCACTAGTGAACAGTGATCACGTTGTACTTCACTTTAAGTTTAGGACACATGGTATACGATTTGTATCTGCTCCACCCCGTCCCAATATCTAGCGGGCTAATATTCCGGCAATCAGAGAGGCGAGACTCTCATTTAAGGACGAGCCAATCAGAAGCGTTTGAGCCATTTCAAGGTCACGGAGCCAAGTTTAACGCATGATGCTTACATACGATCGATTTACAGCGGATTTTAGAGAAGAGGTTATTATTGAGAGGCTACAAGAGATGGGACTACTAAGAAGTTCTTGTACGTGTGACTGCGGTTATCAAATGACTGCAGTAAAGTGTGCAGACCACCGCCGTGAGATTATATTCCGTTGTCCTTCATGTTGGAGGAAAAAGTCTGCTAGAACGGGGACTTTCTTTGCTCGATCGCGACTGAAATTGAGGCAGATCATGATAATAGTTGCGAATCGGGTAATAAAGACACCAGTAACACTGGCTGCGGCATTTGCAGATGTTACTGAAACCTCAGCAGTCCAGTGGTATGAGTGCTGTCGTGATATATGCGCAACTAAAATGACAAGTATACACCAATCATTCTGAGGAGTAGGATGTATCGTGGAGATAGATGAAACGGTAGTGAGAAAGATGAAATACAACAGGGGGCGTAGTATAAAGGAAGATTGTGTAAGTAGCATTTTCGTAAATATACTTGACAGGTATTTGGGATTTATGATAGATCAACTCGAAGGGGACATTTTCAGATGGTCACAAACCGGCAAGCAACCACAATAATACCAATAATACAGGAATACGTGCTGCCGGGTACTACGATATATACGGATGACTGGAGAGCATATAGATGTCTTCAAAGACTTGGATATGTCCATCACGTTGTAGTCCACAAACGTCATTTCGTTGACCCTACAACCGGGGTTCATACTAATAACATTGAAGCGATGTGATCAAGATTGAAGGAGTTTTTAAGACCATATCACGGCTCCAGAGGTCGACTATTATGGAGCCATATGGATAAGTTCTTATACCGTATGCAGTATGATTTCAAAACATCTGAACCTTTATCAAATCTCAACAAGTTTTTAAATCATATAGAAGAAGTATATCCACTGTAATTCATTAGTTTCTTCTAATATATTTTTACTTTATACTAACTGTTTTCTGATTGGCTAATATTCTCAAGGTCATTTAAAATTCGTTCAGAGGTCGTCCCTAAATTAGAGTCTCGCCATCAGAGACTGTGCGATCTCTACTGATTGGTCGGTTGACGCAGATGGATCGATCGAAGACGAATGGATCAAGTTTAAGGCTACATTCGAGTCCGTAACGTCGCCGTTTATCCCATGGTCAGCACGTAAGCTATCGCATTGCCCTCCATGAATTATTATGGAAACCCGTAAACTGTTAAAGCGTAGGAACCACTTCTGGGACTTATTCCTGTCGACAGGTCATGCATCTTTTAAGCGTGAGTACCAAAAACTCCGGAATATTTGTAAGAAAACAATAGCTAAATCCCGTACTACTTACGAACGACAGTTGGTATATGATAGCCGTACTTGTCCAAAACGATTGTTTTCGTATGTTAAACGGCAAATAAAACGTAGTGATAGTATTCCCCCATTATTGTTACACGATAATTCAGATTTACTAGCTGAATCAGATCGAGCCAAAGCTGAGACATTTTCAAACTACTTTAGCGAAGTCTACTCTACGTTTATTGTAACAAATACTTGTCCCAATCACGCCGAGATACCAGCCATTGAATCTGTACAGGTGACTGAAGAAACTGTCCTTCCGTTAATAATTAACCTCAAACCTTGTAAGATACCGGGTCCTGATGGGTTACATCCACGACTGCTGCCATCTCTTGCAGACATTATTTCAAAACCGCTCGCGACACTCTTTAACATGTCCCTTTCACTCGCTCAACTACCTAGGGATTGGAAAGATGCTATTGTCAGTCCTATATTTAAGGATGATCAGAGACAGATAGTGTCTAACTACCGGCCTGTCAGTCTGACTAGCATTGTCGTTAAGTTACTTGATAAGATAATTCGGGTTAGGTTGCTAAGCCACATAGATTCACAAAATCTGTTAGCTCCTGAGCAACATGGATTTCGTAACAAGCGTTCATGCTTGACTAACTTACTTATTGCGAGAGAGGATTAGACAGCAACCTTAGATAAAGGTCTGTCTGTCGATGTTATATTCATAGATTTTAGCAGAGCATTTGACAAGGTTTCACACTTAGGTCTTATGCAGAAGCTCACAAGCTTCGGAATAATAGGTACTGTACAGGAGTGGATAGGAAACTTCTTACGTGACCGCAGACAGAGAGTTAGGGTCAATGGGACGCTATCCGATTGGAAGCCGGTCAAAAGTAATGTACCCCAAGGCACCATATTAAGCCCTCTGCTATTCCTTCTCTACGTAAATGAGTTACCGCTGTTGCTTAGGGCGTCGACATTATTATTTGCGGATGATGTCAAAATATGGAGAGCAATAAGAGGTGAGGCTGATCATCTGGATCTTCAAGCTGACTTAGACGAGTTAGTTAGATGGGCTCGAGATTGGGGTTTAGAAATCAATTCTAGGAAGAGTGTGCTAATGCACATCGGTCACGGCAATAGTTACCATTATACTATTGAAGATAAACCTCTACCATGCATTCAAGAACATAAAGACTTAGGAGTAATAACAAGTCATGATTTAAAAACAACTACGCACTGCAACGTAGCCGCTGTCAAAGGTTTTCGTGCGTTGTGGTCACTTCGCCGAGCGTTCAAATCCTTTGACGAGGAAATGCTTCGAATTTTATATCCCACCTATGTAAGACCACATTTAGAGTACTGTATTCAAGCAGCTAGCCCATGTCTGATAAAGTATACTACCTCTCTTGAGCGTGTCTAGCGTGTGGGAACGAAATTATTGAAGGGTCTTTCTAAACTCCCTTACGATGAGCGTTTAAAACGCCCAAACCTTTTCCCCTTGTCGTATAGTAGGACTCGAGGTGACCTTATACTGGCATTTCGTATCTTTAATTATGATTTGAGTGTTAATATGTCTTATCTTTTTGCTCCCTCCAGCACTAATAATCTCCGAGGTCATAGCAAGGAGGTTCATAAACCACGATCTGATAAACTCAAGGTGGGGTTCCATTTTTCTCATCGAGTAGTCGATGATTGGAACGCTTTGCCCGATCAAGTGGTATCAGCCCCATCAGTGAATATTTTCAAAGAGAAACTGGACCTTCACTGGAAGGCAACCTGTTAGGATTAACACTGGTTCACTAACCTACTATCCTTATTACTGAAGACTGAAGACTGAAACGAGCACAGTAAAACAATCACTGGTACTATTGGTTATAATAATAATTGTTTTCATCGAACCAATCGTGTTCTGTTGACAAAAGTAAGTCACTACAACACTATGCCTTAGTTACGAATTTTGGGTGGTTAAAAATAAGATTTTACTAGAAGGAAAAAAGAGAATAGAAAGAAAAAAGACAGAAAAGAACGCTTAATGTGTCAGGAGACCAATCATGATAACAATTACAATAATAACTATAAATATGAACATTAGAAGGCTTCCGGTATTTAGGTGAAAATAAAGGAAACAAAACAAAACAAGCGAGCAAAGTTTCAAAGTTTCTACTTCGCTTTACAGCCAGCTAGACCTTGGGTGCTGTAAATCATTGATAATCAGTGACATTTCACAAGCCCCATGTAATAATTGTGCTAGTAACCTGTCAACGTGGTAGCTACATGAATGGTAACAGATAACAGCATAGGCATTTGTCCATTTTTAGAATAATGATTGGTGTATCATGCAACGTGTGTCAAAATATTAGATATCAAACTTAGACAGCAAATTATTCTCAGTAGCAACGATTGTAAAAGTTATAGAAAATTCCTAAAAATGTGAATAATGACAAAAGCTGTTCTTAGTTTAAGTCTATATTAACCACCTGTAACCCAAACTGAAGTTCTCATTACTAAGCTATATAAAATAGTGATATGATGGAAAGAAAGTCAATATTCGATTGATTTACTCATTATGAGTTTTATTCAACATTACTTCTGTTTTGATTTAATGTAATTATTACTCAATCTACTATTTCTTTTCTTTTCTCGTATGATATTTTATTCTGTATAATATACGATATTCTTGTATTTAATTGACATGAACTATGCTCTATATGTGATTTGTGATAACTGAGCATTTTTCATGTATGTGATTTCATTCTAATTAATAATCAAAATGGTTGTATAATCAATATATAAATGAGTGTATTTTCCACTAAGGTCGTCGTCGTCATCATAGTGTTCGGGGCTAATAAAACTTCGCTTATACCAATCTTGTGTTCTTACTTTTGCGTTGTGGGAATTGTAAGGTCCCCTTCGTTTCTAGCATAAGTGGTCAGCGATTCCGACATAACAATCAGCGACGACCAGATACAAAACGTAGCATTCGATTCGCAAGTCATAACAAATAGAATGCCAGAACTCTGAAATTCATGGCCTAATTCAGATTTATATTTCCCGACTGACAAGCTGACGGGCTAAAATAGCTGAAACCCTGAGGTTACTCATCTCTGATGAATACATTTGCCAATATATTGATAAAGACCAAAAACCATCCATCTCTTATAAATAAAAAACCCAGTAGACGGAATTCTTTTTCTATTCCGTTCACAACAGCTCACTTTGAGTAAGTGACAAATAAACCATGAGCAAGGAAAGTCTAGCTTTTCAAGGTTTTATTTAATTTCAAAACATCGCTTTTTTACAATGAGATGTTAGTTTAGAGATTTAATTTAGTGCATGCTACTTCTTCGGTGGAATATTAAGTGTTGGCGGTGTGTTTCGATCAAGGACGTTTGTTGTTGAGACGAGGGTTAGATCTCAGTCTTGTGTATGTTGTCTAGGAATGGGTAAGAAATTTCCCACAATTTTCGGATTTAATTTCAGATGGTTGTCTAGAACGTGTACCGTTTGTTTCTCTGATTGCATTCATTTTGGTCGTGTGTGGTTCGGGGATCATGTGTGGGACGAACTTCGAAGCTCTAAAACGTATAGACGACTTTTTCGAAAACAGGTTTTACCCGATAGACGAGTAAGATGGTTGAACTGATATAAAACGAACAGGTCCTAGTTTCATTTGTTATTAAAATAGTAACATTTGTTATTTAGGTTCATATTAGCCTTAACGAGTTTTTCTGTCAAAATTACTTTAGCTAATTAGATTATTATCGTTACTATTGCATAGTACATGTAATATTTTACGGCTACACAATGGCTGTTGTATCAAACGAGCTGCAAAATCTGTTTCGATGCACATAAGTATCTGATGATAAATCCCAAACAGATGCAACTCTGATTATTCCCTTGTTTTAGTTCACAAATTCTTCGTATGCGTATTGTCTCCCGTTCTAAAATCTTGTTTCCGGATGAAGTCTTGTAAACCGTGTAAAATGATTTATGTAACAGAGTGTGCTCTTTTCCGATATTCTTACCGATTTTCTACCTGTAAACGTTAGAGATGAACAACTAGCTTAGCTCTATTGGTAATCATCCCATAAAATCCATGTATCACGATGATTTTGGTAGTTTCTTACAAAATAAATTCAATTGTTTTCCCCTAGTTTCTAGCTCTGAATATATTTTCGTTAAATTATATTCCTCGGATCGTATCTTCAATGTTTAATGTTTTCTACTTTCACGAATACTGTTACTATTTTCGCTACTCTGAAATTTGTCCTGACAATTTTTTTTATCCTAGTAGGTTATGATAACTGAAATCAAGATAGATGTGCCACGTTCTGTGTTGCATTGAAATGAGTGACCACTTATATTTCTTAGTCTTATTTTAAACAACATTACTTACGCCTGTTACTCCTCGCGAAGGAGCATAGGCCGCTCACCAGCATTCTCCATCCAATCCTGTCCTGGGCAATCCTTTCCAGCTCTTTCCAGTCCTTATTCATCCCTTTCATATCCGCTTCTATTTCCCGACGTAATGTGTTCTTTGGCCTTCCTCTTTTCCGCCTTCCTTCAGGATTCCAAGTTAGCGCTTGTCTCGTAATGCAGTTTGATGGTTTCCTCAATATATGTCCTATCCATTTCCATCGTCTTTTCCTAATTTCCTCCTCAGCTGGAAGCTGGTTGGTTCTCTCCCACAAAAGGCTGTTGCTGATGGTATTCGGCCAATGGATGTTGAGTATCTTGCGTAGAAAACTATTGATAAATACTTGTACCTTCTTGATGGTGGTTGTTGTAGTTCTCCAAGTTCCAACTCCGTACAGTAGAATTGCCTTGACGTTTATATTGAAGATTCTGACTTTGATATTGGTTGAAAATTGTTTTGAGTTCCATATGTTCTTTAATTGAAGGAATGCTGTCCTTGCTTTGCTAATCCTCGCCTTTACGTCCGCATCTGAACCTCCTTGTTTATCGACGATGCTTCCCAGGTATGTGAAGGATTCCACGTCTTCCAGAGTTTCGCCATCAAGAGTGATTGGATTGCTGTTCTCCGTGTTGTGTTTGAGGACCTTGGTTTTCCCCTTGTGTATGTTGAGGTCTACTGATGCAGAGACTGCTGCTACTCTGGTTGTCTTTATCTGCATTTGTTCGTGTGTATGCGATAAGAGGGCTAGGTCATCTGCGAAGTTCAAATTGTCTAATTGGTTTTGAGCTGTCCATTGTATGCCGTGTTTTCCCTCAGATGTCGAAGTCTCCATAATCCAGTCGACCACCAGAAGAAAGAGGAAAGGAGAGAGTAAACAGCCTTGTCTGACTCCGGTCCTTACTTGGAATGCATCTGTCAGCTGTCCTTCATGTACTACTTTGCACTGTAGTCTGTCGTATGAGTTCCGGATAATATTGACAATCTTCTCAGGAACTCCGTAGTGTCGAAGAAGTTTCCATAACGTTCTCCTATCTACACTGTCAAATGCCTTTTCATAATCAATGAAGTTGATGTACAGTGACGAGTTCCACTCAATTGATTGTTCGACGATGATCCGTAGTGTCGGAATTCGGTCTGTGCACGACCGACCCTTGCGGAATCGAGCTTGTTGATCTCGAAGTTGGGCGTCTACTGCGCCTTTCATCCGGTTCAGCAACACTCTGTTAAAGACTTTCCCTGGTACTGACAGCAGTGTGATGTCTCTGTAGTTTTCACACTTGCTCAGATCTCCTTTCCTTGGAATATTGATGAGGTGTCCTTCTTTCCAGTCCATCGGCACTTGTTCCTCCAACCAAATCTTCTTGAATAGAAGATGAAGCATGCTTGTAGTTACTTCGATGTCTGACTTCAGTGCTTCAGATGGTGTATTGTCGGGTCCTGCTGCTTTCCCGCTCTTGATTTGTCTGATGGCCATTCTGATTTCGTCGGTTGTTGGTGGATTGACATCTATAGGGAGATCTGTGTGCGCTACTTCGATGTCCGGTGGATTCATTGGAGCCGGCCTATTCAGTAGTTCCTCAAAGTACTTTGTCCATCTGTTCCACTGTTGTTGAGTCTCAGTGATCGGTCTTCCTTCTTTGTCTTTGACTGGTCTCTCTGGTTTACTATATTTCCCTGCTAGTTTCTTCGTTGTATCGTAAAGCTGTTTCATATTTCCTTCTCTTGCAGCTTTCTCCGCCGTCGTTGCTAGTTCTTCCACGTATTTCTGCTTGTCGGCTCTAATGCTCTTCTTCACTTGCTTGTTTGCTTCTATGTATTCAGCTTGTGCTTGGACTTTCTCTGCTCGTGTTCGACTATTGTTAATTGCTGTCTTCTTATTCTTCCTTTCTTTGATCCTGTCCAGTGTTTCTATAGAGATCCATTCCTTGTAATGATGCTTCTTGGGGCCCACAACTTCTTGACACGTTGAAGTTAATGCTTCTTTGATACCTTTCCAGTTATCATCCATAATAGTTTCTTCTTCCTTCAGTAGATCCTGTAGGGCTTGGAACCTGTTGTTGAGAGCTATCTTGAATTCATTGAGTTTATCAGTATTTCGAAGGAGGGCTGTATTGAACCTTTGCAGCTCTGTTTGTCCAGTTGTCCAGTTCTTCTTTAGCTTCAGTTTTAAATTGGCCACAACCAGGTGGTGATCTGAAGCTATGTCCGCTCCCGTCCTGGTTCTCACATCTTCCATTATCCTTCGGAACTTTTTATTGATGCAAATATGATCTATCTGATTCTCTGTGGTGTGGTCCGGTGAGATCCATGTATCTTTGTGTATACATTTGTGCAGAAATATTGTGCCGCCTATGACCAATTTAATGAATGCACACAGATTTACAAATCTTTCCCCATTTTCGTTCCTCTCTCCCAGTCCATGCAGTCCCATGATGTCTTCATATCCGGTGTTGTCCATTCCGACTTTGGCGTTTAGATTTCCCATCAGAATGGTGAGGTCCTTTCTTGGGCACTTCTCTATGATTGATTGCAGCCTCTCATAGAATTGATCTTTAACGTCGTCGTTGCTATCATTGGTGGGTGCATAACATTGGATAGTGTTCATTGTGATCCCCTCCTCCTTTGTTTTGAATGATGCTATGATGATTCTGGATCCGTGTGATTCCCATCCTACAAGTGCATTCCGTGCTACTTTGGACAGCATTAGAGCAACGCCCTAAGTGTGTGGATCATTTTCCTCTTCGTGACAGGAGTGTAGCAGCATCTCTCCCGTATTTAGCCTTTGTTGTCCAGCTTGGGTCCAATGGGTTTCGCTGATTCCCAGTACTGCCAAGTTGTATCTCCTCATTTCCGCTGCTATTTGACTGGTCTTCCTGGTCTCCCACATTGTCCGGACGTTCCATGTACCTATAAAAATTGTTGCTCTGGTTGTTAGAAGGGGCATCGGCCTCGTGGCTTCCGAAGGAACTAGGCTTTCACCCTAAGGCGTCATATTTCTTCTAAATGAAGACCTAACTCCCAGGGCAGAGTTTAAATGGTTTGAGTTATTTTTTGTGGTTAGCGTTTTTTTAGCGAGTTGATTTTCTACGGGATGGGGACGCTAACCCCATGCCCAACCCTTCTCCTTTACCCAGGCTTGGGACCGACAGTAACTCTAGGAGAGCTACAGGCGGAGTTACAAACAACATGGTGTAGCTTTCACACCATTTCAAACATCCGTGTGTAAAATCGTTCTAAAGCTCAAGTCTTCAGTTAATAGCAGATCTTTTAAATTACAGGAAAAAGTGTTTAAACCAACAACTCGTGGTCCATTTAAAATACTTTATCAAGTGTATAATATTTCATTGACAATGTCTGGCAATTATTTTATTGAAAGTAAAATTTTATAAAGTTTGATGACTGTTCAAAGCAATAAGTATATGTACACCCTAGTGTAAACACAACCCACTCATTCAGTAGTGTCGTAGAAGGGAGTGTTGGTGTTTGGATATGTGTAGGAATTAATATATATAGACTAACGAAACTTAATCATTTAACAATGTTTTCCTAAAATTCCGAGTCATTTGGTTTATAGAAGTTTATCATATTTTCTGATCAGACCGAAAATGTTTCAAACATTGGGAATAATGGTGTGTGTTGTAACCATGATCTTTGGCATCATAAATGTTGTCGTAGGAGCGGTCACAACGGGTGACACACGCTCAAAATTCTATCCCAACAAACATTGCATTTTATACGGTCGTCGTTCTTCACGATTTGTAAGTTATGTTTGTGTGCTATGTTTACTCCACTTTTATTGTATGTTTCTTTTTCGTATTCTTTGCATGTTCAATGGTTTTGATCAATTTTGCAAGTGTCTATTTATTTAAAGGTTCGTCAAGAAGCAACTTTACTAACGCCTAGACTGTTATAATTTCCTGTCCTTTCGTAATATTTTTCTATTTCTGAGTAATCCGGTCTTCGTTATTTTCATTTGAGGAATTTTTGTTTGGGCTTGACAAATTATTTCGACAAAGCGCAGCTATATCCTATTTTCATATACTTACTTTTGACTATCGACAAGGTTTTTGAAAGAAACTAAATGAAATCCTAATCGACTAGAACCCTCTGTCGATGTATATTGGAGGCTTTCTAACGCTCGTAGTCTCCCATTTGATGGTTTTAAACGTCGATTTAGTATTTATAAACACACCAGCAATCAACTGGAATCTCGAAAACCGTACTAAGTTGGTGTTATTCAGCATCGTATTTCGTGATGTTGTTACTAGTCCGCTTGGATAAAGTTGATTCCTTTAAGTTTCTGCTATGTTTACAAATCATTCACCAAATAGTAACCTTGAAACTCCAGTCATAACTAGTGTCAAGTAGGGGTAGGTAAGATTCTACCACTGTTTTGAATTCTTTTTAATCATATGTATTGGAATCGAAGACTACATTTCCGAGATTCGTTCCATGTAAAGAAGGCAGATTATGTAATATAAATAACAACCTAAGTTTTAAATTGTTGTAATATCATAAGAACTATTCTAATAATATCATTTATGTCTAATACAATGCTTTCTTTTCGATATAACGTATATTTACAGTTGTTGGGGTTGGCCTACTTGGCTACATTCATTTGGCTTCTTATTTTTGTCACTTTGTCTATACCGGTCTTTCTTTGGGTAATGGTACATATTGTATGTAGAGAAGAAACAGATTATTGGCGTAGTATTAGTACGAATAAAGATGAAAGAGATTTCACGTATACATTTAATCTCACACATTATGGTACGTTTCCATTTGTTGCGTTAATTTAGCACAATAACGAATTTTATATGTAATACAATGCCTAATAAAGTTAAGTTTATGCTCATATGTACACCAAAAAAGAGAACTTCATGCAACTCATTAAAGGTTTTAAACTTTGGATATTTATGATTAAAAAAACAGAAAGAAGACATTTTCCTAGTCTTGAATTCACTAGATATTGATCGGATACAAACAGACCAAGGTATATTTGATTCTTAATCATGTTCATTTTGTTGCCCATCTTTCTATATAGACGAGTATTTCATTTCATCAAAACACTCAGTAGAATTGTGTAATCAGTCATTCCGTGTTCTCGATTGTCACTTATTCGAGAACTGTTTTAATTTGAAAAGTCAGTGTATTTGGCTTCGCGTGCGATTGTTAGTCGGTGACTTATCATCTTAGATCTTCGACTGATCAATATTCCGTTCATCATTTCAAATTATCTGGATTTGTGTTTGCGAAATTGTAATAGCTCGATCACTAATAATGTTCTACATAGAAACCCCACGTAAAGCACTATTCAGTGAATGTGAGATGATGATTCCTCATTGATCTTCCGAAAATTGTTCAGTGCATTGATTTCCTCATTTTTCTAATAGAGCACGGCAAACTATACGGAATAATATCCAACGGCATCACTACACTAATACACAAGGTATATTTAGGATTTTTTAAATCACGTCATTCAAAATACTTATAAGAGAAACTATTTGTCTATGTTACGACATAACAGTGAATCTCTGATGAGGGTAGATAGCAGCTAGTTGCAATTATTCACCGTTGAATTTCTTAGAAATACTGCATGCAGTGTAATAGATGATTAAACAATACTAAAGTCAAGCCTAGGGTTCTATGAGAAAAAGAAGGTAGCGTCCTTTCAACTTGTAAATCTATTGTGGTTGGTTTATACGTCTCATATTTATAATCATTCATTCTGCGTGCTATGTTAACTAGTGTAGAATTTAGTAAAACTTGAAGAGATACCATGCTAGTGCTGATGAAATTTATAAAATAACTCTGAGTTTAAGATTATGATTCAACTTAAGATACACGTTTGAGAAAAAAACAGTAAGGATATTTTACAATAAGATGTACTGATTCACTTCAAAAAAGAGAAAGTAGGTTCAGTGAAGTGGTAAAAAAGTATGCGCTTACAGAAAAAATAGACGTGAAGTAATAAGGCTCTTAAGATAAATAGTGAATAGATGTACAGTAGTGACTGAATATAATTATTACAAGAATATTCCAGTATCTCACTAAGCCTACCTTTCTTTACATGACTGACAGTTTGTGACCTTATGAACCAACATTGTATCTTGGTCTGTTTACGACTAATTTTTTTGCTTTATATCGAGTACTTCATTAGCATCCAACTATAAATGTCTCACATGGTCATGGACTCCATTTCATAATGTTTTTGTGTAACTAAGCTGTGGTCAGTTATACGATTTCTCAGTTCTAAATATACTTGGACTGAATGTCGTTTTTTTAAAAATCTAATGAAATCTTTCAAACAATATTATTTTGTTTTAGGCCTTTATCATAGACCATTAGATACTAGTCTATGGAGTGAATACGTAAATTCACCCAGCGCATTTACACATTTATGTCAACAGGTAAATCATTTTAATTGTAAACAATTATCTTCACACATTGCTTTTATCGTTTGTCTGTTGCAGAAATCTCATTTTTTAAATTGTAATTAAGTAACTTATCAGCATATTTCATGCAAGACCTAGTAATAATTTTTGGTTACCTTTAGCAAATTAGCAGTCGAGTTCTGCAACTGTTACATCGTTGGATCGTGGAAATGTCACTTATATTCTGTAAATCACTATCGTCTGCTGAATTGCCTTTGTGAGACAATCAAATATCGCAGTGTCTAAATCTGACATGAATTTTTACTTATCGTGATAGGTAGAATTATTTGAACATTACCCGTGGTTTTAAAAACAGATTACTCGTTATTATTGTTAATATACAAAAGTAATATTTCGTCCTGTTGATTTCTGATGATATAATTACTTAATTTATATACTATTTTCAGACCTCCACTATTGGACCATTGTTTGCAAGCGCTTTAATTGCTTGTTTCTTGGTGATTCTTGGTTTGGTGAGTTGCGGCATTTTTCGGTGACTTGTTAGTTTTATGCTTAAAATAGCTCTCACTATAATTTTTGTGTTGTCATCAAAGACTGTAAAATACATATTACTAAGTTCTATTACTTTTCATGCATCCTTTCTATTAATCAGAGATCAATGTCATTGATTTCGATGATAGTATTTAATGTTGAAAAATCAGTTTCTCGACACTTTTACTAGATATCGAGCTTAGGGTTAAATTGGCTTTCTAGACCTCGTGATCAGCAATCGTTGTTGTCTTCATCAGCATTAACCAGTATATGTTTCTTTTCAAAACTGTATTCATGTTGCATTTCTTGGTAGTGATTTGATTTTCGTGGTTGTGTTTTTTGAACATAGTACTCTTTTCATGTACGGGTCTATAAGAACCAGTTCTACAAGACATTGGACCCATAGTATCATTTTGCTTCATTAAATGTATCTGGACGAACTGAAACATCACTTGGCTAACGGGGTTAAATATGTCTATTCTATGTCTCAGCTAAGTATGGTTTTGAGTTTCTGTAGTTCTCTAAACTCTGTTCGTAGTCCTCATATGTATGTGGGTGATAAGTTAGTATCTTAATTTAGTGGTCGTCCGCTAGAAATATATATATATATATATATATATATATATATATATATATATATATATATATATATATATATATATATATATATATAGCAGATTAAGAATTTACTGTTTTCTTAGATTGCAAACGTCTCATCAGCCAATCAATTCTTCAGGCCTAGAGCTAAACAGTTTATCTAAATAGCATGATACAAGGAATACAACAATTGTCGCCTTCTTTATGAGCTACAGCTCTCTTATCTTGTCGGGTGGCATGCACTTCATAAATTTGTAAGTTTTTGATGTCTACGTTATTCGAAACACCCCAAGGTAAACACAGTGCCAACAAACTGACTATCTAAATGAAAAGCATTATCAGTTTTTGAGGAAAGTTGTTTAGATTAGATTCAGGCTCTTGTAATAATGTTAAGACTCTTCTCTCCACATACCGAAGTCTAAATAGTCAAGCATTATTCTTGGCCTTCATATAGTAAATGTTATTCATTATGTACACAACCCCTGACTACTGATGAGAACAAATAAATCCAGTCAAGTTCATTAGTTTTTCGTATAATCTTCATAGGCAGTTTATCAAAGGTTGCTTTCTTTTTCTATAGAATACTTTCATTGCCTGTCTATCTACGGCTTCTGTGAGACTGCAGTATTTTTATGAAATCGATCGTTATCGAAAATTAGTCAACTCGTCACCTCAAACAGATCCTACTTGCTTAGAAGAATATTCTCTCCAACCTTTGCTACAACAACCTCTGTCTATGCAGTCTGCCGGTTCGTGTATCAAATCAAATACTTTACACTTTCCTCACGATAATTTAAATACTCTATCGCCTTTCATGAACTCCACACCAACAGGCATGGGTCTCATTTCTAGTCCTAACATCTTCAATGAAACACAGATGTCTCAGCAATTTTACTCTCATAGACCCATGAGACACTCTACTTACTCACACCGATCAACTATTTTGAGCAACAATTACTAATTAAGAAATTGCATTTGTAAACCACCTCGTTCCACGCTTTTACTTCGAAGCATTAATATAATCAAAAGCTTTTCGTTTAATGCCAACTTATCAAGTATTCACAACTATCCGGTCTATTTACTGCTTTGTTTATTCACATAATATATTTTCAGAATTCCACTTTTATAATCCTCAGGTTTGAGTTGCATTCCATATATATTTGTCCGTTTTATCTTATTTGTTTTATAAGCTTTGTATATACTTATTTATATTAGATAGCTCAATGTTCTTTTGTTATTTTTTGCTTGAAAAGCACTTTTTTAAGAACTCATTTCCGTTTGGGACGAATCATAAAACCTATGTAACATTTCTAGTCTCATTAAAACAACCAGCAATACATTCTCATCTTGGGGTATATCTTTTTCTCTCGTGCACCTTTTTTATTAGTTACCTACAAAACCACCATTATGAACTGTAATTTCATCAATACCAAATATGTCGGCTTACAATAAACATTCATTTATCGTCAATTGTTGAAATTTTGTTACTTAGAGTGGTTACATCAATGTTATTAATTAATAGCTTAACGTAATGAAATTAGTATCATTTTATGAATCAGCTATAAAACAGGACAATAAACATGAGAAATGTATATTTAACGCTAAAGTTACGAAGCAGTTACATGGTGCGTATAGATAGCATTCAATCGTCCATTCGCACCTTTCAGTGTGTTCTGCAATCTGAACTGTCTTCTCGAATAACCTTCAAATGTTCTGCCAACGTCATACTTTCGATGCACTGAAACTCTTCACTGTCTGACAGTTGTTGCTAATTCGACGCCACGTTCCTATACACCTTATTCGCAAACATCCTTGTGAGTAGCGTCCACTACACAACTAAAATTACGTATACCTAATAAAAGGGTAATTTAACACCGTATTGGTTGTTTGGGATATTAAATACAATGAAGACTTATCGTGAGAACGGCATAGTTTTGTTGTGCAGCTGAACCACAGCTACCAATGACGCTGTTAAACTAAGTTAATATCAAGAAGATTAATTGGGTAGTGTTACGATCAGGAGCCCCCCAAATGCCCTGGTATGGCCGAGAGTGGGATGGGTTCGCCCTCCCTCTCGAAATACTCTCACACGACCACGCGTATACAGCCTCTGTCAGGGAAGTCCTACTCACTGCCTTCTCGTGGCGCGGGTGTTGTTTACGAAAATGAGAGGACGAAAAGCGAATGTCCGGCGCTATAACCGGATCCCAAACCAATGGTGCACATGGGCCCCAGTATCCTGAGGGAACAAATGGAGTATGAACCAATTTTCGGTCACCGGCTTCCACGGGACTGCATCTCCTTACGATGTTCCACTGCCTTGTGGACTAGACCCTTAGGTCAAAGGCTCGAGGTGTGGCCCCCTAAGAAAACCACCTGCTTCGGTCTGGGCACCCGGGCAGTATCCCAGCATACGCACTAAAACATGATGAACTATTTACTTATGGAAAATATTCTTTTAGCTCCAATTTACACTGAAATGACTCGCACTATTATTATTAATTTACCATGTCATTTATTCACTCTCTCTTATTCCCACTTTATGTATCCCTTTCGACTTAGCAGCTCGCCTATGGTGAAAATTCAGCTTTATCTAAACGTTCTCGAGTCACTGTCTGGTTGAAAATTGTATGTTACCACCGAATATGAGTACTGAAGCAGTTTTTCTGAAACCACGTACACCATTCAAATTGGCTGCCTTCAACGTTCGCACACTTACGCAGGTCGGACAACAGATAGGGTTGGCTATGTCTTTGGAAAGTCTTAATATTGACGTGTGTTGTCTATCCGAGACCCGTATTCAAAACTCTGGTGAAGTATTACAAGTTCGCTCTCCATCTGTCGCTTCAAAAAGCTTGTTTTATGTGCGTTTATCCGGGGACCCTGTGGCATCTTCGTCTGGTCTCGCACTAAGCGCTAGAGCTAAGGCAGCACTAATCGACTGGATCCCCATTAACAGTCGGTTATGTGCTGTTAGATTAGAAAGTTTCATCAAAGTGAGAAGAAATCGGCGTGAGAAACGATGTCTTTTCGTCATCTCCGCCTATGCCCCGACAGATTGCAGCCCGGATGCAATCAAGGAGGAGTTCTACCACCAGTTAACTGTTCTTCTCCAGAAAGTGCGTTCGACAGATATTGTAGTACTAGCTGGAGACTTGAATGCTCAGGTCGGGCGTCTAGGCACAGAAGAGAGTCGTTTAGGTGGCCGATGGGGACTTGTTGGTAGCAGGACAGATAACGGGGAACGTCTACTGCAACTATGCACAGACCACAACATGTTTCTGGCTAGCACTAACTTTCGGTACAGTCATCGCCGATGTGCCACCTGGTGTCCTCCTTCTGCATCTCGAGCCTGGACTCAGATTGACCGCATCGCGATCAGCTACCGCTGGCGTGGTTGTGTACAAGACTGCCGCTCCTTTTGGAGTACCTATCTGGAATCTGATCATGCTCTGGCCTGCGCCAATCTTACCTTACTTTTCAGTGGACAACGAAGTGACCGCCACCAAAGGATTGATGTTAGCAAGCTGGCTGCAACTTCTGTTGCTAGTAAGTACCGAATCGAGCTAGCTTCTAGGCTAGCCACCATTCCACCGAAAAGTATAGATGAGCATTGGTTGCAATTGCATGACGCCATGAAAATGGCGGGTCAAGTCTGTTGTGGGTTCGCGAAACGTCCCGCTTATAAGCACTGGGTTTCTTCTGGTTCCTTACAACTGATTGAAGTCCGTCGGTCTACTCCGGGTGACCGTGAGTTTGACCACAGACAAAGGATGTTACGTAATGAAATCGGGCAAAGCTTGCGTAAGGACCGAGAAGCCTGGTGGTCGGAGCGTGCTAATGAGCTGGAAGCAGCAGCTGCGTCTGGTAATTACCGGAAGCTCTTCCAACTCATCCGAGCCACTGGCAGCAAGAAGTCTGGTGTGAGAGAAACAATCTGCGAGGATGACGGAACGCCAATCATTAACATCCATCGACGTCTTGGACGATGGGAAGAATTTTTCGAAGGGCAGTTCAACTGACCTGCTGCTCCGGCAGCATTGGTCAGACTGTCCTGCCCTGCATGGCCGGTGACGACTGATCCACCAAATGAGGCGGAAGTCCGCAAGCAACTCCAACTCTTGAAACGTTACAAATCACCGGGCCCAGACGACTTACCTCCGGCTCTTTTTAAAGATGGTGGTGACTTTCTGACTAAGGGACTGACGACGTTGTTTACAAAGGTCTGGGAACTAGAGAGTGTACCAACGTCATGGAATGAGTCGATAGTTTTCCCTATCTTTAAAAAGGGTTCACGTCGTTCCTATAACAACTATCGAGGGATAAGTATACTTCCGATTGCGTCCAAGCTATTGGCTTCCGTCATACTTCGTAGATTGTTCAGAACCCGAGAAAGATTGACTAGCGAGGAGCAGGCTGGGTTTCGTTCCGGTCGAGGATGTATTGATCATATCTTCACCCTCCGCCAAATGTTAGAACACCGTCATACTTATCAAAGGCCAACAATCGTAGTGTTTCTTGATATCAGGGCTGCCTTCGATTCGTTGGACAGAACTGTTCTCTGGGACTGTCTATTGAAGATGGGTGTGCCTGAGAAGTTTATTAACATCCTAAAAGCCCTATACACAAACACCTCAGGCAGAGTGAGGGCATACAACCACCATTCTCCATTATTCCATTCGAACAGTGGAGTTAGGCAGGGTTGCCCAATCTCACCATTCCTCTTCAACTTTGCCATCGATGACATTCTGGAAACAGCTCTGACGGATGTAAGTAATGGTGGTGTGGATCTGTTGCCTGGAGAAAGACTTCTCGACCTTGAGTATGCGGATGATATTGTCTTACTGTGCGAGAATGTTCAAGCCATGCAATCCGCACTTAATCAGTTGGCAATCAATGTCCGTAGGTATGGTATGTGCTTCGCACCTTCGAAGTGCAAAGTACTTCTACAAGACTGGCAGGATTCTAATCCTGTACTCACCCTGGATGATGAGGATATAGAAGTGGTCGAGAAGTTCGTGTATCTAGGTAGCTGCATAAGTGCTGGTGGTGGTGTGAGTGATGAGATCAATGCACGTATAGTGAAAGCCAGAGCGGCTTATGCCAATCCGGGCCATCTTTGGCGCCTTCGTGATGTTAGTCTGGGTGTTAAAGGTCGGATCTACAACGCGTCGGTGAGAGCAGTTCTGATCCATGCTTGTGAAACCTGGCCTCTCCGAGTTGAGGATGTTAGACGACTCTCTGTGTTCGATCATCGCTGTCTCCGAAGGATTGCTGGCATCCAGTGGCAACACTATGTTAGTAATACAGAGGTTCGGCATCATGTGTTCGGGCGCAGAGACGATAATGCAATTGGTGTCACCATCTCGAAACACCGACTTCGGTGGCTTGGACATGTTCTACGAATGTCGTCCCAGAGAATTCCTCGTCGTGCATTATTTGCCGAATCTGGGACTGGTTGGAAAGAGCGGAAAGGCGACATGTGTATGACATGGGGTCGTGGTATGAAAGAAAGTTGCAAAGGGCTGGCTTCTGTTGGTCCTTCACGACTCCCTGGCTGGGGTCCGAGAGATGGTGTAACACAGTGGTTAGAGACGTTATCAGATATGGCTCAGAATAGAAGCCAATGGCGATCCTGCTGTAACCTTCTTTTACTTTCTTCATAAAAAGTAGTTGCCTCTTCCTTAACAGAAAGATTTCTTCTGATTGTACCTTTCCGTTCCCCCCATTATTGTTCTCTCTTTTTTTCTCCTTTCTCTTCAAATTATCATTGTTTTGTGTGGCGAATATATATTTGGTGCCCCCTTGTACCAATATTTATGTGTTCAAATAAATAAATAAATAAACGACCAGGAGCAAATGCTGTTCCAAGGTAAATAATGTGCTTTGTAGTTAGGTGCGAGAGCAAAGCTTTACCGTAAACCGAACTAGCATGTAGTGATAATGTATTTTCTTTGGGCAAACAATACTCTTTCATTATCTATGTGAGAGAAATCAGTGGATATTTTCCATGAATACATTTTATTTTATCTTACTTCTGTGCATCGTACTATAGTTTTACAACAAAACGACCGCTAATTTTCCTTGGACATTGTAGTCATTCATCACTGCTTTGTTTTATTTCGGGTGTTTCCGTGATGTACACAGTTAGAATGGGTCACTTTTCAAAATAATTTCGACCATAAGGTCTCCCTCCCGCCTATCACCAGTCATCCTCGTTTCTACTTCTTGTCATTTACGCCACTCACACTAGGTTGTCCGCGTTGTTTTACTTTATAATCGTTATTATCACGTCCAGCGTATGAAGTTGAATTTCCAGTTGCACACGTGCATTGTTTTAGGGAAATGCTGTGCATGGATGAGCAGCTCAGGGTTTAGAAACCAACTGTCAGGTGGGTTTCAGTTTCCAACAAGTTCCAGTGTAAGATAAAGTTTTTTAAAAATACCAACTAATTAGTTGACATAGGATAGTTGTGCCAAGTACAAAACCGGCTTTTAGAAATGTAAGCTGAACTTTCATCCATGTGGAGCTTATATTTATTGAGTAAAAGATTATATCAAATCAATAGACAGTAATGATAACACTTGACTGTACATCAAGAATAGTTAGAATAATCCGCATAATGTAGGATGACCGTAGCATATGGAGTAATAACAAAGTTATTAGTTTTTTATTGAGAGTCAAACAAATTTATACTAGTGCTCAAATTAGAGGTTTCCATGAGTTTGATTTTGTAAACCTTCATTGAGCTGTCTAGATTGGAGGATAACAGTTTATTATTTTAATCGGTGACCATCATTACTTATTTGAAACGTTCAAACCAAGGCCAGTTCAATCCAAAAGACAGAGTAACCCCAGGGACTTTAATCCTATGATAGTTGGAAACCAGATCCCGTACTTTATGTTTTAGCGTCCTGGGAGACATGTACACCACTGGCATGAAACCAAAACCTTATGACCACCGTAGGTGTGTACCCATATTTACCGCCTTGGTCTAAGCATTGGGCATTCGCTTCTCAGACTATTGCGAAAATTCACCCGCTACATTAGCATGGGGGAGTAGGACATCCTAAGGAGAAGCTATAAATTCACAATCGTATGCAAATATTTCTGGAGGGAAAACAAGCTCTCTCACTCTCTGTCATCTCAAGTCGATCAAGAGCGATTACTTTTTCTGGTGACTGTGGTAAAGAGCATAATATTGTAAATTTCTCCAACCTGAAATAAAAACAATATTTAGCAGTTTATTAACACGCACATAATTCCAAGTGAAACCCAGTATATTTCTAACAGTGTTTCATAAAGAAACATAATTCCATTTTTAATGAATATTTTAATAGGAAAAATGTATCTCTCGCATGATAAATATTACAGGTCATCATAAGTTTATCCATCAGTAAATCTGACAGCTATGTATCCAATGATTTAAATAACAGAAAGCGAGTCAAAACACAACTAGGAGTGCAAATACACAATACACTAAGGCGCATGGATACGCCACAAGAATGCGTTGGTGTTGCATATCCAAACTACGAACAAACAATTTACTAGAAGCAATTGTGCACCACGAAACGACAGTTGCTGTCAATACGACACCGAGTATACTTCTGGGATAAAAATGAAATGAGAGTTGTATGTCATTTTATGCATGATAGAATATACAACAAACTTATGTACAAGTAAATTCGAAAGAAGGGAGGTTACCATTATTAAAATCTAAATTTTATATCTGATATTCTTGAACTCAGAAACAACAACACTGGATGTGGTAACTAAAAGCAATTGATTGACGGAACTGTGACATGTACAAATACCTATTAACTCCAATGTCAATCCACATGAAGGTGAATAAGAGCTCATGTAACAAGTAGGCGCGTAATAATCCAAAAGAAACTACGGTAAATAATCTTACCACCGACGTAAATAATTTGAACTGTAAGGTAGTCGACAGCAAACCCAAAACCTGTTTCGTGCTATTTGACACTTACCAACAAGGTGTACGTGTAATGTTGATGGAACTGATGCTCTCTGGCGGACTTGATTCCATGTCACCCAGCTTTACAGATGAAGGTAATATGACTAAGTTATCCGGGGCGCAACTGATATCCTGTAGGAGTCAGATGTGTTTACAACTGATTGATCACTGAGTAGTAACCGAAGGCAAAGTCCTTAGTATTCAGTGAACTCTGTCGATCCAGTTGCAATGTGATCACTTGTCTAAGTGACTTGACATTGTTTACATTATGTTGAGGTGCAAAGTGGTGCCAAATGGTATGAAGCCTAGATCTAGAGTTTCCTGTCGACTACTCCCAACCACCACCTTACTTCTCAATATGCTTCCCGCAATGTCGAGCCACTTAGACTAGTGACCACACGGTATGATTCAATCAGCACTAAAAAGGACTTGACATACATGACATTGGTTATTATTCAGTGATCAACCAATTGTAAATAAATCAGACATTTTAGGTAATACATAAATATATATGAGAAGACGAACAGAATGTGTTTTTGTTGCGAAGAGGAAATGTATGTAAATCCTCCATATGATGATGTCCCCAACAAAAGTGTAAAAGTCTTGGCAACCCTGCCACTATGAGTGGTAGGCGGAGAAATGTGATTGATTAACGTGGGTAGAAGTGATTAGGCAGTACACTATACATCCACATAAGCCCTTTTGCTCATTGTTTTTGACTGTGGAAAACATGGTAAGTAGAATCCAGCAGAACTATCCCATGAAATCGATAAATTCGTTTAAAGGTGAATTCGACAAAGAAGAAATAGGCAGTGCATGCCGATTACTAGGTGTTCTATTTTTTCTTGATACCGTACGTTTTAGGTTCAGTGAAAGAGAAAACTGGAAGCAATATCTGCACAAATGAATACAATCAAGGTTTCTCTTGGCGCAACGCTTAGGAAATTACTGTAAATTAGCAAGAAAGTTTTGTTAAATGTAGATGCTAATAAGGTATAATCTACTGCATGTTATTATAAGACAACGTTTTCGAGTTATTATCACTTATTAATGTACAATGTATCCGTGTTAAAAGAATAAACTTACTTAAGAGAAAATACAATCCCAAATGAAGATAAAAGGCACATAGGAAGTAGGCAATATCCTAATGTTGAAATGACGCAAGTTGGTGTAACTCCTCTAGGCGTCATAACTGATAACAGGAGGTAAATACCCAAGCAACCAAATACACCTAATCCATAGATATAATTGAAGTGAATTTTTCCAGCCTACGTAGTAAAATGATAAAAAAGGAAATATGGATACGATTACCAAAACAACTGCAATAAAGTAATCATAAAACACCAACAATTTACATTTGTATATTAAAACTCACAAACATTAAGGTACAACCAAATAGCAGGCAGAAAACCAAAGGTCCGGCCAAATCTGTATCGTCAAGCACTTCTTGAGAACTTTCTTTAAAAGGAAGGAGGACAGATGATGTCTGAAAAAAAGAAATAATGTGTTGTGGGACATTGTACTATATAATATATAATCTTCAACGCATCTAAATATCAGTGTTTTGCCAACTACATAGATCTTTTTGATATATCGTCATTCGGTTTGTGCAATAGTGGGAGTAAAGAAAAAGGAACTTTTTATGCAGTCGATTTTGAACATTTCGTCCCATATTTCACAAAGAAATCAAATGACAACAATAATATTTTTCTCTTGTACTCTTTCTTATTGATACTTCCACTAACTGAAAATGGTTTATTAGCATGATGACAAAATAGAGAACGACTGGATAGATTCATGTTACTAATTGTGAATGTAGTTTTTAATCAGAATAAAATTACGTCAGCAACTACTATGTATTAAGTGTTAATAAATAAAACTGCACTAAACTGAAATCAAAAAATCCACAATTGACGATAAATAATTAATTATTCCTTATATAAATATTGAAAAAACTACTTACCTTTTGTACAATGTGACTAAAGTTGATACCAAGTTCTGTAACACAAGAAAATACGTAATGTTAAGTAATTATCATCCAGTAATACAATTTAGTATTTTATTATCAGAACTATTGATCTATGACATAATCAGACATAATTGTATGTGTTAGTTGTGTTTGATTGACATAACAAAAATCCATTTCAAAACGCTAATGTTTATAATATTTAAATATATACAAATAGTTTATTGGAATTAATGAAAATCAAGTATGTGAAAAATCATTTCACAAGCAATTTTTGGATTCTCACTTAATAACAAGACAATGCTGCGATTCAATGACTTAATTAGTTAGCAATTCCAAACATGACGTCTATAATAATGAGGAAATTTGTTCTTTAAAGTAACTTGTAAATTAAGCAGAACAGAAAGACATCAGATTGAATACTTATTTTGGTAGAGACAAAATCCTACATACAGTCTAATGTTATAGTGTTATGTCGAAAAATATATGGTTGTATACTTGATTTATTACGTAAACATTTGAACAAACATATATCAGTAAACATAAAATGGAACTAGTTCATAGTAAAATACATAAACTATAACGAATCAGTACGCAAAAGAACCCAGTAATCATAAGAAATGTTGTTTCTAAAACAAATTCACCTGTTTCAAAATTTATCCGTGAATTAGGTTGTCAGCAGTAGTGAAGTATAAGATTGCATTACCAAGTTACATTACTAACTGAATCGAGTCTTACATAACAGCACAAAATGACTAGATGACTAAAAAGTTAGACATGTTGGTGTGGTTATGAAAAGATTTGACCAATTATTAAATTCATTTAATTATTCATAACTATGAACCATTTGAATTCGACTAAGATATGATGATTGCAACAAGACCTGATAATGTAACGTAGATGTCTTTTCAAAAAACATTAATTGATCTTACCTGTTTAAACTCTATTCGGCTTATTTTCTCCCTAAATACACAAATCGTTAGTTAATTCTAGCCTACTACTTCAGTAAAGTTGTAATAAATTAACTTCCCATGGGGTCTACAGTAAATAAACATTGCTGAGTAAATTATGAGTACAGATCAATTTCACTTTTACTACTTATCTTTTGGTAAAACATTCTCCACTTTCTTTTATGAAAATCCATTGAAGGTAACAGATCCAAAGTTACACGATATCGCCTGCATTACATAAAGTGTAATACTTTGAAAATTAGGATATAACTTTTTAAATTAACTGTGCTTAACAGTACTTCTTTGTTTTCCAATGATTAAGTGAAAAACTAGTTTACAGACGTTTTATTTTGTTAAATAACTATACATTCTTGTTAATGTTTGCGGTAAATTCGGTAGTGAACAGTCTCATCAATAACTATTGTTACTGGGTTTTAACAGTAGTCCTTGATGTGTTCGTGTTACAAGCGACAACCATTTACTTTGACAACCTTAAAACTTCTGAAACTAAACAAGAGCGAATTTCAACAAAGTTATGCCTTACAAATACATTATTAGTCACAATTGATTGATCACTGGGTGGTGATCAATGTCATGCGTGTCTAGTCCTTATTAGTGCAGACCGAATGCTATCGACCATGTTGCAATGTGGCCACCAGTCTAAGTGGCTCGACACCGCGGGCACTATTGTAAGATTCGATGGTGGTTGGAGGTAGTCGACAGGAAACCCTGAACTCGAGTTTCGTGCTACTTGGCACTCGGCAGCAAGGTGTACCTGTAATCTTGAGGGAACTGGTGCTTCCTGACGGATTCCATCCTGCGTCACCCAGCTTTGCAGTCGACATGTTAACATGGTCGATAGCATTCGGTCTGCACTAATAAGGACTAGACACGCATGACATTGATCACCACCCAGTGATCAATCAATTGTGATTACATCTCAGTCCTACAGGAGGTCGGTCGCGGCACGGATAGCTCAGTGGTAACGTCTCTGACTGTGAATCTGGGTGACACGGGGTCGAATCCGTCAGGAAGCACCAGTTCCCTCAAGATTACAGGTACACCTTGCTGCCGAGTGCCAAGTAGCACGAAACCCGGGTCCAGGGTTTCCTGTCGACTACCTCCAACCACCATCTAATCTCACATTATTACAGTGTATCCACAACGTATGCGCAAAACCCACGTTTACATCTTACATGCAAATAATAGTGCTTTTAAAAGTTATGGTACAGTGAAAGACCTAGTTCTTAGAAAAATATTTAGAATGCATTTCATTCTTACCTTCTAACAGGGGTGGTTCATTTTCGTAATCCTCTTCTTTTCCTTCATACATCGCAGCAGAGGAATATTGTACTTGTGAAAAGGGAAGATTGATAGGTTGGGATGGTATTGAATTTGCATTTTCATATGAAAATTGACTGAACTGCCTAAAGAACCATGAAAAACGAAGTGTTACTGCAGTTAAGTACTATAGATACGACAAAGAAGACAAACAAATTCACCAGGTAAAGTAGATTGTATGGTTTAAAGAAATGGAAACCATTAACAATATAAGTGACATGTACCTATTCGCAACTAAATATACAATTATAAAAAGTGATACAGTGAATGAAACTAATGGGTAAATTTTATCCAACCATCTCTTTACAGTAGATTGCAGAAGGAATCATATTTAACAGAACCCTTTATATGCTAACAGTTAGTTTGTAATAACAGAAATGCTCAAGTTCGATCGTCTCATCTCCACAATTTCAGCTAGTATATCACCAAATTCCGGAATGATTACATGCCTACCAGCTCCCAACTATAGTTGCATTTCTTGATCTTAAGGCAGAGTTTGACCCCTTAGATCGGTAGACTTTTTGGCAGTGTCCGTTATTAAAAGCCGTACCAAAGAAGTACTCTAACCTTACACAGACTTTCTACTCGGATACTACTGCTCGACTCAGAGCTTTTGCAGAAGTGTCATAAGAATTTTGAACCTCGAGTAGTGCTCGTCAGGACTATCGATTTACTCAATCTTTATTTAATTTTGTCATATACATCCTTTTAGAGATAACACCCTTATTGTCTGACTTTCAATGGATTAATCTCCTATCGGGAGATTCACTTGTTGACTTAGAATGTAATCAACTAGGCAGAAAACCCTGACAAAACGCAGTCTTCTGATCAACTAAAGCTAAAATACAAGGATCTATGAGATACGAAGTGCTGATTCAGAAGTGGCTCCGTCAGCAGCACAAATTCAGTAGGCCCGAATGACCTCTGGCAACTTGCGTTACTAGTGGCGCAAAGGAGATACCCGTCCCCCAACCAATGAACGAGTTTACTGAGCAAAAGTTTGCTTTATCCTAACTTATCTGTGTGAAACACTCAGAATAGAGAATATTTGTACGTTACTATTATTTGATCATACGTATCTTCTAACTATCGTTCATGTATTATGAGACCACCGAGTAAGCGATCCCGAGATTATTACTTTTTAAACACAAACACTGGTACAGAGGAGCACCAAAGTATATAAACAATACACAAATCATTGAACTTGTGTGAGGGCCGAAATCCTGTCTGGAAACCCAAACCGAAATAGATGTTTTCTTAAGGGATTACTTCCTAAGCATTTGACCCAGATGCCTAATCCGCAAGCCAATGGGGCAATGCTGAGAATTGAGGTAGCATTGTAACCGGTGACCACGAATAGGTCTATACGCAATTTCTTTTCTAGCGATTCCTTTAAGCTTTAAGATAACTGCATATTTATTCTGTTGAACTGTAAGCTCATCAATTCGTTACAATAACTTAAGCAAGTATTTTAAAAAACCTGATAACCAGAACACACTACTAACTAGCAGATAAATCCTGATATCAATAAAACAAAAATTGCAGGTGACAGTACGTTCACCAACAACTGTCAAGAATAATTGAAACACTATGTGGAGAACTATCAACCTTTCTAGTCAACTTAATACTACAGCGACTTCGAGCAAACTGTATTATGCTCCAAATCCGATGAAAGCAGAGCTATCTAGTTTAGCAGATGTGCAAAGAAACCTTAAACATTTGAGTTTTAACCTCTAAACTATCTCAGACTTTATTTATCCTTTGGTTTGCCTACTTTGTCTATTACTACACGATTTTTGAGGCAGCTGTGAAGAGAGGTGACAAGAGCGATCAATCATGAACAAAGAAGGGAAACCAATCACTGAAGATCAAGAAAAGTGAGACAGGTGAGTAAATCGATTTGAAGAGTTTTCGAACAGGCAAGCATAGCTGAACCCAACTCACATCGAAGTAGCACACACAAATATCTCTAGAGATGATATCTCACCAACAATCAGACAAATCAGAAATGGCGAACAATAGAACAAGACAGCATACCAACTGAAGCACTATAGTCAGACCTTGAGGGAATTTAGATGTTCCAAGTTCCATTCAGAAAGATCCGTGAGGAAAAACAGGTACTAATAAACTGGAAAGAGGAGCACCACATTAAGATACTGAATGAAGATCATGTGAGAATTACAAAGGGATCGTACTATTGCCAGTACCAGGCACACTTTTCAACAATCTTGCTGAAGTGAATGGAAGGTTTAGCAGATCCATAACTTTGAGACCAACAAAGTGGATTTCATAAGGATCGATTCCCCCAAATGCCCTGGTATGGCCGAGAGTGGGGTGGGTTCGCCCTTCCTCTCGAAATACTCTCACACGGCCACGCGTATACAGCCTCTGTCAGGGAAGTCCTACTCACTGCCTTCTCGTGGCGCGGGTGTTGTTTACGAAAATGAGAGGACGAAAAGCGAATGTCCGGCGCTATAACCGGATCCCAAACCAATGGTGCACATGGGCCCCAGTATCCTGAGGGAACAAATGGAGTATGAACCAATCGTTGGTCACCGGCTTCCATGGGACTGCATCTCCTTACGATGCTCCACTGCCTTGTGGATCAGATCTTCAGGTCGAAGGCTCGGGGTGTGGCCCCCTAAGAAAACCACCTGCTTCGGTTTGGGCATCCGGGCAGTATCACAGCCCTCACACATATCAAATGAGATCTGTGTGGCGCATATGTATTTGGTGCCTCCTTGTACCAATATCTATGTGCTAAAATAAATAAATAAAATAAACATAAGGATCGATCATATACTGAACAAATCGCGACACTCAGGATTATCGTGGAACAATCATTTGAACAGAACTCATAGACATATATCGACTTCCTTGATTGTAAAAAAGGACTTGAAAGGGTGGGTAGAAAAAATACCGTGTAGTCTTCCATACTTTGGAATACCTAAAAAGATCAACACTACCATAATTAACTCCTACGAGGAACTGGGTTGCAAAGTTGTGCATAGAGGCCAGCTCACAGGTGAATTAAAAGTGAGAACTATTTACATTTATTATTATTAATTATCTGAATACATAAATATCGGTACAAGGGGGCACCAGATACATATGCGCCACATGGTGGAAGACAATGGTGCCTACGCCCAACTTCTCCCTTTCTGCCAACTGCTGGCTGGATTAAGAAGGCATCTACAGCTTATGAAAATCATGGAATACTGTGGGTAACTTAAATGAAGCTGGGTGATTTGGCCCTCCTATTTAACTAAGAAAAAGTAAGATCCTGAAGTATCACACAGTCGACATCAACCAAATCGCACTTGACAGCGAAGCTCTGGAAGAGGTAAAAGATTTTACGTACCTGGGGAGCAACATAGATAAACAAGGAGAATCTGGTGTGGATATCAATACATGGATCGGCAAAGGAAGACAGCATTCTCACAACTAAGAAATATACAGCCTCTGTCAGGGAAGTCCTACTCACTGCCTTCAGTTATTAACACCAATGTTAAAACAGTTCTACTGTACGGAACTGAGAATCTGATTGGTCGTTACCAAAAGAATACAGGTATTCAAAAAGCTGTAGACGATATACACTGACCCACTGACCGGAGACAACCAACAATAACCCACTGTGGTAGAGAATAAACTAAACACCATCTGAGAGGGAAATTAGGAAAAGACAAATAAGGTGGACAAGGTTAACGACAGGAACTACCAAACTGAACCACAAGGTAAAACTTAACGTGGAATCCCCAATGTGAAGAAGAAAGAGGCAAACCAAAGGACATACGACACCGAGAACCGGAGGCAGACATTAAGACCAGGAGTGCCACACGGTAACATCTGGGAAAGAGCGGAGCACATACTTATTTGGAGATCCCTGATCGGCGATCAATACAGCATGAGCAGGAATTGCAGGAATTTTGATAGGTGCGATACTGTTGTATATGGTTCGTTCATCCGTCTGTCAGATCGTTTAGCAAATATTGAGTATATACTAATAATTTCTTGACCAAGAATAATAGAAATGAACGTTTTTTACTTACATTTCGGACGGGTTGTAGTATCCCGGTTGCTGAGAACTGGGGTGGTAAATATTAGTATAACCATCGTAATTCATGATGTACTAAAGTTTATAGGTCGACCTTGCTTTTTGATAGGCGCTGCTACGTACCAGTTTTCTGAAGAATTTAGTTTTGTCTGGGGAAGTTATAACAAAAACATTTAAGTAGCGATATGATGAGATTTACAAGTACTTAGTTACTTACTATGAATTTAATATGACCAATCCTGTTTAGTTTTTTGAGTTGTAAAGTGTATAGAGATTATCTAGGGCTCTACTTAAAAAGGATAGTGGTATTTTCCCTCTGAGTAAATGTTGTAGTATTAATCGTTTAATTACTCATCAAGACCACTGTTTGTTCTTTAATTGAACTAAAGTAATTTCCAAGAGCATCGCTTTTTTTCTAGTATATCATCTGTACTTTTTGAGTACAGATACAAAAAGTAGGGCATTGGTATCTTTCTCCTCGCTGAGTATATCTTTTAGCATTGTTTGTGTCCAAAGTTATTAAGGTCTTTTTGTTGTTAGGATAACCAGGATATTCGACGTTTGTTAAGACAAAAGAAGAAACATTGGAACGTTGCCATCAGCCTTGACACAGAAAGTACTATGGAACTCTACAGGTCTGTACGAAATAAGTGTATAATTAAAATTCGGGAATCTCAGAGAAAATATGAAATGCAGCTGGCACCATCTGCAATCAAGCAGCGTAAAAGACTATTCTCGTACATAAATTACAGAACAAGGATGCAACATTGAATTCTCAACCTAATTAAGGAAGAGAGTGGGTCTGAAATGATAGAAAATGATCAGGAGGAATCAGAAACTATGGCAAACCATTTCGGGGCCGTTTTCACTCAGGAGCATCATCTAGACGAAGAACTAGACCCAAATACAAAGTCAGCAAACCGTCTGCTTACCAAAGACTTTGATGTACTTAAGGCTCTTAGCACCTAGGACATGAAAAATTCAACAAGATCGGATGAACTACACTCCAAAATCCAGAAATGGGTAAATTCTCTAGACAATGGGAAATCAGTGGAAGTGGTCTACATAGACTTCAGCAAAGCATTTGACAAAGTGCCAACAAATAGACTGTTATTGAAGCTGGAAAATCCAGGCATTGCCGGGCCTCTCTTAAAATGTATTAAGGACTTCCTAGTAGGTCGTAGGCAGAAAGTAAGAGTAAAATCAAAGTGCTCCACCTGGAGACCAGTACTATGTGGATTACCACAAGGTTCTCTCCTAGGTCCTTTATTTTTTTGTGCTGTACGTAAATGATCTAAGTATAGTTGACTTCCTAATGTTACTATACTCTAATGATGTAAAAATCCGGCGGGAAACATCACGAGACGCAGATACATGCGCACTTCAGACGGACTTAAATATTGTGATTAGCTGGTCTAAGGAGTGGTTGATGCCTATCGACGTGGTAAAGTGTGTCTACATGCACTTTGGGGATACAAAGGTATATAGGTAAAGCATACGAGAAGTGCCTGTACTAGTGGTCCGGTCTCACAAGGATCTCGGGGTAACAGTGAGTTATGATATTAGGACCACGGCCCACTAACAGGAGGTTGCAGCTAATGGGTTTAGAACCCTATGTGCTTTAAGACGGATATTTACCAAGTTAGATAACACCATGTTCATTACAGTCTTGGCCCCCAAATGCATTGGTATGTCCGAGAGTGGGGTGGGTTCGCCCTTCCTCTCGAAATACTCTCACACGGCCACGCGTATACAGCCTCTGTCAGGGAAGTCCTACTCACTGCCTTCTCGTGGCGCGGGTGTTGTTTACGAAAATGAGAGGACGAAAAGCGAATGTCCGGCGCTATAACCGGATCCCAAACCAATGGTGCACATGGGCCCCAGTATCCTGAGGGAACAAATGGCGTATGAACCAATTTTCGGTCACTATTTACTTATAGAAAATATTCTTTTAGCTCCAATTTACACTGAAATGACTCGCACTATTATTATTATTATTATTATTATTATTATTATTTTACCACGTCATTTATTCACTCTCTCTTATTCCCACTTTATGTATCCCTTTCGACTTAGACAGCAGCTCGCCTATGGTGAAAATTCAGCTTTATCTAAACGTTCTCGAGTCACTGTCTGGTTGAAAATTGTATGTTACCACCGAATATGAGTACTGAAGCAGTTTTTCTGAAACCACGTACACCATTCAAACTGGCTGCCTTCAACGTTCGCACACTTACGCAGGTCGGACAACAGATAGGGTTGGCTATGTCTTTGGAAAGTCTTAATATTGACGTGTGTTGTCTATCCGAGACCCGTATTCAAAACTCTGGTGAAGTATTACAAGTTCGCTCTCCATCTATCGCTTCAAAGAGCTTGTTTTATGTGCGTTTATCCGGGGACCCTGTGGCATCTTCGTCTGGTCTCGCTGGCGTTGGTGTCGCACTAAGCGCTAGAGCTGAGGCAGCACTAATCGACTGGATCCCCATTAACAGTCGGTTATGTGCTGTTAGATTAGAAAGTTTCATCAAAGTGAGGAGAAATCGGCGTGAGAAACGATGTCTTTTCGTCATCTCCGCCTATGCCCCGACAGATTGCAGCCCGGATGCAATCAAGGAGGAGTTCTACCACCAGTTAACTGTTCTTCCCCAGAAAGTGCGTTCGACAGATATTGTAGTACTAGCTGGAGACTTGAATGCTCAGGTCGGGCGTCTAGGCACAGAAGAGAGTCGTTTAGGTGGCCGATGGGGACTTGTTGGTAGCAGGACAGATAACGGGGAACGTCTACTGCAACTATGCACAGACCACAACATGTTTCTGGCTAGCACTAACTTTCAGTACAGTCATCGCCGATGTGCCACCTGGTGTCCTCCTTCTGCATCTCGAGCCTGGACTCAGATTGACCGCATCGCGATCAGCTACCGCTGGCGTGGTTGTGTACAAGACTGCCGCTCCTTTTGGAGTACCTATCTGGAATCTGATCATGCTCTGGCCTGCGCCAATCTTACCTTACTTTTCAGTGGACAACGAAGTGACCGCCACCAAAGGATTGATGTTAGCAAGCTGGCTGCAACTTCTGTTGCTAGTAAGTACCGAATCGAGCTAGCTTCTAGGCTAGCCACCATTCCACCGAAAAGTATAGATGAGCATTGGTTGCAATTGCATGACGCCATGAAAATGGCGGGTCAAGTCTGTTGTGGGTTCGCGAAACGTCCCGCTTATAAGCACTGGGTTTCTTCTGGTTCCTTACAACTGATTGAAGTCCGTCGGTCTACTCCGGGTGACCGTGAGTTTGACCACAGACAAAGGATGTTACGTAATGAAATCGGGCAAAGCTTGCGTAAGGACCGAGAAGCCTGGTGGTCGGAGCGTGCTAATGAGCTGGAAGCAGCAGCTGCGTCTGGTAATTACCGGAAGCTCTTCCAACTCATCCGAGCCACTGGCAGCAAGAAGTCTGGTGTGAGAGAAACAATCTGCGAGGATGACGGAACGCCAATCATTAACATCCATCGACGTCTTGGACGATGGGAAGAATTTTTCGAAGGGCAGTTCAACTGACCTGCTGCTCCGGCAGCATCGGTCAGACTGTCCTGCCCTGCATGGCCGGTGACGACTGATCCACCAAATGAGGCGGAAGTCCGCAAGCAACTCCAACTCTTGAAACGTTACAAATCACCGGGCCCAGACGACTTACCTCCGGCTCTTTTTAAAGATGGTGGTGACTTTCTGACTAAGGGACTGACGACGTTGTTTACAAAGGTCTGGGAACTAGAGAGTGTACCAACGTCATGGAATGAGTCGATAGTTTTCCCTATCTTTAAAAAGGGTTCACGTCGTTCCTATAACAACTATCGAGGGATAAGTATACTTCCGATTGCGTCCAAGCTATTGGCTTCCGTCATACTTCGTAGATTGTTCAGAACCCGAGAAAGATTGACTAGCGAGGAGCAGGCTGGGTTTCGTTCCGGTCGAGGATGTATTGATCATATCTTCACCCTCCGCTAAATGTTAGAACACCGTCATACTTATCAAAGGCCAACAATCGTAGTGTTTCTTGATATCAGGGCTGCCTTCAATTCGTTGGACAGAACTGTTCTCTGGGACTGTCTATTGAAGATGGGTTTGCCACCGACTTCGGTGGCTTGGACATGTTCTACGAATGTCGTCCCAGAGAATTCCTCGTCGTGCATTATTTGCCGAATCTGGGACTGGTTGGAAAGAGCGGAAAGGCGACATGTGTATGACATGGGGTCGTGGTATGAAAGAAAGCTGCAAAGGGCTGGCTTCTGTTGGTCCTTCACGACTCCCTGGCTGGGGTCCGAGAGATGGTGTAGCGCAGTGGCTAGAGACGTTATCAGATATGGCTCAGAATAGAAACCAATGGCGATCCTGTTGTAACCTTCTTTTACTTTCTTCATAAAAAGTGGTTGTATCTTCCTTAACAGAAAGATTTCTTCTGATTGTACCTTTCCGTTTTCCCCATCATTGTTCTCTCTTTCTCTTTTTTTCATGATTCCCCACGTTCATTACTTTTTTTCTCCTTCTCTTCAAATTATCATTGTTTTGTGTGGCGCATATATATTTGGTGCCCCCTTGTACCAATATTTATGTGTTCAAATAAATAAATAAATAACAGTATACACAACCTTGATGAGAACTAAGCTTGAAAACTGCATTTAGACTGCAAGCTCCTGTATAAGAGGTGACTCGAATATCCTGGAAACAGTACAGAGGGCAGCTACTCGTGCAATTCCAGAGCTCCGGAGTTTACCATACAAAGAGTGGCTTGAAAAGCCAAACCTCTTTATACTGTCCTATTGCAGATTGAGGTGATCTGACTTTGATGTATAGAATAACAAGAAATGATTTTGAACCAAATACACCCTCCCTTTTACTTTCCACTATATCGGAACATTTCATAGGACATAGCATGCAAGTAGGAAAGCCAAGAATGAACAAAATACCCGCGGAATACTGGTGTTCACACCTTCGATTGACTCATCAAAGAGAAAACTAGACTCTTAGAAGCTTACTAGAAAAGGAATAACATGGGTCGTAAGCCTTCTGTCCTTACCACATAAATCTGAGATGACGTGTCTATATTTTGCTTCGCCTACCTCGGTTAGGGCATTTATATACAATGATTAGTCGTTACAAATTATGAGGCTTTAATCCAAGGGATAAACCAGTAATAGAACTATGAGAACCTAAAATAAGTATCTCTCATTAGGCAACAAAACCAATAATTGTTCCGTTACCGAATGTTTTGTAAAACGATTTGTACACATTTGGAAACCAAGTTTCGAACGTTAGACATAAATTTGGATAAACACTCGTTTTTCTGTTGCTATTTATTAAATAATATATCATATATTTTTTATATAGTGGGGAATTAGATGCTGATTAATTCCCAGTCCCAAACCAATAAAAATAGTACATGGATCATGGTAGGAAACAAGCAGCTCAAATGACTTTCTACATTTTCAGTGAAACACGGGTCAAGAAAGTATTGATGTGCTTCGATAAATGAGGATTTAGTAAACCAGACACTAACATTTATTATTTCTAACACAGTTAACCGTATTAGGAAAATTCAACTGCTTCGTAACTCGACAAAATAAATAGACCGGAACAAGCAAATGTTCCTATTAAGAAGTGCAGTTCTAGTCATTGAGTCGATTTTAATTGAACATAAAAGGTCTAGAAGTATGAAAACGAACTTACCTTGAAATCAATACGTGACAACAGTTGTTATCAATACCGCGCAAACCTCAAGGTCTAAATGGTTCAAATAGATGTGGATGGAATAGAGGAAGCTTTCGCTTAACGGGCTTCCGTTTCTAGTAGTGATGGTTCACTGATGCTTTCAGTTATGGACCTAGATATATTATTATTGATAAAACGGAAAGAATGTTAGTAAATTATAGCGAGATACTATCCTTAGTCCTTAAAAACGTCAAGTTTCCTTTTAGAGGACTCTTGGGTAGTTACTTGAACCAGCTCATTAGGCAACGAATTCCATAATTTGATCATTCTTAAAGTTTAAAAGGTGTGACTACAGTCCATTCTACTGTAGTGGCAAATAAATCCCCAAAATCAGTAGTTCTGTAAGTATTCAAAACTTTGTTCTGATTGCATTAGTTTTAATGGACTCAACTCGCTGAAGACGCTTTGTTACGCATCCGCATCAGATCACTAGTGGGTACGTGGTGCTACACATCCCTTTCAACTACTAGCCAGCTTAAACCAAGCGTTCCTTCGACCTACTAATGGCGTTCTAAATATATCTTCTAACTCATTCATTCCTGACTTATGATTTCATTGTGATGGCATACTTCGATTATAAAGGTGTTACTGGTTAAGACGTCTTTAGTGACAAGCCCGATGTGATCTTGTACACCAACTCGTAAACTGTGAGTTTGTAGTGACTTACTTTTGTCAACAGAACGCGATTGGTTCAAATAAAACGATTATCATTATAACCAATTGTACCGATGATTGTTTTACTGTGCTCGTTTGCTCATCTGCCTTTTGATTTTGGCCTACGGGGATCATATTTGTTAACTGGCACGTAGTCTTCTTGTAGCGGTGTTCATAGTCAAGCGCGATTCGATCTAAGACCCCTTGAAGAAGCTCGTCACAATGACGGTCTGTCTTTCTCTAAATCACGAGAGACAGATAAATCTGATAGATGCTGGTATCTCGAAGTTGCAGAAGATCCTTCAGTTTCTCGAGGTCTAAACCAACCGACACGAAAAACCTTTCGTAAAGCTTACTAGTCGGCAGGTGTTCACGGCAACCACAGGTGGCGAACGTAGCCGTCTATTATATATCACTGGTGTGGTGACGAAAAATCGCTACCCTGTTGACACTGGCTCAAAGTCAGCGTTCTTCTAGCAAATTCTAACGACCGACAGCATGAAGCAGTCTTCAACTTATAGGAAGTAATCGAGAAACCGATCACCACATATGATAAGCAGCATGCGTATCTTGACGTGAGTTTACTCAAACTCATTTGCTGGATTTTGGTTGTTTCAGATGTTTCCATGCCAATCATTGATATGGAACTGCTACAACACCTTTATCTACTTAATGAGACGCACAGACTTTGGAAAATACACGAAAATACTAATTTATGTTTGGTTGATCTTTTCCAGATGTAGATTGTTCACAGACATTTTTAATCACAGAATCGAAGCATACTGTCATCTGATACTCAATAAATGACCCCAAGCTATACCGAACGCAACCGAAATTGCAGTGTACAACCAGCAACGTTACACATCACATCATGACTGGGCGATCACATGTATTCTCGAAAGGGTTTCGACCAGATCCGGAAGGGTTGAGGTTCGTAAAAAGTGAATTCGACCACATGATCGATTTAAGAATTGTTCGACTATCAAACATCTCATGGACATCGCCCTTGTACATGGTCCCTAAAAAGGACAGGAATGATTGACGTCCGGCTGATGACTATCGAGGACAGAATTAGTAAACCATTCCTAATCGTTAGCCTTTACCTCACATTCAATATTTCTTAACTACCTTGAAATATACAATTGTTTATTGTAAAATCGACTTGATTTAAACGTAAGACCGAATTCCCATGGCACCTGACGATATTTCTTAAAGCACATTCTCCATCCACTTTGAACTATAAGAACTTTCACTTGTGCTATTCGGTTTAAGAAATGTTGCGAAAAATATTCAGAGTCTCATCGACGACGTCTTTAGTGGTTTCATTTTTATTGACGCATACGTAAGTAGTTGCTTAATCGCCAATTCCTAGAAAAAATCTCATCGCTATCTAGACATCGTTTTAGAACAACTGTAAAAACGCGACTTTGTTCTAAACAATCAGAAATGTCAAATTGGCACCGACGGCATAAATTATTACAAGCAATAATGATGCTTCGACCTCAAAAAAGCAAGGCGATGCCATTCCAGATTAGCCAGAACAATCTACAGCCAAGGAATTACATGCTTACAACGACCTGGTAGTTTTCTATAGATGGTTCACATCGAATTGCGAGTATCTCATGAGACCCTCAGCAGACTGACTTCGTGGAAACATAAAGCTTATCAATTTGGACAACATCGCGAGGAAGACATCCTCCTCAATTAAGGAACTTATCACAAAAGTATCAATGCCCACACATTAGGACGCCAAAGCATCGCAGCAGATGCATCTGACCCGGTAAACGGAGGGGTCTCACAACAATGGGTTAACAACACATGACAACCTTTGACATTCTTCCCGAGACGGCTGGAAGACACTAAATTGAGGTGTGGCATCTTCGGTAGAGAACATGTAGCTTTGTGTTATGTTCTATAACGACTTCAACACTCTCTGGAAGGCAGAGCGTTCACACTGTTTGCCGACCGCAAACCTCTCATCTTTTCTTCAACCTAGTCTCAAGACAAGTGCTTCCCTCATTAGTCACAACAGTTGGGTGACATTTCTCCGTTTAATTCGGATACACAACACATATCTGGGGCAAAGAATGTAGTTACAGATGCCTCGTCTCGCATGCCATCCTTAAATAATTTCTATGCAAACGACCTTCCCAAACTGACCCAGCTTTGAAAAGAAGTCATTGATCGTCGGTATGAGTTATCTCCAAAAACCCTGAAACTACGTATTAAACAGATGGGAACAGGTAGGAAACTTTACTATGTGACACATAATGTAATATAATAATATCAAAGTATATTTCCGCCAGGACAGATACGCATCATTCCTACAGGCTTGATCTATAATTTACAAACTTGGTTTCCATATGAAATGCTTATCAATCATCAATGTCAAATAATTGAAATCAATAGAAATAAAAGATTGTACATTCATGCAGATGTCTTAGAGCGTTAATTACTAGGCTTATGTTTTAGTATTCCACTGTGTACAGTATTTAAAATATTTTTTTTGAAAATGGCATCGCGTTCACATTGTACACCAATTAAAACTCGGCATGATTGTGTTAGAATTCTGGTCGTTGTAAGTATTTATGCAATGCAACTGTTTATGACGTTTATGGTTGTTATAATGTTCCTTCAACGGGCACTCGGTATGGGCTGAAATCTTGAAAAGCGTGTGTGTTAAAGTTGTTCTAGGTGTGGTAGGCTCCGTAGCTATGCACTGAAAGCGTGATGCTGAGCAAAAGATAAACAAAGGAGCAGCAAGACATCTGTATATAAACCCCAGACAGTGCATAACTTTTTGTGGTGGAGCAGACAAAGGTATGACATAATAATAGATAAATCCCATACTAGCTACTGTTGCTAGAGTGAAATGTGGTTAGAGCCTTCAGATAAGAGAATACAGTAATAGGAAACAATGAGTTGTGACATGAAACAAAGTGGAATGCGTTCAAATGATGGAAGGTTTTCCGCGATTTCTAAAAGACATGCAATTAGTTTCGTGATACAACTATCAATCAGAGCAATCTGTCTCTCGTTGTCAAGAGGCAGATCTTTTTGATAATATGGTTCTTAAGGTGTTGTGATGTTCAAAATAATCACTAGTGAACGTAATAGGTCTGACATACCCGTCAAAATCGCGCTGTAGTACCATCAGCACTGTGAGATATCGTTTACTTGAATCCACCACTCTGTGCCCATGAAAGTCGGTTTGTTATTAGCAGAATGAGTCTTCGATCTTATCGAACTAGAATGGCTTAAGTTGGAAGGAGGGAGGCGAAAGAGTCTAAATATTTAACAGTTAGTCTGCCTGTTCTGTCATGGTGAGGACGAAACATATAAATGGCGGAAAGCGATATAAGAAAACAGAAATTATACCATGGTATCGAAGTAAAAAAATATTTAATTTTGCAGTAAATCCACAGTTTATCACGTTAGACTCACCACCAAAGAAGTTCGAGGTTTGAAAACACCTTTACTCGTAATACTTTTATTATCAAAGGATACCAAAAAAGACAGGTCAGAAGCCAGTGGCGAATGAAGTCGAAGATGTATTTGGAAGGTTGGTGATATGTTAAGATGCGTCTGATCGAAACTGGCTAGTAGTTCCAAGGGCTGGGTAGTACGGTGTACCCACTCATGAGATTGTGCCTCTGTGTTGCCGAGAGCCTTCATCTAGGGTGTTTTCGATAAAAGTAACGATATTGGCGTCAATGTTGAAGACACACGGAACTATTTATTTTGAGGATTTACTTACCGCTCCAGAATGATCCAGTATGGCTCATTTTGTGGACTCATCTGTTTAGGATGAGCCAGCCACTCCCGAGACTCTACTGTTAGAGAGAGCACAGTAACTCACAGAGCTCATAGAACAACACAGTTATGTTTATTTTCCCGGACACTACAGATATATATAATCTAGACTGTGGGATGTGTTTTTTGGTACAAATCGTCGCACTATTAGCAAAGAGCACCTGAAGCTTTTAATGTTGGGGTCAAAAACCTGGAAAGTGAAAAAAGTTGTTCTTGTTTTACAAAATCACGAAGTGACACCCATTCAAAAGGTTTTCTTACAGTTTTCGTCCTTGGATTTGTTAGAGTGGGTTTTCAGCTTATCATTATTTGTTTGTTGTCTTTTTAATATGGCTTCTATGTGAAATAACAAAATCATAAGTTATATATGGTGACTTATGTTCTATTGTTATGTGTAGTTCTTGTATGTCATTCGTTATTTCAAAACAGAAGTTAGTTATCGGCAGCTTTATTTTTCACTTATATAAGTGAAAAAAACTTATAGTACAAAACCTGCTCTGGTTTTGTAAAACCTCGGAGATGTAGATTCGCAAAGGTGGGATGTTCAGAGTGACAAGATAGGGGGTCTTGGGAGTAAACATTTATGTTCTCGGTATCTTAATGCCTAAGTCTTAAGTATCCGAAATGTGATGCAGATAATTATCTGTATCAACTAAACTTTGTATTTTTGGGGTTAACCTAGAAAAATACAAAGTTCATTTGTTTGGAACGTTACAAAACTTGAAAACCAGTATCATGATAACACGACAGTTTGGATTGTTTACCGTTGAGTCGAAATCTGTTGTGTGGTGCATTAGGATCTTGTCGATACTCAATGACATTTAAACAGTAAGGGTTAATTTACTGTAACAACTATATGCTTTGGACACAGCCGTAGTTAATTTTGTAATGTCAGTGTTTATATACTCACAACTAGTCAGTATTTGACAGTTTCATTCTGTCCCGTCGATTTGCTTATTCCTAATAAATAAACACAATCTGGTGCGATTCAGCATCGAAATTGAGTTGTTTCACAGAATAGGTCTGAATAACATTGTCCAAAAGAGGAGGGGGAGTACATAGGCGAACAAGAATGGTGTATAATTGAGGATACATTTAAGTCAACAAAACAACGGTGTTTTATTGATACTGAAAAAGTTCCATTTTTTTTTACCAAGTGTGTACAAAAACACTACACATCGGTCTTGATTTGCTCCTATTCTGAGTTATGTCTGATAACATTTCAAACCGCTGAGTTGTAATATCTTTAGTATCCCAGACATGGAGTCATGATGGGCCGACATTTGTAGCACACGTTCAAGTCATAGAAGCCGTTGTTTCAATATAGTTGCACCAATTGATTTACCATGTGTACCCAAACACTGCCGAATCTCAACATTACCAACATAATGTTGTCACTGAATGTCATCAGTCTTTCGGAGATGACGATAATCAAACATAGGTATTCGCTGAATCTCTTCAACTTGAACAGGCCAGGTTTTATAAGCATGAAGCAGAAAATTCACAGACGAGTTGTAAATCCGTTCTTTTCAGCCGGAATAATACCAGTGACGTCCACAAAGTTGATCCAGATTTTCATAAACTACTCTGACTTTCATCGTACGTAGATTGATTCTATCTGTCACGCTACCATAAATGTTCACACAACTACCGAGATGCAAAAACTTTTCGGTTACTTCTGAAGGCTCATCACAAGGAGTGAGTGTAGTATAGGCTTTTATCCGTCTTGTAAAAGTCTTTTGCATTCATAATGTACAAAGCACATGTCATACTTAGTGTCACTCATTGCAGACTAATTAAGATCGAAATACTCACTTGCAGAGTTTCGAAAATTTCTAGTCATCGTATCTAGTAGATCTACTCTATTGTCTCTATATGCAGATTACTAACATTGAATTTCCGTTTAACATCTGACATCTAATGCATCAACTATTTAATTTTACAGACCCTCAAGTCATCAAGTCAAGAGCATAGCTCTACACATAACACTGTTCCAGCGTTAGATTTTGGGAATGATCAATAGCGTATAGAGATTCATGACTATTTGTCTGTGGAACTTCTTTGATCATTCATAAGCAATTTAAAACCTCGGATATGTTCATTGGTTCAAGTTGTCATACCATATCAGTACAGCGGAGAAAAAACATCAAAAAATGTCTAAGTAGTCAAAGTAGTAACAGTATAAGCAGTAGTAGTTTTTTATTATTTATTTAGTTAAACACAAACATTGGTCCCAAGGGGCTTGGTCACTTTCTTGAGCCTATATAAAGGGCACCAAAATAAATCTGTCCGGTTACTCAAACTGAAACAGGCAATTTTCCTAGGGGGCCACTTCCCGAGCCGTCGACTTAGGGGTCTAACCTACGAGACAATTGAGCAGTGTAGGGAGACGCGGTCCCATGGTACCCATTGGCCAAGAGTGGGTTCGTCTGCTATATGTTCCCTCAGGGTCCTGGAACCAATGTGCATCATAGGTTTAGAATCAGGCTTCCCCAACTGCGCCAGGTGGGTTCTCCGTACCCACCAAATTTGTTGAAGCGTTGGACATTCTCTTATCGTACCTCCAGTTTTGTAAACGACACCGGCTTCTGGGGATGGCAGTAAGACTTCCTTGGCAGTGGCTATATACTTGCGACCATATGAAAGTATTTCGCGAGGGAGAGCGGACTCTTTCCATCCTCGACTGTACTGGGGCATTTGGGTATATGAACTTGGCGTATAGAAAATAATTCAAGAGAAAATTAATTCTTGCAATCTATAAGACAACTTCAAAACTCAAGGTTTAAAGGAAGAGTGGATACCTTGCACCATTGTATAACCCACTTACTTACCTACTTACTTACGCCTGTTACTCCTCGTGAAGGAGCATAGGCCGCTCACCAGCATTCTCCATCCAACCCTGTTCTGGACAATTCTTTCCAGCTCTTTCCAGTTGTTATTCATCCTTTTCATATCTGATTCCCTAAAGAATTCGGTGCAGATACACATGACTTATTTGAAATGTTCAAATACCTGTAAAAAGTTCACCTTCTCAAGAAAGATGCATGTATTTTCAGCCACATCATATCTTCATAGTTCCGCAATATACTTTATGACTACAGTAATCAGTCAAGGTCATATTGCGTAACAATTGCTTGGGATATTGATATACTAATAATGCGAACAACATTTAGTTGCCAAAGTTATTGGGCCATGTTTTATGTATTTGTTATTTCGTAACGTATACTGTTAGCCAAAAAAGAATGCAGAAATATAATCTTTTAGGCTATTCAAAATCAGGAACATTTTTAAGCACATCCAATACAAGTATAAGCAGAGTTGTTTTTGTTTTAAAGTCACTACACATTATTTGGCGATTTAAGTGGTAGGTAAATTCATACTTTCTAACTTACCCTATGACGTTCTGTCCCTATGCAAAGTTTGTTTTGTCCTCTCTTTTAATTTACTGTTTTAATACCATCCAAATGTGTGACGACTTTACAGGTTGTTTAGGTCACTATTTATCAGCTGCCATTACAATAGCGATATATCTCAATCAGTCATATGCGAGGTTATAAATGGGCACACATTTTGAGGTGGTTCTGGTTTATCCGAGTGATAGCAGTTGGCATAGTGTTAGGTTGACACTCACATGCTCTCTCTTTACAATTAGCGTTTCTGTGCTCACTGTGAAGGCTTAGAAATCAGATTTTTTTTCAGTGTTCCAGCAGCGTACGCACTTGATGGCGTTCTGCTTCTGCTTGTTTGAGATCTGGATTCGTTCAAAGTTCGATTTAAGTGAACTATCATTTTTAATAGACTATAGGATTAGTTGATTGAGTATATGCAAGAAAAATGTGTCGAGTTATCATCTGCAACCATAACCTAACGAGTCTATAGTTTTCGGTTCAATTTTACTGTGATCAGATAAGTTAATGATTTATTGTAATGCATTATGATGTATATATTGGCTGTCTCCCGTCGCTGCTTAAGATAACTATAAATCTCGATCCTTTTAGTGATTTTTTGTCACTTAAAGCTATCTGATTGTATTCTTTATGCCATCTTGAATACTATGTTCCTTGTTGTTGATTCTCTGGTTTGCTTGGAGTTTTAAATCGATCAGTTGTTGAACTCCCATCAATTATTTTGTAACATCTGCTTGGGAGAATTTCACTTCCGGGATTTTAAACGTGTTTAATTCTTGGACATACAGATACTTAGGTGTAAATTATAAAATTATGGCTCTGAATCCTTCAGTCCAATGTAAGATTGTCATATAAATATTATTCTAATATAGAATAGTGTGACCTATAACTCAGCTCACTCTCAACAGTTGAACTGTATTATTTTCATAATAATTGGTCCATATTCTCTGTCTATCACAATTTAGATGATCATAATGAATATTCTACAAGCTTTTACCCGAAAACTAGGTGACTGATAAATATTACAATATATTAATAGGATATCGGACATTCATTTATGTTTGCTGCATTGATGTGCCTTTTTTTAGGAATCTGAATATTTTCGTTATTTAGCTTTCAACTATGCTTCTCAAAGAGTATCGGATATGCATGCCCTTAACAGTTGCCGAATATCGGATAGCTCAGTTGTATATGATTCAGGTAAACGTTTTCGGTTATCTCTGTTTCTAATGTTTTTTCTTTGTGGTTGTTGGGCTTCACATCCTGTCACTTTAGGAATACTACCGATATACGCATAATCTTCCAATTAGTACTGTTACGTCACATCACAAATTAAGTGATACGGTGTAATTATAGACGTTATTAAGTTGCTTAGAATTTTGTAAAAATAGTATAGGTTGATTAAACGTCATTTCATTCATTTTCATTTCAACACATAGATATTGGTGCAAGGAGGCACCAAATACATATGCGCCACACAGATCTCATTTGATATGTGTGAGGGCTGTGATACTGCCCGGGTGCCCAAACCGAAGCAGGTGGTTTTCTTAGGGGGCCACACCTCGAGCCTTTGACCTAAGGGTCTAGTCCACAAGGCAGTGGAGCATCGTGAGGAGATGCAGTCCCATGGTAGCCGGTGACCAACGATTGGTTCATACGCCATTTGTTCCTTCAGGATACTGGAGCCCATGTGCACCATTGGTTTGGAGTCCGGTTATAGCGCCGGACATTCGCTTTTCGTCCTCTCATTTTCGTAAACAACACCCGCGCCACGTGAAGGCAGTGAGTAGGACTTCCCTGACAGAGGCTGTATACGCGTGGCCATGTGTGAGCATTTTGAGAGGGAGAGCGGACTCTCCCCACTCTCGGCCGTACCAGGGCATTTGGGGGCCGATTAAACGTACTAACTTACCTGTCTTTGTAATTTTCTGTCTTTAATGAAATTTAATGCTAATTTTTTCACAACCTGTGTCTATTAAATACTGATCACGAATTTATTCCAATACACCATTCATAATGGATTTCATTTACATTCTGTTTCTTAAAAGTTTTGGAAACCACCAGTACAGATAGCATTTTCTCTATCCTTATTTATAAAATGGCTTATAATCGCTTGTATGGAGTAATGTACATACTTTTATATTATGTACTGTGGCACCGTTATTAAGGATAGTTGAGTTGTCCAGGTTTCACATGAAAATATCTTTTAAAGCCTTTAATCGTTCACCTTTCATCGTTTCACTCATATACTTGCCAAAAGGAAGGTGCCAAAGTGTATGTTTAATTGATTGAATCATGTAACTCATTTAGTAAGGTCTATTGATGCTAGATGGGGTGTGGATTGAACTTAGTATCGATTGCTTTAAGCCAAGTTCTTTGGCCTCTTAGTCACCGCTTCCCAACGTTTCAACTGTTGGGATTTGATTTTCAGTTTGGCATTAGCTTTTAATATTGGAGGGTCTAATTTGCAGTTAAGATAGAAAATTTAGTATTTTGTTGCTAAAACCACTCAAGATGCTTTTTCAGTTATAAAGAAAGGTATCGATAAAAGTGAATTCAACATAAAAATTATCAAAAGAATATTATAAAAATAGGGAGAAAACAGATGGGTTCTTGCGGAGGCTGACATACACTACTTACTCACAGTATAAAACTAAGTCCTGAGAGTATGTATGATTGATTGGGTCAACAGTTTCGGGAACTAAGAACTGGAAACTCTCTACAAAGCAGATCACACTTGTAATTATCAAGGATACTTTTTCCTGATGCTAACTTATTTCATGGAAGAGACGTCAATATATGTAATCCTGCCGCAAAACAATATTGATGCCATAAATACTAACCACTTAAGCAAAGAAACTTTCCATTATTCAAATCTCAACAAAGGCAGATTATGAATTCTGGCGCACATGGGCTCCAGTATCCTGAAGGAACAAATGGCGTATGAACCAATTGTTGGTCACCGGCTACCATGGGACTGTATCTCCTCACGATGCCTTGTGGGTCAGACATTTAGCTCAAAGGCTTGGGGTGTGGCCCCCTAGGAAAACCACCTGCTTCGGTTCGGGCATCTGGGCAGTATCACAGCCTACGCACAAATAAAATGAAATGACGATATTTACTGAAAATAATATTCACGCTCCGATTAACAATAAAATAAATAAAAGGATTATGAATTCAGTGCCAGATTTGCTGTATAGTTTCTGTCACATTGACCATTTGACTATTTGTACATCAATCGAGCACATGTTTCTAGAGGTATTTATTTCTATTGCTTTAATGAGCGGTAAGATGTATATTTCTTCTACGATAATAAAAGTGAAATGTCTTTGGTTTAACAAATGAGTTATTTGTAAATCTTGACATTTAACCTAGAAAAAGTCTCGTGAAGAAAGTACGGGTCGTGGAAGTGGTGTAGAAATATTGAAAAACGAACCTTATGAAAATGGTCCTGGAGGAAAAGGTCAATACACATTTAAAATTTATCATGTGGGTAGCCATTTACCAAGTAAGTCTTATGTTTCTGAACACTTTGGACCGAAATTGTTGGCGTTTTTCACAGGTCACTTATTAAACACTAACCTAATGTATTTTACATATTATTTACGTTGTTTACAAGCTATATCAGAAATCTGATTATCACTATTACTTACTTACTTACTTACGCCTGTTACTCCCAATGGAGCATAGGCCGCCGACCAGCATTCTCCAACCCACTCTGTCCTGGGCCTTCTTTTCTAGTTCCATCCAATTCTTGTTCATTTTTCTCATATCTATCTCCATTTCCCGGCGTAATGTATTCTTTGGTCTTCCTCTCCTCCTTTGACCTTGAGGATTCCATATGAGGGCTTGTCTTGTGACGCAGTTGGGTGTTTTCCTCAATGTGTGTCCTATCCACTTCCAGCGCTTCTTCCTGATTTCTTCCTCCACTGGGATCTGATTTGTTCTCTCCCACAGTAGGTTGTTGCTTATAGTGTCCGGCCAGCGGATCTGAAGTATTTTGCGTAGACAACTGTTAATAAACACCTGTATCTTTTAGACGATGGATTTCGTAGTTTTCCAGGTTTCCGCGCCATACAGTAGAACTGTCTTGACATTTGTATTGAAAATTCTGACTTTGGTATTGGTTGCTAATTGTTTTGAGTTCCAGATATTCTTCAGTTGTAAATATGCTGCTCTTGCTTTGCCAATCCGTGCCTTCACATCTTCATCAGATCCACCGTGTTCATCGATGATACTGCCCAAATATGTAAAGGTTTTTACATCTTCCAAAGCTTCTCCGTCAATTGTGATTGGATTGGTACATGTTGTGTTGTATCGAAGAATCTTGCTTTTCCCTTTGTGTATATTGAGACCTATTGCTGCTGAGGCTGCAGCTACACTGGTTGTCTTCTCCTGCATTTGTTGTTATGTATGCGATAGAAGAGCCAGATCATCTGCGAAGTCTAGATCATCCAATTGCATCCTAGCTATCCACTGTATCCCGTGCTTCCCTTCAGATGTTGATGTCTTCATGATCCAGTCGATCACCAGGAGAAAGAGAAAGGGTGAGAGTAAGCAACCTTGCCTAACACCAGTCTTTACTTCGAACGACTTTGTCAACTGTCCTCCATGCACGATTTTGCAGTTTAATCCATCATAGGAATTCTGTATGATATTGACTATCTTCTGAGGCACGCCGTAGTGTCGAAGAAGCTTCCATAGGGTTGTTCTGTCCACGCTATCAAATGCTTTTTCGTAGTCGATGAAGTTGATATAGAGTGATGAATTCCATTCAATTGATTGTTCCACAATGATCCGTAGAGTTGCGATTTGGTCTGTGCACGATCTATCCTTACGGAATCCTGCCTGTTGGTCTCGAAGTTGGGCGTCTACGGAGTCCTTCATCCTGTTTAACAATACCCTGTTGAAGACTTTTCCTGGTATTGAAAGAAGAGTGATTCCCCTGTAGTTGTCACAGTTGCTGAGATCGCCTTTCTTTGGTATTTTGACTAGAAGTCCTTCTTTCCAGTCTTTTGGTACCTGTTCCTCATCCCAGATCTTTCTGAAGAGAATGTGGAGTATCCTTGCAGTTGCCGCTACGTCTGCTTTCAGTGCCTCTGCTGGAATGCTGTCTAGTCCTGCTGCTTTGCCACTCTTGATTTGTCTGATAGCCATGCTGATCTCTTCAATTGTTGGTGCGCCAACATCAATTGGGAGGTCCGTGAGTGCTGCTTCGATGTTGGGTGGGTTCAGTGGGGCTGGTCGATTTAAGAGTTTTTTGAAGTGTTCTACCCATCTGTTTCGTTGTTCTTCAATGTTGGTGATTATCTTGCCTTCCTTGCTTTTCACTGGTCGTTCTGGTTTACGGTGATTTCCAGAGAGTTTCTTTGTTGTTTCATACAGTTGTCTCATGTTTCCTTCTCTGGCAGCCTTTTCCGCCGTCAATGCCAAATCCTCCACATATTTACGTTTGTCAGTTTTGATGCTCCTTTTCACTTGCTTGTTTACTTCTGTGTATTCAGCCTGTGCCTTGACTTTTTCTGCTCTTGTTCGACTGGTATTGATTGCTGCTTTCTTGTTCCTCCTTTCTTGAATCTTATCCAGTGTATCGACCGTGATCCAATCCTTGTGATGGTGCTTCTTTTGGCCCAGAACCTCATGACATGTTGAAGTGATTGCTTCTTTTATCTCTTTCCAGTTGCTCTCCATAGTAGTTCCTTCTCCATTGAGTAGATCATGAAAGGCTTGGAACTTATTGCTGAGGGTTATCTTGAATTTATTGAGTTTGTCAGTATCCCGAAGAAGAGCCATATTAAATTTTTGTGATATTGTCCTCCCCGTTGTCCAGTGCCTCTTGAGTTTCAATTTCATCTTGGCGACCAGCAAGTGATGATCTGATGCTATATCAGCTCCTCTCTTTGTTCTCACGTCCTCCATCGTCCTCCTGAACTTTTTGTTGATGCAGATATGGTCGATTTGGTTCTGTGTGGTGTGATCCGGTGAAGTCCATGTGGTTTTGTGTATGCGTTTATGTGGGAATATAGTCCCGCCTATGACCAGTTTATTGAAGGCACATAGATTTGCAAATCTATCACCATTTTCGTTCCTTTCTCCGAGTCCGTGTCGTCCCATGATCTCTTCATATCCGGTGTTGTCAGTTCCAACCTTGGCATTTAGGTCTCCCATGAGAATAGTCAGGTCTTTTGTTGGGCACTTCTCGACGATTGACTGCAGCCTATCGTAGAATTGGTCTTTAGCGTCTTCGTTGTATTCGTTGGTAGGCGCATAGCATTGGATGACGTTCATTGTAATGCCCGTTTTCTTGGTTTTGAAGGAGGCTTTGATGATCCTTGGTCCATGAGATTCCCATCCTATGAGTGCATTTTGTGCTTGTTTGGACAGCATCAATGCAACTCCTTGTGTATGTGGGACATTTTCTTGTTCATGTCCGGAGTATAACAGCAGCTCCCTTGAAGCTAGTCGTTGTTGTCCAACTTGCGTCCAATGTGTTTCACTGATCCCAAGCACCTCTAAATTGTATCTCCTCATTTCTGCAGCAATTTGGAAAACTCTCCCAGTCTCCCACATTGTGCGAGCATTCCATGTACCTAAATAAATGGTTGCTCTGGTTGTCAGAAGGGGCATCGGCCTCGTGACTTCCGAAGAAACTCGGCTTTCATCGTGAGGCGTCATAATTCTTCTAAACGAAGACCTTCTGACTCCCAGGGCAGAGTTTAAATGGTTTGAATAATTCTTTCTGGTTAGCGTTTTTTTAGCGAGTTAGTTTTCTACGGGATGGGGTCGCTAACCCCATGCCCAACCCTCCTCCTTTATCCGGGCTTGGGACCGGCAGTAGCCCCCGGAAAGGGGCTCCAGGCGGAGTTATATATATATATATATATATATATATATATATATATATATATATATATATATATATATATATATATATAAGCCTTCATCGAGTTGGTTTGAACGTGTTACTCATAATTAATCACCACCTTCCTTGATATGTGTTTCTGGCTGATATGTAAGTAGATTAGAAAAAAAAGTTGGGGACTAAGAGCCCAGTGTGAATTCAGTTTATTAGGTCATTGACTGCTGATATGTGGCATAGATTTCCTGGATAGTACTCGAGAAATGCTCACTATTAGAGTTATCTGTTCCAGTTAGAAAATTTGTGAAACAAACAATGCTGAAAGGTTCCGTATGGATATAATTTAGTTGAACCGTTGTTTTTATAATTTAAACTGTAGCTTGGCTTCGTAATATACTACCATCATCCGCTCTACGTGTTGAAGAAGAGGCATGGAACGCGTATCCATACACCAGAACAATTTATAAAGTTCCCTTTGTTGAAAAGTTGGTACTCGATGTGGAAACATATTTTTTCGACGATGCTGGGGAACAAGATGATGTTTTCAACCTTTCACCAGATGAAAGAAAGGCACGTATCATTGGTGAGTTGTCACATGTCAGATATTATCTTTATCGGTCTACATATTTTATTTATGAAATGGAAGGTAAAGCTTTTACTATTGAATAACTGATTTCCAGGTTTTTTTGGTTTAATTGTATCAATTATGTTAAAATCATTTCTAGTTTAAACTTCTTCAAATCATCGTGTAACTGATAAAGAGAATTAAAACAGTGGTTCGTGTGACCGAATGTCAACGTAGATGATTATATTTATCCAGTGACATGGGAGAAAGACGAGTCAACTGACCTAATGAAGGCAAAATAAATATGATATTTAAAAATAGCAATATAAATTAAATAATGCATAATCTAAGGATAACATCATGTTTAGTTTTATCCTAACATAATTATTAATTTCAAGTAACACTACTTATAATTTAAGCCGTCGATTTTTGGTCTATCAGATAGGCAGACATAACATGGAATCTGGCACATGTGTACATCGGTTCAAGTTGTCACACTTCATTAATACATCGAGATAAAATTGTCAAGGCAAATCCTGTATTAGTAGATATAGTAATAGTATTAGTGGTAGAATAAATGTTAGGCATAGAAGATACGATTTGAAAAGTTAAAATATGGTCTTTAGGGAAACCACAGACCTGATTAATTATCTTATGTTGTTGTTCTTGTTACGTTTTTGATTATGATTGTATGGCTCATGATTATTTGCACTTTCACCCCCAAATGCCCTCGTATGTCCGAGAGCGGGGTGGGTTCGCCCTCCCTCTCGAAATACTCTCACACGGCCACGCGTATACAGCCTCTGTCAGGGAAGTCCTACTCACTGCCTTCTCGTGGCGCGGGTGTTGTTTACGAAAATGAGAGGACGAAAAGCGAATGTCCGGCGCTATAACCGGATCCCAATTCAATGGTGCACATTTGCTCCAGTATCCTGAAGGAACAAATGGCGTATGAACCAACTTTTTGTCACCGGCTTCCATGGGACTGCATCTCCTTACGATGCTCCACTGCCTTGTGGACTAGACCCTTAGGTCAAAGGCTCGAGGTGTGGCCCCCTAAGAAAACCACCTGCTTCAGTTTGGGCACCTGGGCAGTATCTCAGCCCACGCACTAAAACCATGATGAACTATTTGCTTATGGAAAATATTCCTTTCTATCTGATTAACATTAAAATAACTCTTATTATTATTATTATTATTATTATTATTATTACTCTACCACGTCGTTTATTCACCCTCTCTTATTCCTACTTTATGTATCCCTTTCGACCTAGACAGCAGCTCACCTATGGTGAAAATTCAGCTTTATCTAAACGTTCTCGAGTCACTGTCTGGTTGAAAATTGTATGTTACCACCGAATATGAGTACTGAAGCAGTTTTTCTGAAACCGCGTACACCATTCAAACTGGCTGCCTTCAACGTTCGCACACTTACGCAGGTCGGACAACAGATAGGGTTGGCTATGTCTTTGGAAAGTCTTAATATTGACGTGTGTTGTCTATCCGAGACCCGTATTCAAAACTCTGGTGAAGTATTACAAGTTCGCTCTCCATCTGTCGCTTCAAAAAGCTTGTTTTATGTGCGTTTATCCGGGGACCCTGTGGCATCTTCGTCTGGTCTCGCTGGCGTTGGTGTCGCACTAAGCGCTAGAGCTGAGGCAGCACTAATCGACTGGATCCCCATTAACAGTCGGTTATGTGCTGTTAGATTAGAAAGTTTCATCAAAGTGAGAAGAAATCGGCGTGAGAAACGATGTCTTTTCGTCATCTCCGCCTATGCCCCGACAGATTGCAGCCCGGATGCAATCAAGGAGGAGTTCTACCACCAGTTAACTGTTCTTCTCCAGAAAGTGCGTTCGACAGATATTGTAGTACTAGCTGGAGACTTGAATGCTCAGGTCGGGCGTCTAGGCACAGAAGAGAGTCGTTTAGGTGGCCGATGGGGACTTGTTGGTAGCAGGACAGATAACGGGGAACGTCTACTGCAACTATGCACAGACCACAACATGTTTCTGGCTAGCACTAACTTTCGGTACAGTCATCGCCGATGTGCCACCTGGTATCCTCCTTCTGCATCTCGAGCCTGGACTCAGATTGACCGCATCGCGATCAGCTACCGCTGGCGTGGTTGTGTACAAGACTGCCGCTCCTTTTGGAGTACCTATCTGGAATCTGATCATGCTCTGGCCTGCGCCAATCTTACCTTACTTTTCAGTGGACAACGAAGTGACCGCCACCAAAGGATTGATGTTAGCAAGCTGGCTGCAACTTCTGTTGCTAGTAAGTACCGAATCGAGCTAGCTTCTAGGCTAGCCACCATTCCACCGAAAAGTATAGATGAGCATTGGTTGCAATTGCATGACGCCATGAAAATGGCGGGTCAAGTCTGTTGTGGGTTCGCGAAACGTCCCGCTTATAAGCACTGGGTTTCTTCTGGTTCCTTACAACTGATTGAAGTCCGTCGGTCTACTCCGGGTGACCGTGAGTTTGACCACAGACAAAGGATGTTACGTAATGAAATCGGGCAAAGCTTGCGTAAGGACCGAGAAGCCTGGTGGTCGGAGCGTGCTAATGAGCTGGAAGCAGCAGCTGCGTCTGGTAATTACCGGAAGCTCTTCCAACTCATCCGAGCCACTGGCAGCAAGAAGTCTGGTGTGAGAGAAACAATCTGCGAGGATGACGGAACGCCAATCATTAACATCCATCGACGTCTTGGACGATGGGAAGAATTTTTCGAAGGGTAGTTCAACTGACCTGCTGCTCCGGCAGCATTGGTCAGACTGTCCTGCCCTGCATGGCCGGTGACGACTGATCCACCAAATGAGGCGGAAGTCCGCAAGCAACTCCAACTCTTGAAACGTTACAAATCACCGGGCCCAGACGACTTACCTCCGGCTCTTTTTAAAGATGGTGGTGACTTTCTGACTAAGGGACTGACGACGTTGTTTACAAAGGTCTGGGAACTAGAGAGTGTACCAACGTCATGGAATGAGTCGATAGTTTTCCCTATCTTTAAAAAGGGTTCACGTCGTTCCTATAACAACTATCGAGGGATAAGTATACTTCCGATTGCGTCCAAGCTATTGGCTTCCGTCATACTTCGTAGATTGTTCAGAACCCGAGAAAGATTGACTAGCGAGGAGCAGGCTGGGTTTCGTTCCGGTCGAGGATGTATTGATCATATCTTCACCCTCCGCCAAATGTTAGAACACCGTCATACTTATCAAAGGCCAACAATCGTAGTGTTTCTTGATATCAGGGCTGCCTTCGATTCGTTGGACAGAACTGTTCTCTGGGACTGTCTATTGAAGATGGGTGTGCCTGAGAAGTTTATTAACATCCTAAAAGCCCTATACACAAACACCTCAGGCAGAGTGAGGGCATACAACCACCATTCTCCACTATTCCATTCGAGCAGTGGAGTTAAGCAGGGTTGCCCAATCTCACCATTCCTCTTCAACTTTGCCATCGATGACATTCTGGAAACAGCTCTGACGGATGTAAGTAATGGTGGTGTGGATCTGTTGCCTGGAGAAAGACTTCTCGACCTTGAGTATGCGGATGATATTGTCTTACTGTGCGAGAATGTTCAAGCCATGCAATCCGCACTTAATCAGTTGGCAATCAATGTCCGTAGGTATGGTATGTGCTTCGCACCTTCGAAGTGCAAAGTACTTCTACAAGACTGGCAGGATACTAATCCTGTACTCACTCTGGACGGTGAGCAGATAGAAGTGGTCGAGAAGTTCGTGTATCTAGGTAGCTGCATAAGTGCTGGTGGTGGTGTGAGTGATGAGATCAATGCACGTATAGTGAAAGCCAGAGCGGCTTATGCCAATCTGGGCCATCTTTGGCGCCTTCGTGATGTTAGTCTGGCTGTTAAAGGTCGGATCTACAACGCGTCGGTGAGAGCAGTTCTGATCCATGCTTGTGAAACCTGGCTTCTCCGAGTTGAGGATGTTAGACGACTCTCTGTGTTCGATCATCGTTGTCTCCGAAGGATTGCTGGCATCCAGTGGCAACACCATGTTAGTAATACAGAGGTTCGGCATCATGTGTTCGGGCGCAGAGACGATAATGCAATTGGTGTCACCATCTCGAAACACTGACTTCGGTGGCTTGGACATGTTCTACGAATGTCGTCCCAGAGAATTCCTCGTCGTGCATTATTTGCCGAATCTGGGACTGGTTGGAAAGAGCGGAAAGGCGACATGTGTATGACATGGGGTCGTGGTATGAAAGAAAGCTGCAAAGGGCTGGCTTCTGTTGGACCTTCACGACTCCCTAGCTGGGGTCCGAGAGATGGTGTAACGCAGTGGTTAGAGACGTTATCAGATATGGCTCAGAATAGAAACCAATGGCGATCCTGCTGTAACCTTCTTTTACTTTCTTCATAAAAAGTGGTTGTATCTTCCTTAACAGAAAGATTTCTTCTGATTGTACCTTTCCGTTTCCCCCATTATTGTTCTCTCTTTTTTTCTCCTTTCTCTTCAAATTATCATTGTTTTGTGTGGCGCATATATATTTGGTGCCCCCTTGTACCAATATTTATGTGTTCAAATAAATAAATAAATAATTCCCACTTTCGTCCATAACATTATTTGCAACTGTAAGGATTTTTTACTAGTTCTGCTATTGGGACTGTTCTTCATCTCTTACTAGGTAGTTTATGGTAGGATATTTCCTTTGTATTTTCATTTGAGTTCATGAATAATGACATATTCGTACCTCATTTTCCCAAAGGGTAGATAAGAAGAGAATTGCACCGACTACTATGATGTCTCTGTTTGAGTTTCTTATCATTTGGTATCTCTGTAAAATAGTCTTCTTAAAAGCTCATAAAATAAATTGTAGTAGATAAGCATAATTAATCAGCTAAAAGACATTGAAAGCAAAATAAATCGTTGCAATCGTTGGAAAACAGGTAGTTCAAAGACCTAGACAAACTAAAATTATGTACATATATGGGTATAGATGAAGTTTTCATCGCTGTAAAAACAAAAAATTCCATTCAATCTTTATTCGTACCTATTACTTTATTCTAAGTAATAGTAAATTTTCTGGCTATCAATGGATTTATTTTCAAGTGTTACCGTTGCTTTTAAAATGTATAAACTAATGTGATTCTTTTCACAATAGATTTTGGGCCATTCTTTGAAATCAATTCTCTGTAAACGTCTCATTATTGTTAACGTATAATTTTTCATTTCCTTTTCTTATCGTTAAATATATTCGTCCATTTGTTTTCGAATTTTTTATGCAGATTTTATTGACATCGTAAAAGATCCAATAACTGGAAGTGATTATAAACCAGAAGAAGATCCTAGTATTTATGTATCAGAAGCAACTGGTCGTGGTCCATTGTCACCTAATTGGCGTGAGGAATTTATTCATGCTCAGCAAGTGACTCATGAAACTTATGAAAAACAACCAACTCGAACCCATGATAATTCACCAGCTATTGTTGAAAATCTGAAGCCACTGCATAAACGTATTATGTGTGCATATAAACTTTGTCGAGTAGAGTTTCGTTATTGGGGTACACAAACACGAGTGGAACAGTTTATCCATGACACTGGTATGTAACACTTTTACGTCGAAAAGTTAAATGATTTATGCTTCATGTTGTCTACTCAATTTGATAATTATTTATACATTATTTAACAAATATATATGAATCTCAGTAATCATTATTTGTAAAATAATCCAGAATAACTTTGGCCAATATAATTAGTGGATAAAAAACAGATCCGATGCAAGCCGGTATTATTTCTTCTCTTACTCATTTTTCAAATAAAAGTTTGCATACTCGAATTTGAGGCACAGTATCTTTTTTTTATGAATAGTGATACAATTAGACTTCTCAAACTGAAGTGTGGTTGAAACCTTCAATCTGTTGGTTGGAAACCAAGTCCTTTTATTGTTAGATTATCGTATACTACTCGGTCTGGAGAAGTGTTTCGAGTATTTTTCACTGTTTTAGAATCTCTAATAATTTGTTTGGGTTTGTTTTAATGCGGTACGAAATGTACTTAAAGTATGGTTCGTTTTATATGTAAATCAACTTTGCAAAACTTGTACTGACATCATCGGGGTTGTTAGTATGTTTTTATCACGAAAACTATCAATATGAAAGCGATGAGTTCTGTTCGTTGATCTGCCGTCTTACAAAGAATTTTGCTAATTTTCAGAAATAAAAACTGTTCTCTAACTAGTTCCTATTAAAGATATAATTCTAACGTTTTAGGAACTGAGATCGAACAATTACATTTCACAACTATATTGTGATAAAAGAAAATTAACTATCTCATTATTTCTTTGAAGCTTACTAAATAGGAAGTTAATCAATTTCACAACTTGTATTGTGTGGTAGTCAAAGTGAACTCGCTCTTTCGAGTGTATGCAACTTTCTATAGTGTTGTCACGTCTAAGCATGTTACTACACCTATATAACGTTTCACCCAATTAGTTCATCTGGAATATCCTTTTCGAAGTTCTACCATGTTATTAAGGTCGATTGGGATGTGGCCAAACCAATTTCTACAAATTTCATAGAGTAAAACACCAAACAATCATTTCAAACTTGAGATTTACTGTTTAGTTTGTCTGATTGTAACTTCAGAAATCTGTTCTCAACAGTAAGACAGCTTTTATGGCAAATTTTTTCGTCTTCAAAAACAATTAAAAATCCTCTTTGAAGGGTGGTTTTTAAAGTGTGAACTCGGTTTTTTGAAAACTTATCAGTTATTAATTGCTATCAAAAGGTTAATTATTCGTAAACACTTATTAAAGCAAACTGTAATAATAATTTATTAAATTGTTGTAATTTTCCGAATCATTGGAAATATTTCTCCATTTACCACCGAATTGAGAGGTGCACACTTCACATTCATTATAATCGTATTGAACTGGTGTTTCAGTCTAGCCTAAATAATTTACGCATTGTCATCGTACTAAAATATTTTAAGATATTTTGCCCGGAAAGAACGTGCACCATCGATCCAATTAGTATGTACTGCTTATTTACCATCTGATTTTTTAGTATGATCGTTAGAAGTCAGTCAGTGCTAAGGACTACATAGATACGATATTAGTTACTGTTCATTGGTGGATTGGTGCAGATATCTTGGTCAGGACGCTAATAACTCAGCATTATTAAAATCTTTGTCTATAACACTTGATAACGCGAGCTCAAATCTCATGGCGAGTGTTAGTTCCCAGTATATTGCAGGTACGCTTTGTTGATTAGTGCCAACTATCACAAAATCTTGATCGAAGGTTTACTGCTCGTGGTTTCCAACCGTCTAACATCAGAGCATTTCACGTGAAGTCGGTTCACTTTGACTGGTATTGACTTTTACTGGAATTCGTCGAGAATTAAGGGCTAGACAAACGTAATATTGATTAGTATTCGGTTATCAGTGTATAATATTTATATATTTGACTTTCTTACAATAGGATTATAATGAATACTACAGAATGCTTTGTCGTCTTCTAAAACACACAAAATTATTTGAAATTTTATTCCTTTATTTTAGCACTTCGAAAAACTATGCTAAGAGCACATCGACAGGTATGGGCGTGGCAAAATGAATGGTATGGTCTTACAATAGAGGAAATTCGTCGTTTAGAAGAGGAAACAGCTCAAGCATTAGCGTCCAAAATGGCTGATCCCAGCCAACCGCCAAATAATGACGGCGAGTTATCTAAGCAAGTTCAATCAACAACATCAAGCATCAATGAAACTATGAATGCTATTGAAGTGAAATGTAATCAGCCTGATGAAGTTAGTTTAAATTTACATTAACTAGTTTTGGATTAATAGTCAGCTGACTTATACGATACATTCTTTTTTTTCTTAAAATCTTTACATTTTCATTTCTGAAGCTTATAAAAGCCTTAATTTACATACCGTTGAACATTCAAATGAATTCATAGAAAATATACACTTTTCTGCGAATTGACTGGTTTATTTTATCAACAATGGGCCAGACGTTTTCTATACAACGTTCAACGAATATATAAGTATATCGCGCACGAAATCACTGTTAGTATCATTGTAAACACCATAATCAGATTAGATTACCACTCTAGTGCGGAAAATGAATACACTCTATGTACAGACCATTTACTTACGTTTGAGAGAACACACTCAACATTTAACTAGGCGTCGGTCTGTTGAAAGACCTCATTTTAACTCAGTTCCAATCGATCATCAGCTTGCTGTTACAGTGAAGTCTGGCAACCCAGCCTAATGTTGTTTTTTACCTTGCAACTAAATGAAATGTCTTTTCAACGTCCAGGTGTGCAACCACAGATGACTGTTATCGCCGGACAGAACTACTGACGCAAATCAACGATTGATAACTTGTCTTTATCCACGTTCTTGTCATCAAAAGTTAGGGTCTGTTGAATATCCTTCAACAAACGTCTGAGACAGTAGGTAAAATAAATAACTATCTACTTGAGAATTTTCCAGACCACTAATTACGTGGTTTTCTGCTTGTGATAGCGTATTGTTGTCTAGCTGAACCGTAGCTAATAAATTTCCATAACTTACTAATGCGAATGTGAAGTGACTTACGAGTTCTTGTCTTAAAATTTCATATAAATTGCCTGAGTCTGGTTTCGTAATTCTCACATTTGTTCCGCTAATTTATCTGGCGACAGCGAACTAGCATACCTAAACATCGCTTTCTGATTGTTATTTCTGTGGGCTAGAAAAATACTTTTTAAGCATACACACCATAATATTGGGTCTCTATCTATAAAGCAGGTACAAATAAAAAGATGGCACCCACTAACCCCAATTTAGAAAAGGCGGGCAAAAAATATCTTGCGACTTGTGTTGATAAATGTTATTGCGATTCCAAAGTTTAAAATAGCGGATTAGATCTGAAAATAGTTCCGAAAATGTTAATTTTGGTGCAACTATAAATTATAACCCAAAAGTTTCCTGGATAGCGTTTGTGATATTCTTTCCATCAGATTCAATATTTTATTGGGGGCGCCTCCCAATGAAACCGAGCTTCAAAGATAAATCGTCCCAGGTTACTTTGTACGACTTGATAACCGTATTGTTAGCAGTGTGAAACGAAAAGTCGAAATACACAGAGCTGTAAAACAATATATTTGTAGTGAATTATAGAAACATAATAGACATAAACAACCTCTTAGTGTTCAAACAAAGATGGAAGTATATCGCCACTAAATTTGCACACAAACAACACAATAATACATTTTTCACGAGTTTATTCAGACGTTTCAAGATATCCAAAGTATGTCAACTACACGGTAAATACTCTAGGTTTAATTTACTAATAGCTTTTGTATAAGATGATGAAAGTTTTTTTGACAAATGTTTACTGAATAATTACACTAAAAGCCATGAATATGTCAAATCGTATCTAAAAAATGTTAAGTAGGAATCTTATCCAGATCTGTAGAATGTTAAACACGAAATGTTATTGATTGCATCGTTCGGTGTATTCCAAAATAAAAATAATCTCTTGTTTGCAAACACGATAGCCTGGTGGATTTTTACATAAATTTTGGGAGTTACATACATACACAGACTATAAAATTAGTTTTACGGCATTTTTAAGCAGTTTACTCAAAGTTAATCTGATAAGATATGGCTACTATATCATTTTCAGACATGCAACCTGGAACAAATATTCGACTCAAGTTGCCAAATCGTGAAACAGAGTGAATAAGATTGAGCCAATAATAATAGTGGCATCTCTGAAAGTAAAATGAACTAAACAGGAAGAATGTGGTTCAAGGTGAACGAATTGGTTTGCAGAATTAAAGACGATGAAGTAAAATTATAATTCAATACTTATGGGTTGATGGAAAGAAGCAAATGGGTCTACACCAATGTGTGATCTTTTTTGAATTATATCGTTTGAGATTTCCAACCATTAATCAGGGTTACTACTCCAGTTGTTATGTTAGAGCTGTATTCTCAAATATTGTGAATATATATACTATACAAGAGAGTATATACTTTATCAGATACCTTTCTCGGAAATCTATAGTTCCATGTCAATTTCCATTTGATAATGTTATCTGCTGAAACGTATCCCGATTCATACTTCCATCAGTTACGTAACACAAATTGAAATTTCTGTTAACCTATATAATTTCTAATCACTAAGTATGCAATTATCTACTTTTCTTGAAGTCGTTTAAGTAAAGTGTTCAAATGAGTTCTTACCGTTTACGAAATGTACCAATGTTCCTTTGATATGTAATTTAAATTGAATCGATTCATATATAAGCCAGCTTGTAAATTGTTTATAATTGACTATGACTGAGATGAAAATAGTCACATACTTTCAACCATATTTATTCTACATTTTTCACTTTATTTCAGCCTTTAAATTGTTCTGTATATTTGAAATCGTTTTTTCTCTACAAAAGTATTGACTTGACGCTTTCATGGTTTTGTACTCCTGCTTTTTTTGTTTAAATTTTATTAGAATTGTGAATCCGATTCAAGCACAGCGACATCGGAAAAATTCGATCTTCCAGTTAATTCAACTGATATTGCAGGTGCGGATTTGTCTAAATGCTACTCGTCCAGTTAAAATTACGTAATCTGAATAGATATTATGTATAGTGTGTTTTCCTTTTTTTATGTATGTACATATGTATGTCTGTAGGTGTTATCTCTCTCTTTATACTGTTTTCGTTATTTTTATCGACAATCATTTCTGAGGAATCATATTTCAAGTATTGTTGATGGTAAAGTTAATTAAATATGTAGAAATAATCTGTGTCAGAAATCTCCTGCAGATTAATAATATTTAATGAACAAATAAGTATATTAAAACAAACTTCAGTGTAATTTAATCCTTAATCTGATCTTTTACATGTCCTCATTTATTCACGTATAGAAATCTGTATTCCATTAGTGGATATATCTTCTAAGCAACGAATAGGAATATAAGACTTCGTTCATTTAAAAAAGCAATAAGAATGGTATCAAATAGAGTCGAGGTATACATCCTAAAAATTATACACTAAGTTGAAATATTTTAATAAATTTATTTTACTGCTAATTTTCCTTTGTTTTCACCTTATTTTTATGTAATTCATCTTTATCACTTCCTCAGGTTAAGTATAGTGTAATACTTAGTTAGATAATTGATTATCTTCAGTTGTTCACTTCTTTTTTTCTCTTTTTTTTGATTGTTTTCCTTACTACAATTTTAGCATAAAATTTTCCAAATACTACTATTATAATATACTTTGTACTTATCTTTCTATTTTACACTATTTATTTGTTATTACATCTTATAAATATAACTAATATAATGCGGCTAAACTCGAAAAATGTTTTTCATTTGTACGTCTTATTGTTTACGTTTGAATAGCTTCAATGTGAAATATTTTAAGAGTTAACATAAAATGTTCTATTTTGTTGTGTGTATTTATCCATGGTATCTATAATTTAACTGTTATTTTGCTAATCTCTATGCCTTCCTAGATAGTTATGACGGTTTATGTTGTTTATATTTGAAGTTTGTCATATATATATATATATATATATATATATATATATATATATATATATATATATATATATATATATATATATATATTCGTGTGTGTAATCATTAACTTTCAGTATTAGTGTATAATATAGTTGTTTATTGGATATTGTTGTTACTACCTCTACTGCTGTGTAATTTGCCTTGACAATTTCACCTCGTTGTGCTATTAGATTATGGCAACCTGAACCGATGTACACATTTGTCAGGTTCTACGTTGCATTTGATTGATTGATTAACTACTGTTACAGAAATATTTTACACGATATCCATACATTATTTTCTATGTCTACGGATAGTTTTTTTCCAAAGAATCATTTGATGGTTTTAAGTTTTCATCTTAATAATGTTTTGGTTGACATTGTAATCTGGTTATCACAAAAATGACTAACGAGTTCTGTGTGATTCGCTCAGTTTTCAAATAAAATTCTGCATGTATTCGTTGATTATGTACTATTTGTGTACACTGTGCCTCGTTATCTTGTTCATGAAAGTACTCTAAAGCAAATTTTATGCTTAACTGATGAATTACAGTATTGAAGTACCATAAAGTATCGCTCTCTGATTGATATATGTGAGCATAATCAGGTTTCGTTCAAATTTCGTGTTATTTTGATGCTACAGTAACTTTGATACCCTATTTAATTTTTTTTATAAACAGTGCTCACTATTTGTATATTGTCATTGAAATAGTTCTTGCCGATAGTTTGTGTGTACAGTTTATTGTCATTTCTAATTATTAAGTGTAATGTTGTGTTTCTAACTTACTGAGTAGGAGCCCATTCTCATACAAAAGAACGTAAAATCTAATGTTATATTGAGTTGTTATATGCTATCTAATTGTTCTTTGTAATGTACATTACACATAATAAGCTTACAAACTTTTCAAATCAATTGTCTTCGAGCACTTAAACGTAGTCAGTGACTTTATCTTTTAATATTTCATGTACCATTTAGTGTCATTTATTTTCTATAATCGTATTACAACAATACAGCTTTTGTAAATTTAAATGAGAAAGCTTTCTATTGTAGGTCTTATAGCTATGTCACCAATTACCGATATGGATATCTTATCTGATTCTCTATATTTATTATTTTTATTTTGTTTTTCTTCTCTACTACTAGGATGTTGGCATCTCACTTTAAATCTCATTTTACTAACCTGTTTCCTACTTTCATTGTTCTTTTAACTAACTTATTCATATTAGATTACCACGGATTTATTTTTAAGCTTAAATGACACATCCATAAATATGATTTCATTCTCAATTTACAGAGGTTATAAAAACAATCCTTTGTTTTTTCTACTGAAATGTCAAATTCAGATATATTTCTCAAGAAATATGTTTAATTTGTCTAATTCTTCGTATTTTGTCAATTTTACTTTCTTACTAACTGAACCCTTCTTTCCATCTAAAAGTAGGTTTTTGGAATACACACAACAGTCCATTTATTCACTGAAGTTTTTTCGTATTAACGCTGTCATATCAACGGTTTACGTACTTTTCTAAAAAAATTGAATTATTCTAAATTAATTTGACTAGCAACATTTTAGTTTATTTTTTTTAGTACTAAATTTATATTTGTACTTTTTATTTTTTGTTGTGGTTTGATTATTTATCCCGTTGTTATAATTCACTTCTTATGCATACACGTATACGTCTTTATTCTAACTGCCATTTAAAAGCTAGTTGAACGTTATGCTAATAGATATGAATCTGTATAAATAATATTGTATGCATCTAAATGTATTGTATAATTATTTTCACTAACGGGAAAATGATTAACTGTTTTTTTTTTCTAAAATAACATTGGACACGTGTATATTTTATGGAAAACTGTGCTACATTGTTTTCTTTTGCTGGAATTTATAAGTCTTTTTTATCTGGTTTGAAATTTAGTTGTATACTTTTTAGATAAAACTTTATGTGTTCATTGGCAGTGTATTTATCATTCTGTATACTGTAAATTGTTACTCGAACATTTATTGTGTTTAATAAATCTTAGTTCATATGAATTAGATACTATTGATTTTACTGAAGACTATTAGATAGTTTCAATTTTAAAAAATCATACCAACTCAAGCCTTAAGATGACTTAATCAAGGAAGATTTTATAGATGAAGGATATTAAGAATCGAAAGGCATAACTGTAAAGTTCATGCTGATTTTCGTTAATCAAATCATTGTTATCATATTGGAACAAACAATTTTGAAAACAATTTATGACTTAATGTTTTAGAGTTATTTTCAGTCTACTTCTCTGTGATAATCATGGTTTTATAATGTTTTGGAAAATTTTGTATAAGAAATAGAATCATACTATTTCATTTTATTTAAAGTAGATTTTTAAAGTGATAATTTCATAAAAATACAATCGATTTTTATTTCAATAGTAACCGTTTCTACACAGTATTTATATAGAACTGTATAGTCTAATTTAAACTTGTGAAAAGTTAATTCGATTATTTAACATATCACTAATTATTACACTAATCCATTCATATCTAGATGGTGATTGAAAGCAATAGAATAACTGGTTTCCAAATACTAGTTCAAATATAATTGCAATCTAGCCATTATTATTATTATTATTATTAAATTCATCATTCCTGATAACATATTGTTTAGGAGTCTTCTCACTTTTACTGTTATATGATAATTTTAACCATAAATCCAATAAAAAGAAGCAATCTCATAAATCTGAAGTCATCCCATTTATGTTATTCTGATAATTGATTTCAATGATAAATAATTTAATTATTAATATTGTTTTACTTATCATATATATATATATATATATATATATATATATATATATATAATTCAACGTTTTAGATAATATATTGTTAATCGTTTTCTTCTTCGTGATATGTTTTAATTTATTTAATACTTACTCCTGTTACTCCTCGTGAAGGAGCATAGGCAGCTCACCAGCATTCTCCATTCAACCCTGTCCTGGGCAATCCTTTCCAACTCTTTCCAGTTATTACTCATCCTTTTCATATCTTCTTCTATTTCCGCGACATAATGTGTTCCTTGGCCTTCCTCTTTCTGCTTCCCTTCAGGATTCCAAGTGAGGGCTTGCCTTGTGATGCAGTTTGATGATTTGAGTAATGTATATCCTATCCATTTCCATCGTCTTTTCTTAATTTCCTGTTCAGCTGGAAGCTGGTTTGTTATCTCTCACAGAAGGCTGTTACTGATGGTATCCGACCAATGGATGTTGAGTATCTTGCGTAGACAGCTACTTATAAATACAATTTAATCTCTAGTGGAAAATTCATTTGTTTTGTACATATTCGTCATTATCGCATAATTTATACATATATTTATTCTCAGTACTATTATCATTCATAAAATTACAAATGAAAAACTTTATATATATATCATAATGAATAAAATAGATGTTGAAAGAATGGGGCTGATGTAAATACATTTTATTGTTTTTAAACACAATTTCATTTAATCTTTTCATCTTTCTTCATAGTTAACAATATAAATATTTGTTTTTGTTATCAAATTCAAAAAAGATATTTTATTTGAGTGAAACAGTAGTAATATCAAAATTGACAAGTTTCTCAATTTCCTATTAAAGCAGTAATAATAGTAATAATTATTATTATCTTTTTTTTAGAACAAAATTTATGGGCTGATTTTAAGAAATTAGAGGCGAACAATTTTGAACTTGATGATTTTGAACCTTTTACAGCACCGTGTGCAGGTAACTGTTACTTTGTCCTATGTATGCATACTCTTTACTTTAGGATATGACAACCTGATTGCTCAAAACATTTAATATAGGCACACGTCTATACTTTACTGTTTACTGTATTCAGTGGACTTGTTGGGTAAACTATTTGAAATGAGTTTGTATGTTAGCATTTGAGTATTCTGAATAAATTCTTAAATAAAACACTAAAAGATTATTAGAAATATAACAGAAAAATGGTATAACATAAAAGGGATCAGAAACTATCACACCATCCAAGCATTAGAATGGATTAATGATTAAGAAGATAGATTCAAGGTGTAAGAAACTTGTTTCGAAGACTTTTATAAACGTAATAATGCACACCTGAAAATTTTTATTCAAAGATTTAAAGACTGTTTGAAGGTCAATTATTATTACTGCAAAATCGTTTATCATCAAAAACTAACCTTATTCCACATAGGTCTCGAAATTACATATATTATTAAGTCATTCCTCATTACTTTCGCCGATTCACATTTGTTTGAATATATACGTTAAGAACAGTTTTCGAACAATGCAGTCATGTCTATTGAAATGTGTGCTTAAGTGTCTTAGGAATTCATTGATTTTATTTATTCTAATAAATAAGTAGATCAGAAGACTATGCTGATCAATGGAAAAAATACCAATTAAACAGATCATAGCGTGGTGTATCCTACTTACGTTGACAGATATAATAAGTGTGTAGCACCAATCGAAAGTGGAATGCATACCAACAGAAGATTGAGACGATTCATCCGAAGAGAGTAGAAAGTAATTGTAGTTGAGACAGAATTCAAAGAATCATAAAGCATGTAAAGGACAACTGATGGAAGATATGCAAATAATGTATTTACTGTATGGTTTTCATATTTTGTAAAAGCACTCTAATTTTGTATTAAACAATAATTTGGTTTTTCTTATCTGACTGTTTCTTCACTACAATTGGACTGACCCTAAAACAGCTTTGAAAATTTTCACATGAAAATTTTTAGGGGTTCATTCTAAAGTTTGTGAAAGCCCCGGTCATCAAACAATTCAAGCTTCCGTTTTATGTTTGGGAACAATTTTTTCTTAAGTTTAATTTGTTTTACTAATCTTTAATCCACTTTAATGCCTCAGTGTTAGGGTTGAAAGCTATCACTAGTTCATGTAATCTGCGAACGAGAACGAGATTCGATGATCAAGGTCCAGTAAGCTAACTATTGACGCGTCCCCGCCCCAGCTATCTAGAGGGAGAAGTCCAAGCTCGGAATGAGAAGTGTATTCTGCAGCAACCAGAAAACTGAGCGAGCTTAGTAGAAAATACACTCGTTTATATATTGATTGTACACCCGTTTTGATTAATAATTAGAATGAAATCCCATACATGAAAAATACTCACAGTTATAACAAATCATACGCTGAGTATAGTTCATAGTCAATGAAATACAAGAATATTGTATATTATACAGATTAAAATATCATACGAGAAAAGAAAATGAATACTACATTGAGTGATCATTACATTGAATCAAAAAGGATGTAATGATGAATAAAACTCATATTGAATAAATCGAATATTGATTTTTCTTCCCATCATATCACTCAGACAGTATGATAATTGATTATTATTTTCAGTTTTCCATTTCTCTCTCTGTGTGTTATGCTTTTAACTAACACGTATTATCCCTTCCACATTTTATTTAATCCAACCTTATTTTGAACATTATATAAGTGTCTCGATAAATAAACATGTGATCAGATTGTTCGAAATATTTCTTTTTTTTGGGGGGGGGGTACGCATTTCATTTTTCAAATGAACTCAGTACGCTTTGGAAATTTATTAGGGATATCAATGGTTTTAAGGTTTGTTAAAATGCTCCGAGTTTTTAAGACTTCCGTTACAAACAACTGTCCTCAAGAAAAATAAGTCGTTTCAATGATGATAATTTTTTAGATTTTAACTAGTAATTTATAATCTGTAAAATTAACTAAACAGAGAACAAAAGTATTTGCAGCTGGGATGCAAAGAGGTTATTTGGGTAGATCGCGTATATTCTGTTGTTGCAAGTGTTAACTCTTGTATTCTAACATAATCATTTCTGTTTCGTGTCCACTATACTATAGAGCTAAGATTTTGAACTTCCTAAATCTTTTTCAAGTATAACGAAGCAGTTCTGTAGTACTGTACTTTGACGAAGTTCTTTAACTGATATCAGCTTACGAAAACAAAAAATAACTCGAAATTTCTTCGTGATTGTTCGATGATTATCATTGTCACTGAATTGTTTTGTGTTAGATCTGTTTTAAACTAATAATAATAAAGTTGCTATATCTTTTCTTTTACAGAATCTGATGATGATACTAGGTCATTTGTTACATGTTGTAGCGATCTTACTGGGAATACTGGTTATGCTACCCCTCTTGCGTCAAATTTTCAAAGTTTTGATATTCCAGGAATAAAATCTTGTAAGCTACATTTTTAAAATCATGGTTTCATAATACATAAGACGCATAAACTGGTTGGGAATTAATCTCGGTAATTTCGTACATTTATGTGGCAGATGGTGAATCATTTTATTTAGTACGTGCCAGTTCAGCTTACCTCTATAGTTGATGGTTATACTGGAAAAGCTACTTTTTAAAAATCAAACTTAAATAAAGTCAACAAAGGTGTAATCAACGAGGAAACCAAGTTTCATGTTTTGTTTAATGTTTTAGAGTCAAATAGTAAAAAATTGTTAATCAGAGTTTCCTATTTAAGCAGCTAATATTCTTTATAATTGATTGATCACTGAATAGCGATCAACGTCAAATGTGTCAGGTCCTCTTTAGCGCAGATCGAATTCTGTTGACCAGGTTGCAATGTTGCCACTAGTCTAGGTGACTCGACATCGCGTGCACCATGTTGAGATGAGTTTGTGGTCAACTACCTTAAACCACCATCTCAAACTTATATTGCTTTCGATAGTTTGAAATGTTTCACTCTGTACTTCATTGTAAGAAATTACAACTTTCTCAGTCATATCACGTCATTTTTTGTAAAAGTTAAGTTGTACAAGAAGCATTAGCGAATAGTTTGATTACGAAATCGTTTAAGGGCAGTATGTAGTTTGAATAAAATTAAACTTTTCGATAAAACGGGAAGATTAATTTACATATTTTCTTCTTTTACTTTTCTCGTGAATAGGCTGTAACCAAAAACCTATCTCTAGTATTCAACAAAATTGTGGTAAACTAGTCCTTATATTAGTGATTCATGGTGGTAAGTGTTTCTTTTTTCTTAAAACGTGGTCAAGTTTCCATACTGTAAGAGAATTACGAAGGTTGTTCGATGTGTAATTTACGTTAGGAAATGACTTTACATGTAAAACCACAGAAAACCAAAATTCATTTAACCAATATTTCACCGTTATCAACTTATGTAGTACAACTGATCAAACTTTAAGAGTTTTTTCAAAGTTTCCTCTCTTTAAAGTTCATAAGTATCAGTTGTGTTTTTCTGTTTCGTGACTAAACTTCTTTCTGTATTTTGTGATGATACTGTCTAGTTCATGAAAACCTCAAGTTAAGACCACCCAGCTGAAAGAACACAACTTCGATAAAATTGTTCTGTTGAGCTACAGGCTCTCACTATGTCAAAATAAATTATAAATTCATCATTCCGCCATGTATAAATCCCATAGTTTACTTATTTATATCACGTTTAATCTAGTTTTCGACCACCTAATTGTTTCACTACTATAAATGTATTGTTGCTCCCGTTTACTTCCTGCATATTTTATTTATGAAACACTCACTAATAGTGAAACATTTGCATTGCATACAAGTCCTTACTTATAATATTTATTATCTGTATTTTTGATACTCTCTGATTGAAAAGAAAACCTTTTCAAACAACACATCTTATGTCCTTTCTTTTTACTGTGTTGTCTTTTGAAAAAATCTATTCAGGTTGTATACTTGACTCAACTTACGATTTAACTACAAAACGTTCCGATATTTTAACTTTTCGAAAAACAATCGAAACAGTAACAGCTAATCACTATCCAACATTACATAATCGAATAGCTGTAAAACTTGTACCGTGCCCTACAGAAATCGGCGATATATTCCGATTATTCTCCAAGTATGTTTCCGTCTTTCTCTTCAGTTGTTTTTTCTTTATTTTCTGTAGTTCAATTAAAACACTAAATACTGTCAATGCAATCGACTATCTATTTCTATAATTAATTTGGTTTGTTTGTGTTGTTTATTTATTTCTTCGTAAGGTTGAAAGCTTCACCAGATCCTACTAGGCCAATTGAAACTCAATTGTTACGTGATTTAATGCCTTTGGGGAGTATTCCCTTATTTTTGATTAATTCATCTGGATATTCGCGAGTAAGTATGATTTTGACCTCTTATTTGTGATTTAATGTTGTATATATACCTTTTTCATGGCACTTATTGGTTTTCTTCATCTGCATTCGAAAAATTCCCGCTGTCCTTTTTCCGACACGATAATTTGTTGGGTAATCAAGAAAATATACCATTACGCAGTTGGTCTGAACCAAGTTTATTAATTATACCAAAACACATCAAATATATATGTTTTAGTGGGTAAATAGGTGTATGGACATCAACATCGGGACGCAAGTGCATTCAACTAAGGAGTTCGCAATGGCGTAAGATGTGCGTCTTGCATTCCACTGCAAGTCACAATTTATCTATTGTAAAAATACTTGTGGCATAATAGGGATATCGATACATTCGTCATCGAATGCAAATATGTCAGTAATACTTGATAAAAATTCATTCTTAAATGTCGACTTTAGTATTGTTCAAATCCATACTGATAAAGATATAAACGGAGTTGTTAATTTAATATTCCAATCGCTAAGTTTTCTTTGACTATCTAGTAATGTATGATTGCTGTTGCGATTTTAGCTAGGGCAGCCCCTTAAAATACAGTAGACTGTGTTAGTGGTTATTTGATCAACCATGACATGCATCCAGTAAATGATTCCATTCACAGTCTGCACGTATTACGTTAGTTCTCAGTATGCTTGATCTCCAGATAATCCAATTAGAGCTAAACGTCAAAATTAGATAGTGATATGACGGAATAAGAAAGTGACTGACTGACTTGTTCAGTATGAAAATTGTATTCCCTGTATCATTTCAAATAAATTATATTAGTGTGTATGTTTTTACAGAAATCCTATATGTTTCCTACTATATATGCTGTTATAAAGTATGTAAAAATTAGTATATAAATGATTGTAAATTTGGACCTGACTTTTGGACTTGGTTGAGGAGCCACTAAATTTTCATCCCAATAGTCTTTTATTATCTCACTTCGCCTCATGGGAATTGCAGTGGTGCCCGATTGTTAAGTATGGTCAATAAGACCGCAAACCCTACATAGTCGAAACTTACATTGGGGGTAGCGCAGATTTAACAGATAGTGTTAAGTCGGCTTTCCGAGAACTGCAACAGAGCCTCCGGAGGCCCTGTAGGAGCGAAAGAGTCTTAGCCAATCAGAGCAGGATGGAGTTTTCTAGAATGCCAACGTGGCGTGCTACTATTGGTCAGTAGCATAATATGTCTTTTAGCGGATTGGCCAAGATATGATGTTGATTTAACAAATGTTAACATCTATAAATACCCGTGTTTTTCTGTACAAAAACGAACCTTGAAGTTAAGTACTTTTCGCATACTTTGCGCCTTCTCTCTCGTGTTCAGGTCGCTGTATAGTTCTAGCTTGGGGGTCTTCAAGAATAGCTTAGGAATCGAGTTTAGCGTTCAAAATCTCAAGACTTATCAGATAGTTTTATTGAAGTGTGTCACCTAAACTTTTTCAATCATTTTGCAATGAACGATACTAATTTTTTTCGAAAACACTTTGTATTTGTGAACTATAATCATCTCAAGCGTTAGTTGTAGGTACAAATTTCAACTGCATGTTTTTAAGTATATTGTATAACATAAAAAGTGATTAACTAATATTTATTTTTAAGAAAAGAAACAAAACAATATTCATCTGTTGAAGTTTGTATAATTTACGAACATTCCTGTTTATTTACACCTTGATATTGCATCTTAAGCAGAGATAGATAGTGGTTAGCAGTAGAATTCAGGACTCACGTCTCAACCTATTTGTGACTCGTCAACCGGATGTACATACATTCCAGAGGTGATGTTCACTCTAAGACCGGTACCGAGTACAGTTCACTCCGAACACTATCGAGTTATTCACTGAGCAACTGAGTTCAGATAGCCACTGATTTGTCCAATAGAGTGGATTTTGAATCATTTTTATTGGTTGTTTGAATTTTCCCACTGATATTTAGGACTGTATTTAATCAGTTTCTTAGTAGCAATATCAGGACAATTCGCACAGGATGCACATATGTCAAACAATGAACTCATACGAATCCATGTTACATCGTTTTCCAGTTTCTGTTGCGTAACAAGCCTATTACTTGCTTCTTTCTATGCTAAGCATCAGCCCCACAAAGCTCTACTTTCATATTATATACATAGTTGTTATCTTTTGTTATGTATTTAACTTTATAAGAGAGAAATAGTAATCTTGGAAGTAAGATCAAAAGTCTAGCGTGAATAGCCTGGTTGAAACTATCCCACAATTATTTTTGAATATTTTCTTATTGTAAAAAACGATGAGTTGGTGGTTAACTCCATTTTATATAATTTATAATTTAGCGCTCATTTCATACGAAATGTTTTCTTCACTGATGTGTATCAATCGTTAAGAATATTTAAAATTTCAAGTTGCGTTTGTTAGTTTTAGTAAAATTCAGACCATTCATCCTATATAGTGCTAACAATAATCAAAAATATTCAGACGGCTAAATAAATTGATACACATTAATGAAAAATTGTTTCTAACTTGATCGAATAATTTGAGAAGAAAAACAATAATCCGCTGATACAATATGAAGCCCAACAGGATATTATGTCAATTTAATTTGCTTCACTTTGTAAACATAAAACGTAGGAAAGCAAATATTTAGAATATAGAATTGAAATGATGTGATGAGGACGAGATGATAGAACAATCTAGTGCAATGCAAATATAAACTACTTTTTCTGTTATCTGACTGGTTTTATCCAGGATATGTCAAATTCACCACACAGTATAGATCAATAACCTTTATTTTTTATACGTTAGTTTATTCTGATTACTTTCGCCACTGTACATCAATATTACGTCAAGCAATTCCAGGGATCAAACTAGGCTCTACCCTGAAACTGTAATCATATTCATGCCACGTCCTATATCTCCTCTGATTGACCGACTTTTTGTTTAATTGATGTGTTGAAATTATTAATGATCAAATTTCTATAGGTAAGTACTGTGTATTTAAAATCATTTAGTCTAACTTATCCACAGTGGGATAGTAGGTCGCACAGTATTTGACATTAACTGCTTGCTCATTGTTATTGTTCCTGCCTTTACTAAATAATAAATAAGTGGAGATTACTCTTGGTAATAAATCTTACATTTTTGCTCGTTATCTATATTGTTGACCTTTTCATCTGTCTATATTGATAGCAACATTTCATAAGAAGACAGATAAACATTAATGGTCAAATACTATTGTGTTAGTCATTATATAAAAATTAAGTTAACATTTCAAAGGTTGTAAATTTTCATAACATTACTTATTACATCCGATAAAAATTCGTTGTTTCTTTAGTTTCTGGTATTTTTTTTCCATTTCTTACGTCTAAACATTATGATGAAACCATTGGTTTATTGTTTAGTTTCTTTTCTTTTTAATCATTCGCATATTTTTCATGTATTATATACATATGAATATATATGTTCATTATTTTAATCACTACCTAAAATATTTCGTGCACTGATTTCAAATAATAATGGCAGTATAAAATGTACATGAAATTGTGATACAATAGAATAAATGTACATTGATGAAGATTTTTATAGACTTTCTGTTATCTGTTTCTTAAGTGAAAATCTTGTTTAAATTATGCGCATACACAAATACAGATAATATTTGTACAGATTGTTTTCATTGTGAAATTTTATTTATGATTATTGAAATGTTTACAATTGAAATGACTGAATTGTTCAGAAATTAAATTAACACTTCTTGTACACTGTCTACTTTTATTGATGCTAAAATAGAAAAGATTCCGATTTTAGTGTAGATATTGAATGTACAATTGATTCATTACCGAATAGTAGTGATCAGTGTCATTTTGATTTAATCTTTTAATGCTGATTGAGTTCTATTGACCAAGCTGCGGCTGCCACTAGTCTAAGTGACATGACATCGCCTGTACTATGTTCAAATCTTAAAGGGTTAAAGTTAGTTAACAACATTGAAACCTCACTAGAAGCACCAGTTCTCCCAAAACTAACAGGTACACTTTGCTAATGACTATTAACTACCGCGAAACCTTGGCTAAGGGTATACTGTCAACTGCCTCTAACCACTTAACAAATATTGACTACTTTGGAAATTCTGAATATCAATTTCTGCAACACTTTAGAAGGATAGAATGTATGTCTAACATCTTTATTTGATTACTTTCGACAACTGATTCGCGTAAAACGCATTATTATTACTCGGTGTTGTTGAGATTCTTTCCATCTCTACTTTTCACTAGTGTTAGTCTGTAAAAAACTTCAGATGTTTAATTCACTTGATATTGTTTTACTTGAATCTTCCCATTGATGTTTAAGACTGCAATTGATCAGTCTCTTATTGGCATATGTGCATACTGTGCGTATTGCCTCGATACTGCCTTAATTTACAAGCATTATAAGCAAAGATGGATAGTGGCTAGCAGTGGAATCCAGGATGCGCGTTTTGTCCTATTTGGGACTCGTCAGCTGGATGAACCTGCATCTCAGAGTTAATGTTCACTCTGGGACTCGAACCCAGTACCTTAGCCAGTACATATAAAAGGCCTCCTGAGGTGATGAACTTTTCACCTTCAACGTAGAAAAAAAACACTTTAATTTACTATCACACTATTAACCATCTTTCTAAGAATTTAATATGATCAGTAATAATTCATTTAATTTTCTATGTTATATTCATACTCCATTCATAATTAGTATGTTAAGTAATTATTCCAAATTCAAATTATGATTAATTATGTGTAAATAAAAATGAGATTTCATTAATATATATTCATTCATGAATAAGGAACTATGGTAATATTAAAACAAAATTGATATTATAACATGTGTGATAACAGAGTAACTGATAAAATCAAACTATAAAAGTTCTTAGGAAAACTTTGTTCCCCTTTTGAAAAAAAAACAAAAAAGCAAAAACAAACAAAAGACATGAGTGATAAAAAGAAAAGAAAGGAAATTATACTCTTAACCTCTTTTTAACTGTCTACTGATTCCTTCAGTGAATATAATTAGTATCTGTGACCATTTGTTTACTTATCTTTACTTGTGTACTAAATAAATTTAGGCCAGTATTTATGGAATTCGCACTCTCAGTGTACTCTTTAGTGTGGTCTATACGAATTCTGTTAATCTATTCATAAAATATAGGTCGGATTTAGGTCAATACATCCTTAATTATGAACAGATGAACACATACATAACATTATCACGGGTAGATATATATAATGAATAGTACAATCCGTAGTGAAATTTTTTTGCCTACATTAAGCAACCAGGACTCAGTAGCTAAGTGGATAACGTGATGACGTTTGAAGCGGACGACTCTGGGTTCGAGTCCCAGAGTGAACATCAACTCTGGGATGCAGGTACATTCAGCTGACGAGTCCCAAATAGGACGAAACGCGCATCCTGGATTCCACTACTAGCCACTATCCATCTTTGCTTATAACTTCAGATGTTTGATTAGATTTTGGGTAGGCAAATTTCCTGGCATTAATAACTGTGTTAACAAATGAGTCTTATTCTGTATCGCTTGTGTTAGCTAACTGTTCAACCGAATATTGCTATATTATAAGTCATTTTTTTCCTGTAAATTCTCTGTTTATTAATATAATCATTTATCTGCCTTAGTACTAACCTAAAGCTTTGCTTCACTAATTGTAATCATTCTTAATTTCCTGTCATGTTTATTTTCAAGACTGAATTAATCATTCTCTTTTTTAAGTGTATAACATCCTCGAACGCATATCTCAATGCCATCAAAGTTTTACCAGTTGGTTAACAATGTAAATAGTAACCACTAGTAATTGAGATCTAGAGTAAAGGTGACGTTCTATTTATGTCTATTAACTAGTATTTAACTTATTAAGTTAGTCTGGAACACAAATTTATGTCTATGAAATGAATAAATAAAATTAAACAGCTGAACTATAATTTATGGACGAGCCGATCAAATTTAGAATATCGGGTTTTAAATATTGGCATGAAATTCATCCACCCATTTGGCTAAATAGCATTTTAGCTGATATCAGTTTGTGATATAAACCATAAATCTAATTCCTAACTCTAACCATCGACTGTAAATCACAATCCTAATTCTTCACACTAGTTTATTGCTCTCATTTAGTTCTAGTTAATATGTGGACATTCTCAAGGTCACTTTAACGTCGCTCAAAGGTCGTCCATTTAAAGATCTAATACATCTTACGTAATAAGATTGAACTAAAGGAACAAAATAAGACTGTCAAATAACAAAGGAATTTAACGTGGAAAAATGAATTGTACAAAAATGAAATAAGAATATTAGTTCAATGGAAATGATAAAAAGCGCATGCAAATTTTCTATTTCAATTCATCATATGTCTTAAAGCTATATTTTTAAAATAAAAAAACAACCAACTTTTTAGGATTTTACTTTAAAAATTTTTTTTCTCAGCCTGTTTTAGTTCATTTTGAGAAATCACCGTTTATATTATCGATTTAATCAGATGACTTAACTTACCAAAAAGCATTTAAATTACTCCGTAGTAATAATAATAAAAAAATACAGTTTATGTTTACCCCTTTGTTTCATATATCATAGACTCTTCGGTTTTTTCTTCCTTTTGGGAAAAATTGGTTTTTATTTTATCCATCTTTAATTTGATCTACTGTTATTGATTTATGGTATTGGTTAGAGAAAATTATACTTTGTTTGATAGAATAGAAAGTAGAACTTTTCTCTCTCTCTGTGCGTGTATGTGTCTGACATCATCATGGAGAAAACGACAGATACGGTAGAAAATTCCATCAGTACCAATAGCTATCATTTATTCATATTATTTTTGATATAATGTAACAGTAAAGAGTTATTATCGAAAAGAACTAATCATAAATTTAATAGTTGAGTTCATGAGTCAATTAAAGCTAGACCACCATGAAAAATCTGGAAGCACTTGACGGCCGTTTCATACTAGTGTGGGACTCCACGATCCCGCCCTGCGAGATTCGAACCCAAGACTTATCGGTCTCACTAATTGTGAGTCTGTCCTGTATTATAATGTGAATGGTCTTATCAACCGTGTTAAGTTATCGAGTTAGAAGAATGATGGTACATAGTTGTATTGACCTTGAAATTATTTAAGCTTGTGAATAGAGAGTGAGCTTTATTCTAGGTTGACCTGTATAACCTTAAATTGTATTGATTCATATCAAGGAATTCTTGTTGATGCAAAGTTAAAAATTCTGATATTATGTATTTGTTTGTCAATCTACTTAATTAAGCTTCAGTCGGTTAACAAAAAGGTTTTTTTAAATCAGATGCTAAATAAAAGTACAAATACCCATAAGTTACCATCTGTTAGCTCCTGGATATACTGCTTAAGTTTTTTGTCAACGTTTCGTGCATTTTTCCGTGTTTTCGTGCTACATCATCCCTATATTTGTTAATCAAGTTGTGAATGCGATTGTGTGTTTTATAAGCAACATAAACACGCATGTAGGTAACGATAACGAGATGAAATTAAGAAAAATGTCAGAGTGATAGAATTAGTAACAGTTTCAGTGGCTTTTGAAAATATTAGAAATAGACAACATGATTTGAGAAGAAAGTATTAATTCGCAGAATAAAAATTCTAAGATAATTTTGAACTGAAGATCTGACGGAAGACAACTAGTAAATACACCTGTACCACTGCAAGGCATTATGAGCCGTGTTACCTAACGTCTCCAACCATTGGCAACGACAGTCTAGAGGATTTAGCAGTTTTGACCTACCTACACAGCTCAGTCCAGTGGCCTATTTTTAAATGGATTGATGCCACAACTTCGGTGGATTTATAAGACCAAGACCTATGAACAGTGTTAGGAAGTATTGGTGAACTCATCAAATTATTGCCACGATACGGTAAGGATACAATCCAATGAACGTAATATAAACACATATAAGTCTGTAATGCTGAACTTATTATTTAACTGATTATCGATATGACTGGATTGTTGACAATGTAATTGGTGTACTGCTTTACATTGAAATCTAACTCTAACATATGGTATATTAAAACAGAACATTTTCATACGTTTTTTATCATTTCAACTGAAATAATATTGTTTACTTTCTGTACAGTTCCTTTTTATACGTCAGATTTCTTCGTCCTTTGATAGTTTTATCGTCTTACTTTATTCTTTTTACATATGTGTTCAGTGTTGAAGACAGTCTTCATTTTTCTTCGGTATCATTACCACTGGTTAGCGTTTTCTAAGCGAGTTAGTTTTCTACGGGATGGGGACGCTAACCCCATGCCCAACCCTCCTCCTTTATCCGGGGTTGGGACCGGCAGTAACTCTAGGAGAGCTCACTAAACTTTCTACCCTCAGAAGTTGGTAAACGCGAGAGAGAAACTCTATGACCTATGCTTATATTGATACCTGTTACTGATTACGGAATGTAAATGAATTGATAAAATTGCGGATATTTCTTAGTGTTATCAAGACATCAATAATATGTCTAGGTAATAAGCACATAATATATAGAGAATGTTGGGCATTAATTGAAATTCACTATCAGGAAAGAATAATTTTCACCATTCCGTTTCAATTCATTTTTTTGACTGAAACATGTACAATGTTTGAGTAGTAATGAATGTAGACTATCATGATTTATCTTTTGATTACATGTAAATCAAACTGAAATGGCTGTCTGTTGATTCTGTTTTTCTTACTCTATCAACTCTTCCGGCAATATTAATTCAAAACAAAGGTTTATCAGAGTACCAAAAATTATACAGATTACTGAAGGGTAGAAAAATAACCATGATGTAATTGTCAAGTCGTAATACGTTTTTAGCGAGCTGTTATGCATTTTAGCAAATTGATGTAAAAAACCATATGTATATGTATATTTACATTAAAAAAATCTGTAGTCATTTTCCAAATTTTATATTCAATATAAAAATATTTCTGCAACTAAATTGATCAGTGTTATTAATCAAGTGGTTGGTAGAAGATTTGGATAGTTTGGCGGAAAGTTGACCAATTGTAAAACAAGGAGGACCGGGGGGGTTGTTTTGTCCTATTTAAGAACTCCATGCTATCTTGTAACGTTTTAACAATTGTACTCAATCACTGAGTCAATGCTCAACCTTTTTCATCATAGGGAGTGAATTATGCTAAACAGCTAATCATACTAATTTCATAACCATAGTTTCTAACCAGATCTATAGAATATCCATCTAAGATAAAGGCATTGGTGAGTCTTTGAATACTAATATTCTGCTTATATATTGTATTTGTCGTCGGTTTCGTGAATGGGTTCTAACTTGTTAGACGTAAACATTTTGATGTGGAAGGTTTTAATAGTACTGAATTCGCGCTAAAAAACACTACATCTTGAATCGATATTTGTTTATCATCTATTAAGAACGAGAAATCATTGAACAGTCGTTTTGTGCTGGTATGGAAATACTTAATCAGAACATAATTCCAAACTTAGCAATTTCTAGTTTTTTTATATCTATAAGATTTATAAACTAGATGTTATTGTTCTGTAAACTAACTGTTTGGAATAGAAAGTTGATTAATATTTAAAAACTAAGCAACAATAGATAGTAATGGAAAAATAGTCTAGACCATGAAGTTGCAGTTCAAAGAAATTGTAAGTTTGCTCATTTTAGTATATATATATATATATATATATATATATATATATATATATATATATATATATATATTTGTAATGCTGAATTTAATACCTGTGTATTTCGATCAGTTATTTTTCTACTATAATATTGATTTTTTACCAGTTAATTTTTTATTGGTTAGCTCATATCTCTACCTAGAAATATGGATGCTTTTTCGTTTGATTTTTCTATTTGTATTTAAATAAAACTTTCATATATGCATAAAATTGTAAGCATATTATATATTTTTTTCGACTATTAAATATGTTTTCTACAGATGTTGGAACAATTAGCATTTAATTTGAACACTCATTATGCTGAGTTTTTACGTTCTCCTGAAGGAATCCACTTTTCTGGCAAAGTTTGTATAGTAGCTGACAGTGTTGGTTCAATTTTGGCTCATGATCTTTTAACAAAACCTACTAATCATGAGTCATTATCGAATAACAATGATACAAGTATAACAGATATTGGATTAATGCGTCGTAAACAATTTGGTATTCATAGTTTAATACAGTCGGATAAAGAAATCAAAACCCCAACTTTAATAAACAGCCCCAGTGAAGTCACTTTATGCCCAGTAAGTTTTTCTAGGTGAGTATTGTTCAAATAGATAATTCAGAAATAGTGGGATATTTTCTCATAAATACACCGGCTTTTTGTTTTTAACGATAGACATTGTCATCTTTCGTACATGTGTATGGTTTGATCCTTTTATTTTCATGGAATTAATTCCTTTATTGAATTTGAATCAAGTGGGAATAACAGACGACTGAAACAGAATATAGTGTGAAATCATCGTATTTCGTTGATTTTCTCATGGTTTTTTTGTACAGATTAGTTAATTTTAAAAGATAATATAATATTGGGAAATCGACAATGGTGGCTTTCGGTAGCTGAAATGACATACTTGTTAAATTGCATAATACGGAAATAACTCAAGGCTTGAAAATCAATCAAATGGATTGTGTAACAATTATTGAAAATAAAAAAGGAAATACACAGATTATAAGAATTGGATCTGGGCTTATTGCACAAATCGCTTTTGAGGTAAATGAAGTAACAAATAATCAATGAAAGGTCAGTAATTGTTACACACTGGATAATGGTAAATGGTTTTGGGAAGTTTCTAACATTGGTTAATGACCGTGTCATACTGCGAATCGACTGGAATTCTAGAAGCATTGGCCTTTGAATGCATCTACTCAAGTGATCTCATGATGCAGTGCTCGGTGCGTAACCTGGTTATTCTTGTTTTAGTACTTGATGGTGTCGCGTTCGCCCATCGGGAAGTTGGAATTGATTAAAGTGAAACAGTTCTATAGTGCTTCTTGGTTAATAATGGTTTTGTGACTAAAGCCTGTTGATGGCGACAGTGATTTTCCAATTGAACAATTTTTAAGAACCTATTTAAAAATGTATTCATTTTTTTATAGTTTTTATACATACACTTAAATATTTCTATTTTTAGATTATTGGTTAATTAAAATTTTTTTTATCTAGAGACCGGTTTTCTGTATCAATCTATATGCACGTAATTTGATGATACTTTTCGAATACGTAGTGCATACCTGTTAAAAGTATCAATTTTGTGATCTCTGTACTCGATTCTTAACTATTAGGTTCAATGTTCAAACACTTCACTACCTTTTTTTTATTCTAAATTTATTTGTTTCATATTCCTGCATGCAAATACGTCAAGGATTTAGCTATAAAGTTTATTTTTGAAGAATATCTTTCAATCTGTACATTTGTTACACAAATATCAAATTTTATGAGTGTTTAAAAATAGAAGCTTTGTCAGAAGGGGATTTAGTAGTTTTCTCTGAAAATGTTCTCAAGTTGTATGCTATTCAAAACTTGCATGTAAAATGACCCGCAACAGTTTGTTTTTTTATTCTAAATAAGCGATTATGTTATTTCTTTTTTGTCTATATTCACAATGTATGTTACTGGTGAAACAACCATTTGAAATTTCAAAGTCGATAAAATTAACGAGAGCTAAACGAAATAATATGAGGAAGGAGAGCCATCTAATGAAAATAGGTTTGCGCCTGAGTGAAGACTGAATTCTATAACATTTTATCTGTATTTACTGCCCACTGATTATACCATAAATAATCAGTTATTTATATTTTCTAAAGTTAAAAATAAAGTTTTTGAAAGACTTGGAGAAATTTTTATTAAAAAAATCTTAACTTCAGGAGCATTAGGCTTAATTGAGTAGTTCTATTCAGTTAGATGGTCAAGGGAAAATATCCTTCCACTTCTTGTCTGACTCTTGTAAAAACGTGTTGAGATTTACTGTTGTATACGCGTTTAAATTTAATACTTTCCATGTTAATGCTGAGTAGTAATGAAAAGCATTTTTGTATCACTCTGTAAATAGGTCTGTTACGTATTCTCTTTCAATGTAAGAACCCCTAAAAAATGATCCCAACTACGTACTATTGGATGTGTACTATGTATACACTATATTCTTATCAATAAAATAGCTACGGTTGATTTTTCCAGTAGATGTTTCCTTGAAACTCATCTCTTCAACTCACTGTATTCTCCAAACAACTTTTTTGGATAAATATAAATGTGAAAAAGATTTGCCATTTTCTCGATAGGAATTCATCTAGAATATACATATTTTGAAGATCTATCAATGAGTATGGTCAAAAGCATGCTGAGAAGCGAAATAGACGATTTCGATTCCTTCTCTAGCATTAATTTTCATATCTTAGTTTGTAACGATTATGAATAATTTTTTAACTGATATCAATTTTCGATACATTGTAACTGACTGATATGGCTTCAACAGTAATCTCATTTTATTTTTGTCCTTTTGTGTATTTCGTTGATAAAAGTAAGTTGTACATTAGAAGTATGTTTCAGTAGGAGTTCCTTTAGGTTGACATTTGTATATTATCCGTTCACATTATGTGTCTGAAATGAACAGTCATATCATATAGTTGCTTGCTTCTATAGTAAATGTATTTTTGGTTTTATAACATAGTACTGCAATTATAACCAGAGATGTATGATGGCTAGCAGTGGAATCCAGGACGGCTATCTGAACTTAGTAGTTAAATTGATAACACGATGTCGTTTGAAGTAGATGGTACTGGGTTCGAGTACAGGAGTGAAGATCAACTCTGGGTTGCAGGTACATCCAGCTTATAAGTCCCAAATAAAATGAAACGCGCATCTTTGATCCCACTGTTAGCCACCATCCATCTCTTCTTATAATGCTCGTGACTTAAGGCAATATCGAGGCAATCCGCACAGGATGCACATATGCCAATAAGAGACTAGTTAATTGCAGTCCTAAACGTCATCAGGAAGATTTAAACAACCAATACAAAAACGAACTAATGCTGAAATTGTTTGTATATTTCACATACTATTGTATTCTATAAACCAAAATACATCCCAGTAATTTGGTCAAGTTTCTTATAACTGGTATTGTAACCACGTAAATAAACAGTTAATTTAAATTGAACTGTATTTCTCGGTTGACAGTTTGTAGTTCACTTGTAATTGTTTATTTTTCTGTATATTTCTATAGCCTGAATCAAATACTAGTCTAGGAGACGTTGAATTGTCCAACCTTGAAAATGAAGAATCTAAATCACATAGTCGAATGTCTTCTTTAGATTTTCAAGTATGTTATTATTACCCTTTTCATTGTTAGTAAACTTGCCTTTTTACTATTATCTTCATCAATCAATCAACATATAATACCAATTTGATCTTTACAGTTATTGACATTAAACAATTCATTAGAAGAATGGAATATCATGTGGTTTTTGTTTTGATTCTATTAAAATATCTTTTATCGGATTTACGAAACATTTCAAAGTTATTTGAAATTTTCAATTCAAATGTTTTTATAGTCATCCACAACGTAGAGAACCAGGCACATTTATGCATCGGTCCAAGTTGCCATACTTCATTAACACAACAAGATAAACACCAAATTCATAGAAGCAGTTACTTCAGTGGTAGTGATTTATTAAAAAAAGATTGTATATTTAGATATGAGAAGGGGAGAAAGAATTGGTTCTTAGAAAGTTGGAAAGTCATTTTAATCTCACGGTTTAAGGGAAGATAAAAAGTGTGTGATCATCGATTTTACTTGCGTTGTTTATAAACAGAAGTGATAATTGTAATTATATTGTTTTTGATATGCTTAACTGATTCAACGAGCTTTTATTTTGAATTGTGTAAGTGCTGCGTTTACACGTTGAAATTATTGTAATATACATAGATAATATTTGTTGACCTTAATGTTTGTATGTATTATAAAAATCGAATACTCTCTACAAACCAGATAAAGCGTAGGTAGGGTTTTGAAAATTCTTTTAACAGTTCTTTCTTTTTTTTCATTTAAATGGTGAATTATGAATTTCTCCTGGTTTCATGAATTCGAGCCATCAAAAGTCATAAATAATAATTAATGTTGTTATCGTATGTAATTCAAAATTGGTGATAGCCTCATTGTTATATTTTTGTTTTTACGGATCTTCGTGCCTAATGTCAATATTGTTTGTATAGTAGTTTAATCTTTTATAAGCGAGATTTTATAGATATATGCTGTACATTTGTCCACGACGTACCAGAATGTACAGTTACGCAGTTTATCCATTCAGCCTCAATTTGGATTCTGGAAACCATCTTCATAATCTAATAGTGTAAATGTTTAATGAAAGTATGTTCCTATTCAATTTAATATATTCCAAGGAAGCAGAATATTTCTTTTTAAACAATAAATTCTCTTAAACTGTAAAATAGTAATTTATTGTATTCGTGATGCACTTTGAAATCTTTATTATCTTAATTCGTGTCTTACAACTTACAGATTTTATCGTACATTTATTTTTTAAACATTCTATAACGTTTGTCATATAATGTAAAACAAGCGAAAATAATCTGGATTGTTTTTCCTCAAACTGTTAACTTAGAGATTTAGGCACTCGATTTTCAACTACCAAGTTTTAGGTTGAAATCTTAGGTCATATGTCTTTTTTTTAAACATCCAGTTAGTATTGTTAGCTATGAGATAATCAGTATGATGCATATCTAAATATATTAACGTCTATTGGGTGATTTAGTTGAACTGTTTACATTCAACGTCTTTGCAGTTTCCTTGGTTATTTTTTGCTTTAATGTTGTTAGGTAACCGATAATCATGTTATTTAATTTTAGGGTTTGTTTTAATTACTTGTTGACCTAAATCTACCAGGCTCTGTTCGATATTGTATTGGTATTTTTTATGTTAATATGGATATTGATATTCATGATTATTTAGTTAATGTTTATAGAATGGAAAGTAGTGACATACATTAAAATTGTAAGTGAACAATAAGTATCAACAAAATGCATTGAATTTTAATAATATAGTCTTTACGAGAACAGCCTATTAACATTTGTTGATCACTAACAGTAGTATTTAACTCTAATCGTATGTTCATGTATATCAAAATGTTGAAATGATAACTTCTAGGTAGATCATAAAAACTGACATTGTTTTAAAATTCTTGGCTAAACAATTTATTATTAGTTTATCTGATTTTTACTTGAAATACATTTGAAATTATTATGCTTAAATTTATATTTAAGAAAATTTCTTATGTAGTTAAAAGTCAGAATACATGAAGAAGAAACCAGGTACTTTCATGTTCTATGTTATGTAGGGTGAAGATTTCGTTATGAATTAAAACCATTCGAAATACTATTAAGTATCAAAATACTGCTGTTTTGTCCTATCTTAGATGTCTTCAGTTGTGTACACTCACAATTATCTAGTCTAGATATCACCTGCTTACCATAATATTTGAAAATTTTGGGGTTTATTTTGGTTCGAGAGTGCTCACTACTACATGGTTTTCCGTGATGTTTTACACGATATCACGTCGTAACAAAAAGATATCTACAACATATTCAATAGTTTTGTATAAAGTTCCCAATTTACCCATACCATTATCATTATCTTAACATAATTGCTGCATATCTCTTACCTTAAAATTATTTTCAATAAACCATGATCATTAAGTATAATATTATTCACTTGAGTAGCGCCTGTAAATTTATTTTGTATGTTCATATCTACTTAATGATACATAGTTACGTTTTGTTTTATATGCCTCGTTAAACATTAACTTTTACATAATTATATCTTGGTTGGAGTAATATCATGTATTGACATTATATTATGTTTTTTTTCATAACATTTAATAAATTGTTTATAATGCATCAATTCATTAATAACTGCATAAATATACACATATGTTAATGCTATTTATATGTTAGTTATACAATTTATTTCATTTATACATTTTCATCCTATTTTCTTTAATCACTCAATACATATTTTAAATTAAATAAAAAGGTACAAAATTTTTTCATGTTGGGTTCACCAATTGGTTTAATTTTGGCTTATCGTTATCAACAAAATCAATTCACATCGTCTATTCCATCATCTAATAAAACAAATCAGCTAATTACTAATTCATCTTATAATATGGTTTATCATTTATCACAAGGTAGGTTATTTCATTTGGAAATTCATAAATAATTTTTTAGATTTTTTTCATTTACAAATTGGCTGCTTGCTGTTTTTAATTCATATGTCTTTTCTCTTAAAAAACAATGTTTATAAAGTATCCAACTTCTGTGTGACTTTAGAAATTGATTATCACGTGAAGCGGAAAAAAAATCAATAGTTGAAAACAAATGATAAAAACATATATGTAATGAACAAAAACTTAGATACAAAATTACAGAATGCTTTCATAAAAAAACCACACATTAAATATATTGTTTGCATATCTTCAGTTGTACTGTACGTACTTCATGATTCTTCTAATCTTGTTGTAATAACAATTACTCTATTTCTTTTCCTGTTCTCTTTAACTCAATCTTCTGCTCACAGGCATTCTACAACCGATTGGTGCTACATACTATGTATATCTATCAACATAATTAGCTGACACCACATTTATGTATAGCTAAATTGTCTAAATTTAATTAATATACGAATTTGTGTGTAGATTTACAAAACCGTTTGTAAGCTGTTCAGTGTCTTGTCAAGTTTTACATAATTTTTTTGCAAATTTCAATGTTCGGTTAAACGACGTTGATCATCAACTGAGCTGATCAAACTTAAAAGAATAACTACTAAATTATATAACATGACGTTCTAGGCATTATTTACATGATCGATCATACCTCCATGGAGTTAGTAACGGGTTGTAAAGATTGTTAAATTTTATTTAACTCATGAACTAATCATTGTTAGATCACCATTAAAAACGTAGAAGAACTGGAGGGCCGTTTCGTTCTAGTATCAGATTCTTTAGCCATGTGTGTCCACAATCCTGCACGCGGGACTCAAACCCAGTACCTTCTGTCTTGCGCGAACGCCTCACTTGCAGACAATTGAGCCGGCATCCAACAGTGTTGAAATCTACTCAGTTATATTCATATGAACTAGGTAAGTGATTGAATGAAATTCCTTCAAATCAACTGTGTAAGCTAAGTAGAATAAAAACTATATTGGAACTTCTCAGTAAGGTTTCATCTAGTTTTACCTTCCTCGAATAGAGGTTAACTTTAACATTGATACTCTCTTTTGTCTATGTAGAGATGGTCAGTCTACAGAGGTAAATTACAACTCTTGTAGGCTTTATAATAACATTCTCTTGTCGAAATCAACCGGTATATCTTTCTGATGTGCTTCCGTGCAAACGAGCGAAATAGTTGTCTGAATTTGTCAAAGCACTTTAAATTGCATAGACTCCATTGTTTATTGTTTTGAATGTTTTCGACTACCCAGGTTCCAGCCTAGAAGAATATTGGTTGTAGTTTTGTGTAATATTTTTGATGATCCATTTCTTATTCAGTATTTAATTCCGTTTTTAAAGTTGGATTGTAAATTCAAACATGGTTATGCTTGTCACATTTAAACACGAGATTGAAATTATTGAACTTGGAAGTCTAGTGAATTTACTACACCTGGATACCTGTTTTTGTAATTTTATATTGATTATCTCATTCTGATACGAGTTTTTGAGATAGCTTCAATGTCGGTCATTATCTCTTGACCCTCGTAGAAAAGGTTCTCGTCAAAATTTGTGTGACATGATTTCATTTTTTACTTTATCACCATAATCTTTTGAGGGATACTAAGTTACTTGTTTCAGAATAACGTCACTTGGGGAATGGTAGTTATCTCACTTCTATTACTTGGCAGTGTTCTGTTTCAGTTAGTATAATACATCATTATTTAAATCATGTGAGCCATTGCACGGTAGCAAAACCAAACGTTAACTCCGTATTTTTGCATGGAGTTATAACATCAAACGATTTTCTATCCGATGCACTATATATAGAACAAACGTATCTAATAATGTTTGCGGTTGAAATTAATAATCAACTCATATTTGCGACAATACACTTCTCGATGATGAGTTTATGATTTAGCTAATTATGTCTTTCTATTTTTCTTCTTCACAATCGTTGGATAGAAATTAAGTTGTCCGTGGGTCAAGCTTATAATCTTTTTCATTTAACTGATCCATGTGGTTTTCGTATTGAACCATTGTTGGATAATCGTTTCAGCTGTATATCCCCAATATTCATTCCCCAATATGCTCGTTATCCACTTGGAGATGGACAGTCAACAAATCTAATTGAAACCCTTATACAGCATGCTGAATTATTTTCTCCAAATGTTTCAGAAAAATCATGCAATTTATCCGATAGTAATAATTCTACGATTAATGAAAATAATGATGGTACTGTAAATGTGAAACGACAATTAACAAATCAACAGTTAAATTGGGAAAAAAAGTCTATTGTTGCACTTGAAGCATTGAAAAAAGGTTTGTTTTCTCTCGTGAAAGATCTGAATTTTTTTGTTCATATATGTAACGTACTGAATATACTTTGTAGTAGTACTAATATTGTTGCAAAAGTTTTTTTGATAAAATATCCTATTGGTTTTTTGCAAGATTAGTAACTGGCTTTCTTACTTGCTGTAGTTAAACTGAATATTTTGAAGCTGAGAGCACTATAATTATCTAGATGTCACAATACTGAACGTAATCAAAAAACCACTATAACAGTGATAACGTTATTTGTCCAAAATACCAAAATCCAACTTGATGCAACACAAAATGTTAAAATATGCAATCACTATTAACTAGTTTACTAATGAAGATTCATAGTACTTTTTGTATTACTCGCCACTTCTCAGCACGATAGTCTTGATCAATCGTCAAAAACTTACTGCTCAATCAACATTATTTCAACGATGCCAAATGGCATAACATTCTTCGATAAAATGAGCTACCAAGACCTTTCTCAATACATTATCACGTGCAATGTTGTGTAAGACAAATTGCATCTCTATTATGGGTAGTACTGTAGAAATCTTACCGTATGTATGGGTATTCTGGCTATGTCTTTATGATCATGATTAATACAAATAATGCCATAAAAATAATTTTTAATTTCCTCGGATATACGATTGATTTCAGGAGAATATACATTTTAAATGCTAAAGCCATAACAACTGACAAATTACAGTTATGAGCTCTGAATTCTTTAACAATTGATACACTACCTTGATCTTTATGTTAATTCGTATGACGGTTAATGATATTTGGCTAATGAAGCCAGATAATGCTGTATGTGAATGGATTGATTTATAGATGTTCATTTGCATAACTAGGAAAGCATGAAAATTGTCCATTCTTTGTTGTAGACGATTGTTTAAATAGTGTAAAGCATTGGTTGATAGCTACACTAGTTATTCATAATACTGACATTAATTCCTTTATCTTACATGCAGTCATAACACGAAGTAAATTACTATCAGATGCACTATAGTTTTCTCAAACTTTGTGTTAGTTAATTTCAACTAGTCGACAAACAGATTTTCGGAAGTAATTCAGCATACAGTAAGTCATGATAGCCCAGCTCTCCATAGTAAGACATCTAGCAAAAAAGTTAATGAATTGGGAACAAAGTGAACCGAATATGAAATGTATGGATAAAGCAAGTGTGTATGATCTGAGTATTTCAAATCTTTTAAATAAGGAGATCAAGATTTTGATAAGATGCAATATCCCACAGTTAGAGTCGTGAAGCAAACATTTGGAGATCAGACAGGTGCATGCTCTATTAGGTGATCGTTGAACCAGAGCTTATCATCATCGCTCTTGAATATGTATTCAAGCCGAATAGGACAACTAAGTTTATTTGTTGTAATCGGTTAAGTTAGACTGACGTTTATTGTAATCAGATATCCAGAAAGTATATAATCAGTTTTCGATAAATTTATAAGTATTTTACATCAGCAATTATAATCCTAAAATATCGTTGAACTTGAAAAGCTCAATCCTCGTAATTATTTATGAATTTCAAATAACTATTAGACCACCTTTCTATTTCGAATTTCGCAAAGTACTAGTCACTCATAAATAACATTAAGTATGGTAGTAATGTTCGATGATCTGAGATACTATCACATAGAGAGACTATCATCAGCAAGACGAAAAATCAGATTGCTATTATGACGGTAGTAAAAAGCTAGAATCAAATTTGAGATGGTAAAGTCAGATAGATACAGTTAATGACATTCAGTAATAATGCCTATTTTTAGTGTACAATTAATAATTGTTCTCACATTTAAAGTAGGTCAGTGCTTAATAAAATAACCAAAAACATATGTATTATGTATAAAATAATCAATAATGAATTATCATTTTAGAATTTAAAAAAGTTGTATGATGTACCAATGATTGTTGAAATTTATTCAAATTAAAGCCATTTATTGTGCTTTCCTTGCCTAAAGGTAATACATGATTATTGCAATGTTTTTTTTAAAAAATAAAAGCGTTATGGTTACTAGTTCAAATTCCTGTGAATTTGGCGAGTTCAAATTTCATTTTAAAACGTCAGTAACATACAACATACTTTGTATATTATCAAACTGGGCTACAAGTAAATTACACGTTTAAGTTGTTAGTTATAGGCATTTTCATTATCTACACTTAAAATACTTCTACAAATTTGATTTACACATTGGTTTGGCATATGATTCGCTCATTGGTTTATCGCCTCATGCTTATCGAATTTGCTTTTGTTTAGGGTTTCCGTTATAAGTATCTCTCTTTGTACTGCAAAATGAAATGGAATTTTGTATGAGACAAAATAGTAACATGATGATAATGCTTTGACTCGTTTGTAAAATTAAATTACGCAATGTTGAAGTAAGCGGAGTTAAAATGTCTTAGTTTACTACTTATTCGTTTTAAACAAGTATCATTCTTTTATCAGTAACTACTTTTTAAATACTTACTTCCTGTTTTTTAGTTCAACAGTCATGGTGGGGACCTAAAAGAGTTGATTACAATGTTCATTGTCCAGAAGCAATGCAAAATATTTTAGCTCGTGCACGTCCTTCAATTTTGCATGCAAGCTACTGGGAATCAAAAGATGTAGCATCATTTATTATACGACAGGTTAGTGTGTTCAATTGATATTTAGAACTTAATATATGATCTCAATGACCTCAAACGATAACCATTTTGTACATCAATTAATGTCAAACAGTGGATTGTTAAATTGAATTGAATTTATGCATAATTTGTATTTATCATTTTTCAATATTAGACTAAAGTATAATTTAGATAAGATTAACCACATGTTTGAAGCACGCGAAATAGCTAAATATTTTGGGATTGATAATTATACTACCGATTTTTGGTTGTGTTATGTCCTCTGAACTGGGCAATTTAATTTCAAAAGTTTCATTATTGATCTGGACAACAACATTCACACTTCACATAGAAGTGTGTTGTTTAGTTAATCTAAAAGCTTTAAATCATCCTATTCTGATTATCTTGTATGTGAAAAGTTTTTCGGATGAAACGGGATTGTGTCCTGCTCTTTAAATTTCAAAATACTATCACTTCAGCTTGCTTTTATATATATATATATATATATATATATATATATATATATATATATAATTTTCATTTTCATCACTGTCATTACTGAGCTCGCTTATTAAATTTCTATCCATTTTTGCAGATACTATACACTTAGACTATCCTAGGTTAATTATAATGTTGCTGTTCCGACATCTCTGTTTTTGTTGTCTCTTCTCTTGTTGTGGATAATTAGAATTACTCTTTAACAGTACTTGAATCACTTCTCCATATAGTATGCAAACTTCAATAGGATATCCCAGTTATCCTACTCAAAATTACGGATACCGAACTACTGTCTCACATTACTTTAATCCTTGTGATAAGTGTTCTCTCAAAATAACATCTGAACAACATATCAAACGCTTTATCCTCATATATCTATGCTCTACATGTTATCTTTTGTATCAACATCATCATGCCTTTAAATTGACATGAATTCTGTAGCTATTTCTAGAATATGATTTGAAGATATGGATCATTTTCTTAGTGATAAATCCATTATGTTCTCCGGAGCTAAATCTTAAGTCCGAAGCCCAAACCAGCTACTTCATTTCGTTCAGCCGGATTGTATCGGTAACTTATGCTTAATTACCTTGTGAATGAATTAATTTATTTTATTAGTACAATATATTACGAAATCGGTTAAACGACTATTCTCTGAAATATATCTATGATTTTCCGATAAATAATTTTGTCAGTTAAAATTTCTTTTCTAATATTTGTTGTGTGTATGTATTTCCAGATTCTAGATACACTGGGACTAAGTGTTCTAGAAACATCATACTCAGCAGATTTGTCTGATGAAATAGCTGTTACGGAACTGGCTAAATTATCATTGAATCCAAATCAGATAAAATCACAAACCTATGAGGTTATGGATGATTCCAGTACACAAATTTCACAGCAATCAGAAAAAAGTAGTAGTAGCCAATCGAGATTCTCCAACCTCAGTCATACTTTGTCATTTGGACCTCGTAATTTCTTGAAACGAACGTCATCTGAACGATTAAAGGTAAAATAATAATAGTTTGCAGTTTTGGTATTCAGTGGATTTTTTAAAACTGATTGTTATAGTCGGTCTATTCGATAAACTAAGTCGTTGTTTCACCTTGAATTTCAACTGAATCTTTGTATTTCCAGTTCAGAATGACTTAAATTTTCGCGTGCTAATTCCAGATAAAATAAGCCAATATATTTAGCTACTTTACTTCACAATTTAAAATGATAAAAAAATCATCTCAATGTATTTTACAAGTAGAAGTTTAGTATTAAGATGAATAATTCAGAAATAATTTCCTTTTCAGAGGAAGTACATGTGAATTTCACATTTTTACTTACTTGCTACACTTCACACTTTATCAAATATCTTGTAGTTTTGTTTTATCAGATGACTATTAGCAGTAAAGTTTTATTTTTTAAGCACACATTACATCATATCGTTTCGATTTCAGGCCTCAGTTCATGTATGGCTAGTTATCCATCATTAGTTACGTTTTGTTTAACTAATTATTTGCAAAACCATTCTATTTTTTTTTTGTTAACTCACAATACATGGATACGTAATATTCAGAATATTGCATTTTTCTTCAAATGGAAATATACTATAAACTGAAAATAGTGACAAGACTTTCAGTGATAACATAAGTTGTAGTCGCAAGTAATTCTCTGAGTACAAATAAATTTATAACAGTTTCTTATTATGTATTATTTCTGTTTGTTCAATATTTCTACCTTTTATGTTCATTTTGTATTGAAAAAATCTGTGTCCATACAAAACATAACTATCAGACTTTCTCCATTCACACTAATGATTAGTATGTCTGTTTTTCCATTAAAACAATTGATTGTTTATTCACAATCAGAGTATATTTTCCGGTTTTATAATATTCAAACATTCTGAAGATTTTAATAAAAAGGTAAAACAACGTATTTCCATTTAATATTGATTAAAAGTACGTCTACTTAATTATTTAAAACAAGAAAATACATTCTGAAGTTTTGTCATGCAATTAACTGCTATTCTTGTGTTTTATGTTGATAATTTTTGTAAGTATTTTCCCTTAAATCGAATTACAGAAATCATAAATTTCTAATAAACGTAACGATAGTTTTTTTCCTTTCACGATTTAATGTGTTAATAATGGAGTTTTTGAAATTTATGAAATTTTCCTGCAATTAAAGTATTGGCTCACTCTGATTAAAGAGATCGATTTTTGATAGCTAGGTCGCTGATTCGAGTCCTTCTCTACTTATTTTGGTTTGGGAAGGCGGGCTGTATTACTATCTCTTATACTTAAAGTGTGATTAGAAACTGAATAAACCAACTTGTATGTGCAAAGGAGCTACATTTAATTGAGTTTCTAAAATTAATTGCTCTCGTTTTACTTAATAACTAAATAATTTTATTTTCATGAAAATCGATCCTTATCTCATTTTGATCACCAATTGTTCTCTTTTGTCTATCTATGTTGATCTTAGTCTGCTTGTATTCCATATCATGTGGTAAGCAGTTCATATAGTTTTGTGGAGAGGGTGATGTAGAAGTTCTGTCGTTTAAGTGTGTTATTACTTAACTGTCTCTATGTTCCCATTTTATCATTTGCCATGTTATTAAAAATTACTGTTGTACACATTTCACCATTGTTATAATAGTTGGTTTTAATTATTTATTGTCGTTAAAGTCTCGTCAAATGTATATATTGCACACTACCATTTGCTTTTTATTGAATGATATTTTGTTTCGTTTGTTGTCATTGCGTATCAGTTAAACTAACAAATTATAAAATTGAATAACAATAAATTTCTAGGATAATTAATGACAATTTAGGTGATAACTCTGACTATTTATTTTTTGTTTTTGCTTTAGACTTACATTCTGAATTATCAAAATTTATCTTAATTTTCGGCACAAGGGGTTTGTGGAGATTGCTGAATATTATATATTTTTACAACGACCTAGGTTATATATGCGTTGAAAAACCACTAGACGGCTGTTTTGTCGTAGTTTAGCACTTATTGGCAGTGAACATCCACAATCCTACTGGGCGATCACACTCCTAACCTTCGGTCTCGTGCCCGAATGTTTTAGCTCTAAACCACTGGACTTGCATCCACTAGTGTACATATTTGACTTCAATTACAATAAGTAGAGATTCCTTTATAAAGTGCATTCATTAATGAATTATGTTGGCAAAGATTTTGTTTTACCTACTAAAATCTAGACAGTTAAGTATTTTTAAAGAATTTTATAACTTGCATGCATTTGGTATGATCTGCTGAGTGAATCTCGATATTTTGAAATTGCTTAATTTGTAGTGTCTTTACTTACTTACTTACGCCTGTTACTCCTCGTGAAGGAGCATAGGCCGCTCACCAGCATTCTCCATCCAACCCTGTCCTGGGCAATCCTTTCAAGCTCTTTCCAGTTCTTATTCATCTTTTTCATATCTGCTTCTATTTCCCGACGTAATGTGTTCTTTGGCCTTCCTCTTTTCCGCTTCCCTTCAGGATTCCAAGTTAGCGCTTGTCTCGTAATGCAGTTTGATGATTTCCTCAATGTATGTCCTATCCATTTCCATCGTCTTTTCCTAATTTCCTCTTCAGCTGGAAGCTGGTTGGTTCTCTCCCACAAAAGGCTGTTGCTGATGGTATCCGGCCAATGGATGTTGAGTATCATGCGTAGACAGCTATTGATAAATACCTGTACCTTCTTGATGGTGGTTGTTGTAGTTCTCCAAGTTTCAGCTCCGTACAGTAGAACTGCCTTGACGTTCGTATTGAAGATTCTGACTTTGATATTGGTTGAAAATTGTTTTGAGTTCCATATGTTCTTCAGTTGAAGGAATGCCGCTCTAGCTTTGCCAATCCTCGCCTTGACGTCTGCATCTGAGCCTCCTTGTTTATCGACGATGCTTCCCAGGTATGTGAAGGATTCCACGTCTTCCAGAGTTTCGCCATCAAGAGTGATTGGATTGCTGTTCTCCGTGTTGTGTTTGAGGACCTTGGTTTTCCCTTTGTGTATGTTGAGGCCTACTGATGCAGAGACTGCTGCTATGCTGGCTGTCTTTATCTGCATTTGTTCGTGTGTATGTGATAGGAGGGCTAGGTCATCTGCGAAGTCCAAGTCTTCTAATTGGTTCTGAGCTGTCCATCGTATGCCGTAGTTTCTCTCAGATGTCGAGGTCTTCATAATCCAGTCGACCACCAGAAGAAAGAGGAAGGGAGAGAGTAGACAGCCTTGTCTTACTCCGGTCCTTACTTGGAATGCGTCAGTCAGCTGTCCTTCATGCACTACTTTGCACTGTAGTCCGTCGTATGAGTTCCGGATAATGTTGACAATCTTCTCAGGAACTCCGTAGTGTCGAAGAAGTTTCCATAACGTCCTCCTGTCTACAATGTCAAATGCCTTCTCATAATCAATGAAGTTGATGTACAATAACGAGTTCCACTCAATTGATTGTTCGACGATGATCCGTAGTGTCGCAATCTGGTCTGTGCACGACCGGTCCTTACGGAATCCAGCTTGTTGATCTCGAAGTTGAGCGTCAACTGCGTCTTTCATCCTGTTCAGTAACACTCTGTTGAAGACTTTACCCAGTATTGACAGTAGTGTAATGCCTCTGTAGTTTTCAAACTTGCTCAGATCTCCTTTCTTTGGAATCTTGATGAGGTGTCCTTCTTTCCAATCCATCGGCACTTGTTCCTCCTCCCAAATCTTCTTGAATAGAAGATGAAGCATGCTTGTAGTTACTTCGATGTCTGACTTCAACGCTTCAGCTGGTATATTGTCAGGTCCTGCTGCTTTCCCGTTCTTGATTTGTCTGACGGCCATTCTGATTTCTTCTGTCGTTGGTGGATTGACATTTATAGGAAGATCTGTGTGTGCTGCTTCGATGTCCGGTGGATTCATTGGAGCCGGTCTGTTCAGGAGTTCCTCGAAGTACTCTGCCCATCTGTTGCGCTGTTGTTGAATCTCAGTGATTGGTCTTCCTTCTTTGTCTTTGACTGGTCTCTCTGGTTTACTGTATTTTCCTGCAAGCTTCTTCGTCGTATCGTAAAGCTGTTTCATATTTCCTTCTCTTGCAGCTTTTTCCGCCGTCGTTGCTAGTTCTTCCACGTATTTTTGCTTGTCGGCTCTAATGCTCTTCTTCACTTGCTTGTTTGCTTCTATGTATTCAGCTTGTGCTTGGACTTTCTCTGCTCGTGTTCGACTGTTGTTAATTGCTGTCTTCTTGTTCTTCCTTTCTTTGATCCTGTCCAGTGTTTCTGTAGAGATCCATTCCTTGTGATGATGCTTCTTGGGGCCCAGAACCTCTTGACACGTTGAAGTTAATGTTTCTTTGATACCTTTCCAGTTATCCTCTATAGTAGTTTCTTCTTCCTTCAGTAGATCCTGTAAGACTTGGAACCTGTTGTTGAGAGTTACCTTGAATTCATTGAGTTGGTCAGTATCTCGAAGGAAGGCTGTATTGAACCTTTGTGGTGCTGTTTGTCCAGTTGTCCAGTTCTTCTTTAGCTTCAGTTTCAATTTGGCCACAACCAGGTGATGATCTAAAGCTATGTCCGCTCCTCTCCTGGTTTTCACATCTTCCATTGTCCTTCGGAACTTTTTATTGATGCAAATATGATCTATCTGGTTCTCTGTGGTGTGGTCCGGTCAGATCCACGTAGCTTTGTGTATACGTTTGTGTGGAAATGTTGTACCGCCTATGACCAATTTATTGAATACACACAGATTTGCAAATCTTTCCCCGTTTTCGTTTCTCTCTCCCGGTCCATGTAGTCCCATGATGTCTTCATATCCGGTGTTGTCCATTCCGACTTTGGCGTTTAGATTTCCCATCAGAATGGTGAGGTCCTTTCTTGGGCACTTCTCTATGATTGATTGCAGCCTCTCATAGAATTGATCTTTAACGTCGTCGTTGCTATCATTGGTGGGTGCATAACATTGGATAGTGTTCATTGTGATCCCCTCCTCCTTTGTTTTGAATGATGCTTTGATGATTCTGGATCCGTGTGATTCCCATCCTACAAGTGCATTTCGTGCTACTTTGGACAGCATTAGAGCAACGCCCTAAGTGTGTGGATCATTTTCCTCTTCGTGACCGGAGTATAGCAGCATCTCTCCCGTATTTAGCCTTTGTTGTCCAGCTTGGGTCCAATGGGTTTCGCTGATTCCCAGTACTGCCAAGTTGTATCTCCTCATTTCCGCTGCTATTTGACTGGTCTTCCTGGTCTCCCACATTGTCCGGACGTTCCATGTACCTATAAAAATTGTTGCTCTGGTTGTTAGAAGGGGCATCGGCCTCGTGGCTTCCGAAGGAACTCGGCTTTCACCATGAAGCGTCATATTACCTCTAACTCCCAGGGCAGAGTTTAAATGGTTTGAGTTATTTTTTCTGGTTAGCGTTTTTTTAGCGAGTTAGGTTTCTACGGGATGGGGACGCTAACCCCATGCCCAACCCTCCTCCTTTACCCGGGCTTGGGACCGGCAGTAACTCTGGAAGAGTTACAGGCGGAGTTTGTAGTGTCTTTAGTTGATACAATTAAGTCGTTTTTATAGGTTTATTTATCATTTGTTTTTCTTGTCTTCGACTCAACTTATCGATGATTTTTTAATGGATAATCTTGAAATAAGGATAACTTACTGTTTGCATATCATCTTATGCTGAAAGTGATGGATAATACATATTTTATAATGTAATGTAATTGTTGTAAAGTGTAAGCTTAATTAACTGTATTTAAAATTTCGGATATGACTTTCCTTGTACAACTTAACTCATAATTCTTGTATCATTTATTGTTGATTCGAAACATAAACATCATGATCAGTAAAGCTAAAAAAGTTAACCAGACTTGAACTTATTGACTATTTGATCATAGCTTATCTAGTTTGGAGATAAGAAAATAGAAAGATAAAAGTAGTTAAGAACAACCGTCAATAAAGTTGAAGATCGAACACTATTTTACTATCAAGATTAAAGATTAAAATTCGATAATCTGTTAATTTGTGTTATTTTAAATTTTAATTTGTGCTTACTGTCTTGTGTTATGCTAGCTAATTACGATAGAACTTTCAGAGACACCTGGTATTCCTAAATATCGATTTCCGATATAATGTTCAATGGAAGGAATGTGAAGTTTATCTTGTCGTCTTCATAATTTTATTGCAAATTCTCAAATAACGTTTGCTATACCATAGAGAGATGAAAATAATTTAAACAACGTCAAGAATAATCAAAACCATTTGTAAAAAACTAAAAAGAAATTTTGTCAAAACCTACAAAATAATTTGTTTAACTTTTTTAAATCTCAAGCTGAGAAAGATTATCTTCTATCTGCTATCTTCATATTCCACATACTGTAAAAGTCTGTCTCATTTTGAAATGTTATTAATCAATTATTTAGTCAAATATTCATTTAACAATTTAAATGTTAGTCGGTTTATACTATCAATCAAGTTTATGCTTTATCATCTCTTCAGTTAAATATTTAGAAAATGGCTTATTAAAAGTACTCTACTGCTCGTATATTAATCTAAATCATTCTCTTCTGGATCAATTTGATCTTTCCGTAATACTTAGTTTTTAATTACTGTTTATGTGATTATCCCAACACTTTTGCCTTTCAATAAAGTAAACTTGCCAATTTAAACATTCAATACAGAATCAACTGAGCTAAAAAGATTTCTTTTCAGCTAGCTAAATCCATTGCTTAATTTGTGGACATTATGAATCGTGGTTGGATAACTGTTAATCGCTGGTAACTAAGAGCTAAATACTAGTTCATCTAATTGATACCAACACGTAGCGTTGATTCGATGTACAAGAATTAAAGTGAACAAATATAGTTCAACTTTTCGTGCTATTACCATTCTATTCGCCGTATATTTTACTACATTCAATGAAAGTAATCACTACTTATATTATTAAAATGTGTCTTTGAGAATATACAATTTTCATGCAATTACCGTGATTAATTTTTACCTGAACTTTCTACTTTAACCAGGACAACTTACGTCATTTCTGTTTTAATTCTTTGTCACTTGCATCTTTTCTTTTATCGTGTTGAATTGAAATGTAAAACTGAGAGAAATCTACTAGTTATTACTTTATTGTACAAATGAATATTAGATTATATCACTGCTTAGCTTGTCTACTGATTATATGATCTTTTTTCTGCTATGCACAAAATTGTTAAAACCATGGGACTTTCCTAAAAATCTGTGAAATGAATTCATCCGGACACAGTTTATATTAAAGCAATGAATTAATTACATTTCGGCAATAGCTCTCATTAAAATCTTGTCAGATCTTGCACTACATGTAAAAAGTACATTGTAATTATAACTACATAATTTTTTGTGTTTAAGTAATACAATATAAAATTTAAAAAGGTGTCTTCAGCCATGGTAAACATAACTTTAATACTATCGCTGTGTAATTTAACCTAACTGAATTATTAACTTTTCTCTAAATCTGTCGTTCCGAATTGTCATGTTAGTAGAAGTGTTCTTCCGAAGAAGAAAAAAGCTTGCAACATCTATAATCGTAACTCCTCTATAGCGTTAATATAGATAGTCATAAAAGGACGCTTTTTTTTCAATTTAGCCGTATGATGTATGACTTATATTTATCCTCTTTTCAGAATATAATATCGACTGTTAACCAAGTAATATATATAGGTCTTTTTATGACTTTTAAAGTTCGAACTAAATTGAGAGCGTTTTGTGCATTGAATTTTGAATTTTTTTAGTTTGTTAACTTGTAGGAAATACATATTATTCTTGTTATTCGTTTTCGGGATCATTTAATAGTTTTCTCGTTCCTTCCCCTGCAATCAGAGACTTCACTACTAAGCTCGTTCATACGATGATTGTATTCCGGTTTTTTAAACGAATTAACATTCGTTCTAATGTCATACTACTGATTGACACTACGATAATAAACATGACCATTAGCAAGGACTGAATAGTTTGTGTTACTATCGTTTTGCATCAATTACTAAGTTCTATAAGCGAGAGACAGTCGAAATCCTCTCATACAATCCAACTGTTAGGAATACCCTTGGTTTTAATATTAGATTAATTATAATTGTATTTTCGATCGTGTGTACACTTATTTTTAGATTGATTATGAAGAAACGTGTAATTTCAGTCGCCTACTGCCTTATCTCTAATATTTTCTGCAACTTGCTTTCTCAAGTTATTTATTAATCTTGGTGTATGTATCAGTAATTTCTCTGTACATTGTGTTGTCGCTGATGATATATGTTGATATTTTGCCTGTGTAGTTTCCTTTCCTATATATGAAATAGCCCATAGTTCATTTTTTTAATTCCTTTTAATCCAATATTGTATTATCATAGTCATCTCGTTTGCTGTTCATTCATGTATGAACCAATAATTTGTGCTCACAATCCTCGCACTCCATTACTTATTTCTTAAACTCACCGTCCCAATTATTTACCTATTTATTATGGGCGCTATTATCAAACGCGATTCTTCTCCAAATTGATATTTTTTCATTTCTGTTTTCCACTTAGAACTTTAAAGCAAATCATCGAGCAAATGATGTAATTACTACAACTGGATCGACACCACTTATCACAGGTCGATTTGCTTTTGGTGGATTGGATTTGATGAGTTTTTCTTCTGAAAAAGTAATTATGACAAATGCATATATATATATATATATATATATATATATATATATCCTTATGTACCATTTAAACTTACTATTATTATCCAGTATGTTTTACCAACACAAGCGTTAGTAGAGTCATCAATCAATCTCAATGTAACATTTCAACCCTTCCTTGTAGGCGGGTAGATTTTGTCGCTTCTAACTGATTAGAAAAACTACTGATAAATTTTTAATATTCTTTTCTATACCAAACACACTTGTAATTATATAAAGGCAACCTGAATGTAACAAATCATGAATCCTTCAATTTTGGAGTTCTCAATCCCCATGAATCAGTTGAGATCGGCACTCGTTTTTAAGGTTGTATTAACTATTTTTGTTCGGTAATCATAATTTTAATTCTGACAGATAGGTGGGTGAATAAACAACAATCAATATACCTAAAATATATCTAGTTAATCTTGTCAAATATACAACTTATCCCAGTTTGTTTTAGTGTTTTGAAAATCGAGATCGTTCTTAAATTTTGGTCACAAGATTCTTAGCAGAATTTTAATACATTTTTACTGGATGCATTTTCGGTTGGTTTGTAAAGTCTCCTTTTTGATTTTTATTGCAAAAACTATTGTTGTTGAAATTACACTGAATGGAGTCGTAGTTGATCTTAAATATTGTTCCATTTCAATTTGCCGATTTACTACGTCTAAATTTTCGGTATTCAGTTACAAAACTGGAAGTTATCTCATAGCCAATAACTGAATAATCAGTTAATATGAAATAAAACTTTTAAGTAAGGATGATTCATTTTTACGAGTTTATTTACACTTCTATCCGCTACTTTCATACTTTTATAAATAATTTGCAGATCCGAGTTGAAATTCAGTCTATAAGTGGGTCGTGGTCATATGTATGTACAGAAGTGACTGATTCTTCTGGACGAATCCGATTCTATTTGCCAGAACAAATTCATCTCCCGGATGGACTATATCCTATTAAAATGACCGCTGAATCTGATCCTGATCATCCAGTAATTATTACATTAGCTATAGTACCTCCTCAAACTGAGGTAGTGGTATTCAGTGTAGATGGAAGTTTTGCAGCAAGTCTGTCTCTGATGGGAAAAGTAAGTTTATTATGGAAAAATGGCATAGTTAAGTGTAGTGTCGCCGATAAGTGTATGATTACTTTTCACTGCTCACGTAATATTTCCTGATATTCAACTTTCTTTGTATATTATCATTCTTTTTTCATTAGTCCAACAACATATCTCTGTTACTACACTCTTCCCCATCAAGTTACACACGATGGTCATACCAATGTAACTCATTGCAGTTGCAGCTGTCTCTTCTAATATATAGCGTAGGAGATGACACAAGGTTGATTAGCCTTTCATTGCAATTTACTTGAGGTATCTTGATACGAATACTATTAGCTATTCAATGCCATAACTTTTGTTACAGTTCAGAATTTCGATTACTAGTTGTGCAATACTACAACAAATATCTCTTTCGCATGAATTCTAATTGTAATTATTGAAAACGCACTTCAAAAAAGGCTTTTAATAGTCAGTATTTCCCGGCAGTCGTAAATCGCTAAAGTTTTTAACAAGTTCAACTTCTACAACCATTTTTCCATTCATCATCTATAAGATGCTTGGTTTCCAAAATATTTGTCTCTTGCTTTTTCAAGGGATAGTTAGTATGACAAATATGCCAAGAACTGTAGCGTTTCGATTGAATTTTTCCAGTATTTTAGATCCCGATAATTTATAACCCTTTTATAATAGGGCGTGAGCACGCACGATCAGGTTTTCTAATTGTTCATTTCAAGGAATTCTAAAACATTTAGTTTAATGGCAATATTTTCACAGTTGGAAAGTAGGGGGACCAAACGCTTGAACTGGCCGCCTTAGCGGATACATGGAACACCACGGTTTTTCATCTCATCCTCACTATTGTTCTCATTCTTGGTATACGTACTGATAGCTATCGACCCATTCTTTCACGTTCTATACGATAATCACTACAGCCTACCTAAATATGACAATCATGAAAACCACTCTGTAATTTGAGGATATCTTTGTCAATCCATAGCTTTAACTTTTTTGAAGGTAAAATTACCTACTACTTTCAGTGCAAAGATTTCAGAAAAGGCTTCTGAAGTAGGGTTAAACGAAGTTGACTAACTAAAAATCGTAATTATTGCTTTATATACTTGACCCATAAAACAAGACCTATTTTGAGTATAACTTTCATAACACGAATCTATATTTTCTATTGTGTGTAAATAATGCCGTTATGTTAAAGCAGTTGACTGGTCACTGAATAGCGAATTATGTCATGCTGGTCTAGTATTTAGTGCCGCTGAAATTCTATCGATCAAGTGATGCTAATTAGTTATAGGAAGTCGACTGGACACTCTGGACCTGTTTCGTGTTATTCAACTCTCATCTGGTCACATAGACTAGTGGTCGATCACAGGCTAATCAGTAAAATAGGTTCTTAGAGTTGACCGGGTCAATTATCTGTATTCTTAAACATATCTGTAGTCGAAAAGTTGTACAGATTCAGAATTTTTTCCTACTTTTTTCTTTTCTTTTTGCAAAGAGACTTGTTTAGATATCTCGTGCTGAGAGTTTTATACTGTGCCAGAATATAATATTGAATAAAGCCATTAATAATAATAAAATTCTGTCAGCAAAATATGACTATAAAAACGTGATATTAGTAACTAATCAGTGATCGATCAGTTATAAATACATCTCAGTCCTACAGAAAGTCGGCGGTGCCCGACTGGCTCAATGGGAATGTCTCTGGCCGTGAATCCGAGTGGCAGTATCGAATTCAATAGGGATTATCAGTTCCTTCAAGATTACAAACACATTTTGCTGACGAGTGGCAAATATCATGAAACATATCCTGACTTTCATATATTCCAGCCACCTTAGAGGTCTGAATTTGTTTTTGGTTTTTCGGTGACTCCAAATCTTAGAACCAAGTATACATATTATATGCAAAAAGCAATGATTGCATCATAGTTTTTTTTGAAATTCTGTTATCATTATATGTAGCTACTTTTGCAACAATCATACAGTCGCCGTTAAGTCTTATTGTAGAATACATCATTCCAATCAGTAATGTTCTATCTCAATTATTCGTTCCGTATGCATCCACTATGGATTTCAATTTTATTTGTCCCTATTTCTTATATAGTCGATTGTCGTCGAGATTATTTTCAGAGAAGTATTATCCGATATCATAAATCTTGCCCACATTTACAGTATTGTACAAAGCATGAAAATAGGCAACTTCACTGTAAATTCCTATCAACTTGTTTACATTTTTGTCACATGAAATAAAAAATTTAATTTAACTGATAACAATACCGTGCAAATGTTATCGGAAGATCATTATCAAATTAAGCTTCTCATAAATGTCTATGTGCAACTTTTGTTTGGTAATTCTAACCGTTAAACTTATATTTGATTGATCCGCATATAATTTTTTTCTTATCGTATTCATATTTCTTTATTTTTTTATAGGATCCGAAAGTTCATCCTGGTGCTGTAGATGTTGCTCGTCACTGGCAGGGATTAGGATATTTATTAATCTATTTATCTGCACGACCAGATATGCAAAGACGTCGGGTTACAAATTGGATGGCAAATCATAATTTTCCCTTTGGGATGACTTTCTTCTTAAATGGATTATATTCAGATCCACTGAAACAGAAGGCTCATATGTTAAAAACAGTTGTTGAAAATGTATGCATTCTATCATTCTGTTTCATTATGTTGCTTGTATTTTTTCATACATTGCATAAAGATTGTATTAGTTCCTTGTCGCACTCTCATAGAAATCATCACTTTCGTAACTCATTTAGAAATAGACTTGGTCATTTTTACGAATATTTACTCTCTATATGTTTTTGTTTTAGTTTCGTTACTTATCGCCTTATGTTATGTGATTTGTACGATAGCTAATAGTAGTGCATCTTTTAAGTTTAAAAGGACAATTGAAGATTCTGTTATTACTCCTGTAGACTGGTGAACGGTAAGAAAAAAATTGTTCAATAGTCACCGTCTTCGATTGTTCAAATTCGATGTAATTTCTGTGAATTTACCTGAGCCCTATGGTTATACTTCAGATGGTCAAAAGTAGGTACTCAGTTGTATATAAAGTTTTCCGAATTACTAAAACAATACATATGTTGGTATTTTATCTTAAATGTGACAAAAAAAACCTTCAGACTAACTTGTGGTCTGGTCTACCTCTTCAAACATTACAGTATTTTTCTAAAATGCAGTCACATCCTTAAGTGAAAAAAGAAACACTTGCATTCCACATATCCTTACGTTCCCTAGTAATTAATTATTTATGATTTGAAATTATATTTTCATCAGTTTTTAGTTTGAATCTTTTGTGTTGTGATCGGCTGGTAGGTTTTATGTCTCTTAGCATATTGAAACACACGTTACTTTTTGCATCAGTCATTAGGTTACCAGTGCATATATACTTGACCCAGACTTTGTCTGTCGGCTGGATATATTTAACACTTAAAGCAAGGTAAATCATGAAACTGTGTTATTCAGCTTAATACTCACATTTCGTTAACCAACAGATGCTAGTTCACATTATAAGCTTTCTCTATAGCTTTTTACTTTAAAGTATTACAGTCTTGCAAAAAATCACATTAGATTTTAGTTAAGTACTAATTACCGAGTTATTCTTCATCTTTTTTCTTGTAGAGAATATTTTCATTTAAAGTTAACTGTCAATGTAATACAAGTTAATTATCATTTATGATATTTTTTTAACTAAATAACCATTTTTCCTCTCATAATTTAAATGTTAGGCCAATTTACGAGTTCATTGTGGTTATGGATCAGGTAAAGATATCAATTTATATCGTTCTCTTGGTTTGTCAACCCAAAACATCTTTCTAGTTGGCAAAGTCTCTCGATCACAAGCATCAAATGGAACTGTAATTTAATTTATATTTTGTTTGTTTCATATCGTTTTATTTGTTTTTTACATTTTTGTTAACTGTTCAATTTATTCGCATTTTCTGTGATGGGTCACTCGTCTTGTGTACACTCGATTGCTTTTTAACATAATGGTGTATATAATTTCTTTTAAACCAATTAACCATTGTATTTGCTTCCTTAAGATTTGAGAATAAACATATATACCTCTAAAGTAATGGATATCTCCCTTTCGTTTATAGTGAGGTCGAAATAACGATAAAGATGAGTAAAGCATATCCATCTGTATTTAGTAATTCCATGTTCGAAACTCCATTCCAAGCATTATTTTCTGATCTTGTTTTACCTCATCGTGGAACAGTTTTCTATGTAGGTAAGCTCGTCAGCAACTGTGATGAATGCACTATATTGAGATCTTCAGCTTGCAAAAGGTTTATCCATGCTGAATCAATTACAGGATTCACTTATATTGGCTTAAAAAGTCAAGGACTTTAAATATTACCTTCGATTACACCGAGTGTAACTTGACGAATTTCTGATATAGAGAGATTTGTTTTAACTGTTTGATATCAGGGAATAAGTAAAGCTCTGCTACGCAAACAAGGGGTCTTTGAACACAAAAGGTTTGGATTTACCCTTAAGAAACCTGTGGTTAATCCTATTGAAGTCTTTAGATAAGTCAACACACAGCATTGAGACTAGGTGATCAAAATTACTTTCAGTAAATACTAGAATAAAAGAGTCAAAGTTCGAATTCATCCGAAATTTAATCTTGAGGAATCTATGTTATGGACTAGTAGTAAGTTTTACACCGGATTATTATTTGGAAATTTCGTTCTATGGTTTGGAGATAACTAAAGTGATATATATATATATATATATATATATATATATATATATATATATATATATATATATATATATATATATATATATAGGCTTATAATTTTGCAAGGTGTTCTTATCTTCAGTTTTGAAATGGTATTTTTTATATGGTTGTGGTAGATTCCTGTTTTCATAGACAATATAAAGTTTTGGTTGAAGCGACAAAAGTTGGATGCAATTTCTTTTACTCTGACTTAAAATCTTAGGGGAATTTATGATTAACCGAATCGTTTAAAGGTATCTACTATTCCGTTTATCAGTATGGGTGTTGTGGATATTATTAAGTTTTTGATTGAGACTATGAACCGATTGATGTTAGACCACCATTAAAAACCTGGAAGCACTGGACGGCCGTTTCGTCCCACTGTAGGACTCCTCAGCAGTGCGCATCCACGATCTATGTTGGGTAGAGACAGGTATCTACATCTACAATGGAAGATGGTCGCGCGATTTCGTGGATTGGTTAAGGTTAGACAATAACACTATTGGATGTCGGCTCAGTGGTCCAGTAGGTTAGGCGTTCGCACGCGAGACTGAAGGCTCTGGGTTCGAATCCCGCGTGCGGGAACGTGGGCGCGCACTGCTGAGGAGTCCCGCAATAGGACGAAATGGCCATCCAGTGCTTCCAGGTTTTCAATGATGATCTAAGATCGATCGGTTTATGATCTCAATCAAAAACTATTTAGTTTGTTAACTTCGTCCTTAGTTCTGATCATTTAAAAAAATTTCTGTAAGTTTAGTTATGTTCACAACTAACAATTTCAATATCTCAGTTTACATGTTTATTAAATTTGACCGCGTTTGAGGTCTAACAACTGAACTCAATTTCCTTTGATGTTGTAAAAATTGTCTGATTTATTGTATCACATGTGTATGTTTTTTTCTATTATTTAAGCCATTATCACAAGGATACTCGTCGCACTTATCTTCGTTAATCAATGGTCATACTTTATCTAGACCTGCTGTCGGATCAATGAGTATAGCGGTGCGTTGTTGTCCTTTTGATTTACCGTCAGTTTATCCTTCGTCACCGTTATTAATGGAGTCTAATTTGCTTCGAAACAATTCTCTCAAATTTTCACCTGAATTAAGCCAACGATTATTATTTAGTGATGAAATAGAACAAAATACATTGTAATATTCCTAATACTTAGCACTTATTATCTTATTCATGTAATTCATCCATGTAAGCTTCAATGTTTTAAAAAAGATGAAATTTCAAACTATTTTCGAGAGTTAAATTATTTGTTTGTATATTGATCAACTAATTTTTCCCCTATTTTCATTCGTACTATGTCATTTTCAGTTTTATTGTTGCAAAAACCTTTCTGCTTAATACTGGCAAAGGTTTCTCATTTGCTTGTCACTAAAAAACATTAACTCTGAAACTGTATCTTGTAGATCTTCGTTTTTTCGATGTTTCGCACATTGTATTTAATTGCTCTGTTTTATAATTACCTTACACATTCGTCATTCACTCAGATTATAAATTACTCAAAGATCGTGATCATTTCTCATCATCATCTTGTATTATTAATTAAGTGCAGATATATAACACAACTATGTTGCTCCTATCCAAATTTTTGTTGATATACGATAGTGTATTCATGCTTACAATCTTATTAAGTGAATATAATCTTTCTGTTGTCCCATTGAAATGAATAAACATACTTCCCAACTAGTAAACTGTGATTTGGTTTTTTATCAACTACAAATTACATTTTTTATATTACCAACTAATTCCTACATTCTGTACAATTTATAATTGATGATTAATTTGTTCACTTATAAAATTGACTCAGTTTCTGTTTTATAATATATTTTTCAATGTTGTCAAAGTTCTGTTGACTTGGTTCCAAAGTTATATGATGCTAAAAATGTTTTGGTTGTAAAATTCTCCTACAGATTCTAATTTTCCGTGGATCTAAAAGGTATGTTTCCTGCGCATTTTTTTCAACCGATAATAAACTTATGTGATTCTTTCATGAATTTCTGATTGCTTACATGTTTATTTTTTCATAATAATTATAATCATTAAGCATATGGAATGTAGGTAAATGATTAATTGAAGCCATTCCTACTCATATCAACAGAATACTAAACACTCATGTATAATAATATATTCTGAAAATATTAATTACAGAATTCACGCCAGTTTACAGGCATAATCAATTTGATATAAATAGTAACATTAGATGTAGAGAACAAACATGTGATATAAGATAGTTTTAAGTATACTAGCTCAGTAATTGTTTAGGTAGTACATTTATGACATGTATTACAGCAGTTCAATGCATCAACCGGGAACTTCTAGTTTTTCTTAGGTGGACAGCCTGTTGATTTATGAACGGTGTATCTAAGGTCATTTCCTGTGCCACAACGAATTAATGATAATTGTCTGCAACTAGAGAAAGTAAAATGAAAACAGAGAGCACAGAAAAACAAAGTAATAATTGCCAAAATATATCGATCAGGTCTGCCATAATGTATGTGGTTTGGTGATATACTGTTAATGTTAGATATTCAAATCAGTTGAGGTCGCTAGGGACAGTGTTAACTTAATAGATTATAGACTGTTAAGAGTAAGTCACTAAATATTCTTAGTCAACTACGGAAGATATCCGTGGAACAAATATACTTAGATCACGTAGCCAGAAAACAAATACTATGTAAGAACTATAGCTAACAACAGTGTGATAGTTATATTTATGAGAGGTTCATCAAATATTGCTTATTGAAAGACTTCCAAATCCCTGTATTGGCTGTCAGTATATGGAATGTCACGCCGAACTGTTGCGAAATGCTTTTTCCCGAGTGTAACTAGTGAAGTCATATATGTCACCTAAAATACCAGAAGTATTGGTTGGCACATTCATGACTTCAATGCTTTTTTAAAAATCATAACGTATTCTTAGTGGAAACTCGTTCTTTTTGCTCCGAATCTCTGAATGTTTAAATGAATGATAACAGTTTTCTCAACATCTGTATAACTTCAGCGCTCTTAGTGTATACCCATGTTATAACATCTACATAAATATGACTTTTAAGAACCAGCAAGTAGCGATATTTTTGGACCTGTATTTATCTGTTGACGATTTAAAAGACTTCAAGTTTGTTCTGACAGGTTTGTATTACCTTACCTTGAACGTGAGGTTCTAATTAAAACATATCTTTCACCGTTCAATATAGAATAATAGAAGATATAATGCCTACACAAATTAAGAAAGTAAATAAGTACTTTGTTTATGATGTTTTAATCAGAATTTGAGGCTATCGGCTTGCTTTTAACCACCTAAATTGAATTGCTACCTTTGGCAGTTTCATTCTGTTTTTCTGTGTACCCTGAGATATGCTTCAATGGGCTTAATACTATCTAGTTTTGCCGTAACGCCAACTTTAGAATAAGCCATCTTATTTACGTCAATAATTTCCGTACATTTTTTCTAATTGACATTTATATAGTTATGTTCTCATGACTGATAATATTTCTAAATGTTAATCTATGAAAGCCATTTTTCCTACATTACAAAACATCTTTCAACTGAAAATATAAACGGACGGCTTTTCTATGCAGAGGCTCATTACTGTTGATAGGACGTGATGAACGGGCTTAGAACTAATTGCTAGAGGAACATTAAATAATTTGTGGTGTTTGAATGAACTAATGACTCCTTGGTACTTGTTGAATGCCTGATTTCGAATTCTAAATACAGTACATTCGTTCGTGCTTAGCTAGTAGTTCTTGATCCACTTAGGTAATTTCTGGGATTATTAGTTCATACTATAATTCAGTTACTCCTAATTATCATATTGGCGTCGCGATGGAACAGTTAGATATTCATCCAACTTCTGAAGCATTTGAGGATTATTTGGAAAGGTTTGAAATCTGTTGCATGACCAAGAAAGATGTTAAAGATGATAAGATTGTGGCACATTTCTTGACATTCATCGGAAAAGAAGCGTACAGCTTATTAAAAACTTTGGCATATCCAGAAAAATCTATCTCACTTCCTTATGCAACTCTTAAGGAGCTATTATTAAATCATGTAAAGTGCACTAGTTTTGAATGCCAAAAGGTTAGGGAATTCATCTTTGAATTGCAGAAACAAGCTGCCAAATGTAATTTCGGTGATCAACTTAATGTGCAACTGAGAGACCGATTAATCGCAGGAATCAACATACCGGGTTTGGAAAGAGAGCTGTTAAGAATGCCCAACTGTTCCTTTCAAGATGCTGGAACTGCGTGTATTAACTACGAGGCGGTGAATGAACTTGATATCCAGTCAATGAATATTTCTAATACTTTGATTAGTCGTCATGATGAAATACAATCTCAGGGTCAATCAAAATTGCGTTCGTTTAACAGTGGCTCCTATTCCCGTGTAAATATGAAAAGTGTTTCAACAAGGATCGCAAAGCAAATCACAAAAGTGAGACCAAGTTTGACAAATGTTTATCATGTAGAATACTTCATTCTCGTAATTCATGTGCATTTCGTAATGCTAAATGTTTTAGATGTGGTAAGATAGGACACATTCAAACAGTATGCAAAGCTACTGTTCATTTCGCCTCAAGTAGTACTAAATTTTGTAATTTAGATCCCAATAATTCAGCTATTCCTAATGATCAGTTATCTTTGTCTACCATTTCGAAAGGTAATACTCATATTCAAAAACGATTATATACATCGCTTGGTTCATGTCATGACTTTATTGTGGACACAGACAGTATAGAGTTCATTATTTCATTCAAGAACTTGAAATCTTTAGCTCCTAACGTTGTGGTACGACCCACTGAGGTATCAATATTGGGGATTACTGGACACAGACTGCCTATACGAGGATGTTGTGAGTTGCTAATAAGAGATGATAAATCTTCAAACATACCTTGTGAATTTTTAATAAGCGAAACGGGACTGTCAATACTGGGTTTAAGGAATTTGGAAAGGCTTAAAGTGTAGCTGTCTTTCCTAGTTTCTAAAGAAAATAATGATGCTTTACTTAAAGATCTGATAGCCACGTGTGCTAAGTGCAGTGGAGGTATGAAAATTCAGCCTATAAAACTTCAAGTACAGGGTGATCCAGTCTCTCTTAAAAGACGAATAATTCCTTATGGTCTTCGAGATGCAGTACATAAGACATTAAACGATTTGTGTGCGAAAGGTATAATTGAACCGGTTCAGTCTTCAGCATGGGGTACTCCTATTGTTACGCCACTGAAGTCGGACAGCAAGACTCCTAGAACATGTGGTGACTATAGATTGACATTGAACTCCCATTTGTTGAAGCAAACATGCACGACGGTAGAGGCTGAAGATATTCTAAATCGACTTCATGGTTCTAAAGTGTTCTCGAAAGTTGACCTAAAGATGATTATCTTCAAATTCCTTTAGATCAATCTTCATCTATTTTGACGACAATTAATACTCCTTTTGGTCTGTTCAATTTTTCCATTTGGTTGAAGTTGTTCTCCAGCCATATTTCAGGAAGTTATAAATAAGGTAGTTAGCGATCTTGAATGTGTTGAAGTTTGTCAAGATGATCTCGTTGTTCATGGTTCTGACAAGGTAGTTCATGACCAGAGACTTATTGCCTTATTACGTCGTTTAATTGAGAAGAATATCACAGTGAATCCAAATAATTGTTCATTTTGTGTATCTAGTTTTGAATGTCTTTGTACCTAGTTGATGGTAATGGTTTTAGACCAGATATGAAACCACTAGCTCCACTGACAAATGCACCGTCTCCAAAAAATCTTACAGAGCTACGTTCACTAGTGGGTGCTCTTCAATACTATTCCCGTTTTGTTCCTGATTTTTCTTGTCGTGCAAATTGTTTATTTAATATTTTGACATCCAATTCATTCAAATGGGGTGAGGAACAAGAGTCATGCTTACGAAGTCTACTAAAGCTTCTTCAAAGTGATGCTGTTCTTCGGACATACTCCCCTAGTGTACATTCTGTGGGTATTGGTGCAGTTTTGGAGCAGGAAGATAGACCAGTCATATGTTTTTCGCGCAAACTTACTGTTACTGAACAAGGTTATTCACAGACTCAGAGAGAAGCATTAGCTGTGTTTTGGGGTGTTAAAAGACTTCATAAATATTTATTCGGAAAGAAATTCACTATTGTTACTGATCATGAAGCTTTAAAGTTTATTTATCATCCTGAAAAATCCTTAGCAGGTTCCTCAGCTGCTATGGTTCAACGATGGAGTATTGCTTTGAGTGCCGATGACTATACGGTCCAGCACAGGAGTGCCAAACAAATTCAACATGTTGACTACACTTCTCGACAGTCATTACAAGATAGACCTGTTAATACTTCAGACTGTTTGTTGGTGCAACCTTTACCAGTGAAACGTCCAGATCTCATTATAGAAACTCGTAGATACTTTGGATGTATAATTAGTGCTATTCGGAAAGGTTGGAATGCTAATCTGAAACGCAGATTTCCTGTTTATTTTTCAAAGCGAGATGAGCTATCCACTACTCATGATGGTATTTTGTGTTTAAATGATCGTGTTGTTATTCCTCCTTCATTGCGTAAATCTGTCATTTAAGATCTTCATAGTGGACATTTAGGTGTTGAAAAAATGAAGTCCTTGGCAAGGCTCACGTATTGGTGGCCAGAGATAAATGCAGATAAATGTCGAGCAGCAAACAATTGTGAAAAATGTCATAAGTTGAAAATTCAGCATTCGAAGTGGACTCCATAGCCAGTATCGTATGAGGCCTGTATAATAATTAGGAGTAATTGAATTATAGTATGAACTAATGATCCCAGAAATAACGCAATTGAATCAAGAAGTACTACACAAGCACTAAGGAATATATTATATTTAGAATTCGAAATCAGGCATTCAACAAGTACTAAGGAGTCAATAGTTCACTCAAACATCACATCCGTCACAGCTTAAATTAGAGTTTAAGTGTCTGTAATCATACAATTAGTTCCCTTTATTATTTTAAAGAGAGCAAGAACAAAGGTTGGTGCAGAATAATATGAATTCATTTTATTTCGTTAGGTTCTCATCAGCTGCTTACAACCTAAAATATTTGAAATTCAACGTTATTACAGATATTGACATACTTAGACACAAGAGGGTGATGAAGGATGAATATAAGTAACATGATGTAGCAAAGATGCTGTTAGAGATAATGAGGTTATAAAAATTTTGTTTCGAATATATATAGTTTGGGAGGGAAGGTTCCATAACATAGAAATAGTGATTAGAACTCATGGAATTAAAACACATTAGATGATTATGTAATGAAGTAACTGAAAATAGATTGATGGTAATAAAGAGAGATATGAATTGAAATTGGTCAGTTATGAATGATGTAATTATAAAATTTTTTTTGGAAAGAGTTGGAATGACTTAATAAATAAAAGAGGGGTTAATGTGACCAGGGCAAAGAAAGATTTATTACTGTTTCTTTTTGTATACAAAGATCTGGTTTTAAACGTTTGATTGCTATCGCTTCGGCAAATTTTAAAAGGTTGGAATTTGATTGTTTGTTGATCACCTTGAAGGACTTCAGTATATCGACTTCGTGTCCTGTGTCAACGAGATGTCTTGCGATAGCGCTGCTGAATGTTTTTGGTCCGTTTGATCTCAAACCCTTCGGAATATGCTCTTTGAATCGGACGTAGGCTCTCCTTTCTGTTCTACCAATGTAACTGCTTTGGCAGATACATGTAAATTTGTATACACAGTTGGTGGTAACATGAAAGGGATACCTGTCGACCTTTGATTGTGTCAAAGAACATGTTGTTTTGGACAGGACAATCAATTTAGCTGCTGGATATGTTTTTGTCAATGCAGTGTTTAGTCTCATATTGATTGACCCTGTGACATTATCACCTTTGAATTTGAGTTCAATAAAAACAGGTTTTTTTATTTACAGTAGTTTCTTTTGGTATTTCATCTTCACGTTTTCCGTATTTCTCAATAAATTTCAGCGGGTATCCGTTATTCCTTAAACACTTTTTAATATTCAGAACTTCCTCTTCTATTGTATCGGCAGTACATATTCTTTCTGTTCTGTGAAACAATGTTTTGACAAGTGCCTTTTTATAATTGATTGGACAGAAGCTGTTGAAATTGAGGTAAATTCCATTCCATGTGTCTTTCTTATAAATTGAGCGTTGAACTGTACCATCTTTTCTTCGTTTCATCGCGATATCGAGAAAATGGAACTTATTTTCTTTTTCATGTTCCATAGTGAAATGAATATTGGGATGAGCTTCATTGAAATATTTTAGCAGATTTGTTGCATGTTGTTGATTATTACATACGATGGAGGTATCATCAACATACCTCGAATAATACATCATTTCATTAATCGCTCCTTTGAGCGATCGTAACAACTAATCATGCATCAATGTCCGGTTGTTCACCATTTATTTTATCCCTGCAGATCATCGTAAACGACGTGTTTATTACTGTTGATCTAAATGTACAATTCGGTTCAACAATTAGGGATCCTGGGGTTTCTAAGTCTTTATAATGTAACATCAAATAACTTCGGTCAACATATATTAAATACCTTAACTTCTTAGCTTTCGAACCGAACACTCATGATGTCGGTATTGTAAATCACCAGTGTGGATGATCTATGTCGAAATGATTGGAGGCTTACTCGAGTTAGACGTGAGTGATGTGACAAACTAGCTAACGTCGAAGTCACACTTCGCGGTCTGCACCTTACATGGATTACCCCATTGACGTATCAAGGTACTATAGATGCTTTGAAGAATGTACAACACAGAGAACGTTATTACAGAAATATATTAGTTAAAGTAGACACAAGCGAAGGTAAGACCACCGCCGCATGGGCCAGTCCATGGCGTACGATTAACTGATGCGCGTTGGTTGTCCTTGACATTGACGAGGATTTATGATTATGTTCGATATTCAATGGCCAGGGCTCAGTGGAATTTCACTGGCCCTACAGTATACTTCATTTTCCTCGGTCTAGGATTATTTACCATTCTGTTAACAACTGAAACTCCGTTCCAGTATGACTATAGATCCTATCGACAAACTACGAAACCGAAATCATCATTCGTTACTAGTTCATAAAGACCACATTTTTCATATGAGATAGACTATTGTTACTTTCAGGTTAAGTATACTTTACGTCAGGATATTTACTGGTCTCTAAACTGACTAGTTGACACACGAAAAATATCAGTCGTGGATGTAACAAATTGATTAGTCAAAACAACTATAATATGCAACATGACAATCCTATGAAAAGTTACGGGAATAGCTTTCAACGCCGATGTAATACTGATGTTTAAAGTTGATAAGTTGTGTTCGCAACGTATTCGATATCATATCTCCAACGCATCCTGTCACTTGATATGATTTTGTTACATTAAAGAATGATGGTAACTGTCCATATAACAAAATTTGATTTGATACATTATTGATATGTGAAGTTATAAGTGCAATATTCCTTAAGTACTTTCATGATATGGCGGGATTAAATATACTATTTCGCGTAACCTCTTTAATAATTATTCATCGCTATAAACATGGACGTCCTCGATTTCTTGGGTTTGGTCTTTTATCGATCGTAGTGAGTGCTTTTGTGTGTTAAACGACGCAATTTGTGCTACTCGAATAGACAGTTCAAAGGATAGGTCCGAATACAATTTGAAGGATTCATAAACGTTTAAATGTGATATAACAATACTATGCTAGTTTATTCTTAACAGCCCTCAATCCCATGAGCCGTGCCAACGAACATGTAAGATAAAATTTTCACGGATATTGTGCTATTTATTACGCTAAACTAGTTTAATCATTCTCTATTGAGTGATATAACGGCACTGGTCAGAAGCAGGATAATAGAATGTTGGTGCATAAATAAACGATCGTTGAATTGTAACAAAACTTTTAAATTTAAAGGATGGCGCTTCATATAGATGCTACCTTACACAGATGAGCTCATAGCAGTATATACTTCATTCTTCATTATATTTATAGAACCGAAAACCTGTTTCATATCAGTGTTTCTTGTTACCGGTTTTCAGGCAGCTGCTATGACAGCCTTTATTGTAAAAAATTTATTTGTCGGAAGTCCGAAGCAAGAAGTACTTTGCAGTTATGTTCTGGATACATAATTTAGACTCCATTAGGATAATTTATTCAACATTGACATAGGTGACTTTTTTGGCACTACTCCTTTTACTTTAGTTATTCACACCAAATTGATGAGATCACTGATGCTACGTGGCAAGGAGCTTTGTTGACCAAACTTGATGCTGATATCCATTATTTTCGGAGAGATAATCGGTACAATAACCACTCACAAACGGAATTATTTCTCGTGTTTAGAAATTTGTACACTTCCAAGTCTTCACATAGACTTGGGAGGCAAAGATCATTGAGAACAACATCCAGCTTGTGGTCCACAAAATATTTAAGGTTGTGGTACAGCGCATTACGATCATGATGGAGTTTGGACTGTAGTAGTGTAATTTAATTTGAATTCTATAATTTATAACATCCATTTGTTTGTGACAAGAAAAATAACGGAAACAGAACAAGTCGCCCAGAGTTTTTATATATATACCGTGAAACATAATATGTATTTTCATATTCTTCCGATTCGTTTGCCTAAGGAGTAAACATTTACTTACTAAGTTTTTCCCATTTTGATAAACTATCGATCTTAGGTTTTGTGCCTATTCGAAAAGTGCATGAGGGAAGTATGAATCAGCCTTTTAAAAGTTTATTTTAGGTGAATATATAGTAGTCTTGATCTAATGTAATAAAGAATTTGCTAGGTTTATATTACGTGACACTCGGGCCAAGCACATTGTAGAGGCAAAATAAATCCCCAAAATAAATAGCTCTGTAAGTCTTCGACATTAGAAACTGGCCACATTAGTTTTAATGGATTCATCTAGCTGAAGGCCCTCGGTCACGCATCCGAAGCAGACCAGGATTAGGAAAGCCGTACTCAACAACCACTGCAATCGCTAGACAGATTAGATCAATCGATCCTCGATATATTGATAGCCTATCAAAAACATCTTCGAACCTCCTCGCTTCTGTCTTTTGATTTCACTTAGTGGGTACGATTCATATTAGAAGGTGTTACTGGTTGAAGTGTTGTCGAACTCCAAATACCTTGTATGACTATACTTTGTTTGTCCACCAATCATAATTTTACGTTTATCTTAAACGATATTAGGTCTGTTGACTCATGTTTTCTATCATCTAGTTACTGTTCTATAGGTTATTTATGTCTTTCATTTTCCCTGTTTAATAGACTAATAATTGGTTATTTTGTATATTGTAGGTGTCACTTTACGTTTTAGAGACATATAAATTTATCAAGCTAAATAACTTACTTTTTTTGTCATTGGTTGAGCTATGGCTGCGCTCAACAGTCTGGGGAATAATTTAGAACTGCATATACAGGAAAATACTTCCTAAAATTACATTAAATCATTTACATAGATTCTATACTAGCAATGGAAACTTCATGCGAGTATTGTAACTTTTGGTTGTAGTGATGACTTCTTTATCATCCAGTTTGGTTACTTTCATATCTACAGGTCGTATGAGAGCTATAGTTAACGTCCTCAAATATTCTAACACATGTAGCGGTAAATAATTCCCCAAAATCAAATAGCTCTGTAAGTTTTCGACATTGGATGCTGACCACAGTTTTAGTGGACTCATCTAGCTGAAGGCGCTCTGTCAAGCATCCGCACCAGATCACGTGTGGGAACGCCGTGCTCAACATCTGCCGCAATCGCTATCCAGATTAGTGCTAACGATCCTCGATATATTGATAGCTTATCAAATATATCTTCGATCTCCTCATTTCTGTCTTTTGATTTTACTTGGTGGGTGCGCTTCGTATTAGAAGGTGTTACTGGTTAAAGCGTTGTCAAACTCTGAATACCTGTGGCATCTTCATTGGTGAGCCCGACGTGATCTGGTACACCATATTGTAAACTGTGAGTCTGTTCCTTTTTGTGATTTTATATATCATTGTCTTATTTTAATTTCTTTTTTTTACATTGTGATATTTTTTTCCGTGTTTTTGGGTTTATATATATATTTCCCACTCGTCCACTTTTCGTATTTGATATATTACTATGACTGAACAGACCCCTAAAGTATTTAAATTAAAGACTGTGTCCCCACCCTCTTTCCAACTTATGCCTTTCTGGCCAGACAATATCGAAGCCTGGTTTCGTTACGCAGAAGCCGACTTCTTCGAGCATGATGTGAACGATGCGCGTGCACAATTCCTCGCAATAGTCAAGGCACTACCGCGCGAATTTAACAGGTACGTAACACATAGTATGTTTACTAGTGATGTTTCTGATCCATACCAAACACTGAAACAGGCCATCCTTAAACGCGGAGATCTAACCGATCGACAAAGGTTAGACCAACTCCTTAACAACATCGACCTGCAACACGGTTCTGCCACAGACATGTTGCAAAGAATGCGAGAAGTCATTGGCCAAAGAACCTTCGATGACGGCCTATTCAAACAACTTTTCTTATCCAAACTTCCTCAACAGGTGCAAGCTGTTTTGGTCTCGTTCCAAAACAACGCCGTAGACGAGCTAGCTGCATCTGACGACCGCATTCTCCAAATCACTAGGTCCTCTAACGCCGAGGTTTTTTCAGTCAAAGAAAAGCCTCAAACGACCCAGAATGACATAACACAGTTATGTCATACACTTACGCGCTATCTCAAACTCGGTAACGACCGTAAACGATCACTTACTCCGCGGAGAAGCACATCACGTAGGCGATCTGTATCTAGAACTCGAGAGACGGATAATCCTGATTGGTGCTGGTACCATAACCAGTACGGAAAGTCCGCCAGAAATTGCAGAACATCCTGCAATTTTCCCAAAGCGAAATCCGTCGACCCGAAGAACATTTCGGGAAACTTCCAAGCCGGCACGCGTTAACGGCGACCGTAGCCGGCGAACATAGCCGTCTTTTATATGTCACTGATGTGATAACGAGAGTTCGCTACCTAGTCGATACTGGCGCAGAGGTTGGCGTTCTCCCAGCGAATTCCGACGACAGATTACACGAGCCTGTTTTAAATCTACAGGCGTCAGACGGAAAGCCTATCGCTACGTATGGCAAAAGGTATGTTTATCTTAACGTGGGTTTACGCAAACCCATTCACTGGATTTTTGTTGTTGCAGATATTTCTATGCCAATCATTGGTATGGACCTTCTACAACACTACAACTTAATCATCGATACGCGCAAACGCAGATTAGTAGACGGAAACACTAATTTATCTGTTTGCTTAACTTCTTTTTCTGGTTACAGGTTATCTTCTGACACTATTAAGCACACTATCGACCCCTTCTATCAACCACTACTCGATAAATATTCTGGCATTTACCAATCGCAACCGAAATTGCCGTGTGTAACCAGCAATGTTACACATCACATCACGACTACAGGTCCACCTGTCTTCTCGAAAGCACGCCGACTGGCCCCCGAAAAGTTAAGGTTGGCGAAAAACGAATTTGAACATATGAAAAACTTAGGGATCATACGGCCGTCAAATAGCCCATGGGCATCTCCGTTGCACGTGGTCTCTAAAAAGGACAGCAACGATTGGCGTCCAACTGGTGACTATCGGAGATTGAATGCAAAAACCGTTCCCGATCATTACCCGTTGCCCCACATTCACGATTTGACAGCTACCTTGAAAGTTGCAACTGTCTTTTCAAAAATTGACTTGGTAAAAGCTTATAACCAAATTCCTATGGCCACTGAAGACATTCCAAAAACCGCTATTATAACGCCCTTCGGACTCTATGAATTTTCGCGAATGCCTTTCGGTCTGAGAAACGCGGCACAAACTTTCCAAAGGTTCATAGATGACGTTTTTCGAGGTCTCGACTGCGTACATGCATACGTTGATGACTGTCTAATAGCAAGTCCAGACAGAGAATCACATCTTCAGCATCTGGACATTGTTTTCGACCGACTACAAAAACATGGCATTACCGTAAACATTCAGAAATGCCAAATCGGAACCGAATCCTTAGACTTCTTAGGACACACCATAGATGCGCATGGCATTCGACCCCTTAGAACAAAAGTGGCGGCCATTCTGGATAACCCAGAACCGACCACCATCAAGCAATTGCGCACGTTTAACGGTCTGGTAAGTTTTTAAAGACGATTCATACCGAAATGCGCGTTACTTATGAAACCCCTTACCGACCAACTTCGTGGAAATGCGAAATCCATTAATCTAGATGGCACTACCCGAAAAGCATTCTCCACGGTTAAGGAACATATCGCCCGAGCAGCAATGCTTGCTCATCAGGACCCTAAAGCGCCCATTAGCATCTCAGTAGACGCATCCGACTCAGCAATCGGAAGAGTCTTACAACAATGGGTTAACCACTCCTGGCAACCTTTGGCATTTTTCTCTAGACGGTTGCTAGACACTGAATCGAGGTACAGCACATTCGGTAGGGAACTCCTAGCTATGTATTGTGCTGTAAGGCATTTTCAACACTATATCGAAGGCCGTGAATTTACCATTTTTACCGACCATAAACCACTTAATTTCTCCTTAAGCTCTTCTTCGGACAAGTACTCACCTCGTGAGTCTCGACAACTGGACTACATTTCGCAGTTTACTTTAGATATTCGACACATTTCTGGAGCAAACAATGTAGTTGCAGACGCCTTGTCTCGCATAAATTCCTTGAACAGTTCCCAAGGAATCGACCTTTTAAAACTCGCCCAACTTTAAAAAGAAGACAGTGATCTTCAGCACGAGTTGGCCTCAACAACACCTAAACTGCGCATTAAACAGATGGGAACAGGTAAGGCAACCTTACTTTGTGACACATCTACAGGTAGGGATCGCCCAATCGTGCCGAAACAATATCGACGCAACGTCTTCAATACGTTGCACAGACTTTCTCATCCAGGTGTCCGTGCAACCATCAAGCTTATAGCAGAACGGTTTTGCTGACCTGGTATGAATAAAGATGTGAGGCAGTGGGCACTCTCCTGTGTAAGCTGCCAGAAATCTAAGGTTATTAGACATAACAAATGTCCCTTAGGCTCGTTTAAAACTCCCGATGCTCGCTTCGATCATGTTCATTTGGATTTGGTAGGACCTTTACCAGATTCAAATGGATATTCTTATCTTTTAACATGCGTAGACCGTTTTACTCGATGGCCAGAAGCAGTACCAATCAAAGATATTACTGCTGAAATAGTGGCCCACGCCATCGTCGAGAGGTGGGTAGCAAACTTCGACTGCCCAACAACCATTACTACAGATCGTGGACGTCAGTTTGAATCTGAACTGTTCCGTTGTCTGACCATGAAACTAGGAATCACTCGCTTCCGAACGACGGCCTACCACCCACAAGCAAACGGGTTAGTAGAACGTTTTCACCGACAACTAAAAGCGTCACTATCAGCCGCAAACATTTCTCAGTGGACTGACGCTCTTCCACTCGTCTTACTAGGCACACGCAATGCAGTGAAATCTGGCATTGGGTACACTGCATCTCAACTCGTTTATGGTACGACCCTTCGACTTCCAGGAGAGTTCGTGGATCCTTCATCCTCTTCGATGGACATGGATCTAACCTCCTACGCGAACAGGCTTACAAACGCAATTCGTTCAGTTAAACCTGTTTCCACTCGACCGCAATCAACTGATGTTTTCGTCCAACCTGACTTACGATATAGTACACACGTTTTCGTGCGTCGAGACTCGCATCGACGACCTCTCAAAGTTCTTCAACGCGAATCTAAGTACTATATAATCGATAAGAACGGAACCAAAGAAAGCATCAGTTTCGATCGCCTCAAAGCAGCGTATTTAGAAGGAAAGCCTATTCACGTCGATTTTCCTTCAATACAATCGCACGACAAAACTCCTGCACTTATAATACCTCAATCGACAGCAGACACACACGTTGATACTTCGACAGTATCCGAAAATAAACTCAAAACAACGCGTTCTGGAAGAAGAGTAGGATTTCCAGAACACTTGAACGATTACTGCACGTAAGACACAAGTTAACATTTTATATCCTCTCGATTTTCCCTGGTACTATATATAATTTTTTTTTAAAAAACCTGAATTTAATATGCTTATATATTTTCATTATTTTTTTACTTCAAAAAAGAAAAAATAAAAAAATAACAATATTATAAAAATCCTTTTTTACGCTATTACGTGAGCATGAGTTTATTTTCCATTTCTTCCGCTCGCTTTGTGTTTTTACGCGTGTACGAGTGTATTTTGACATGCACTTACATATTTTTCTTTTCTTTTCCAGGACGACTGGAAAAGACGATGAAAAGAACGATGAAGTTGCGGGAAACGAAAATCTGCATTGTACCTTTTTTTACTGTAATTTACATCATGATCAATTATAGTAAGGAAAGACGACCAGACGCTGCTAAACCTAGCAAGCTATCAGAAGAGTGTTTACCAACGAAAAAGTCGTTGGGTTTAAACTTCTGGCTGGCCACGTCTTAGGGTCATCACTACCCCACTAGGGGGGGAGTGATATGTAGCGGTAAATAATTCCCCAAAATCAAATAGCTCTGTAAGTTTTCGACATTGGATGCTGACCACAGTTTTAGTGGACTCATCTAGCTGAAGGCGCTCTGTCAAGCATCCGCACCAGATCACGTGTGGGAACGCCGTGCTCAACATCTGCCGCAATCGCTATCCAGATTAGTGCTAACGATCCTCGATATATTGATAGCTTATCAAATATATCTTCGATCTCCTCATTTCTGTCTTTTGATTTTACTTGGTGGGTGCGCTTCGTATTAGAAGGTGTTACTGGTTAAAGCGTTGTCAAACTCTGAATACCTGTGGCATCTTCACACATGTGTTGAATCACTATCGACGATATAAAAAAACCCTTGATGTATTAGTGATGCTGTGGTTATAGAAGAGGAAGATATTCGATATATCATTGACAAAAGACTTGAGATGGCTAGATTGTTCTCTGAAATTTTATAGACCATTACGTTAAAAGTTGTGGCATCATAACTGCCTACAAGTTTTGTTTCGATTTTGTCCATAAAGTCTCTCGAGTGAAAAATTTCCTCGTGCTGCTTGGGACGGCCAAAATTAAAAGAAACAGCTTGAGATGTGCTGGAAAATCATTTTCTGAGTATATGTTATCTTTAATACATATATACTTATACTAGGCCCAGGATTGTGTATTGAGGACAGAAGACCTTGAGAGGACAGAACCTAAAGTGCGTTCTATCAAGTAACTAACCTTACACCAAAAGCCAGAGGTATCCCTTAAAATGCACATAACATCAGGATGAGCATCAAATGCTTGCTACACTACTCTGCTCACCGGGTCATTGTACACAACGAAAAAACTGTGCTCAGAGACTATACTATCCTCTCAAATAAGCTTGTATCTCGACTCAGTATAAAATTATTCGTTATTCGTTGTTTTTAGATACGGTTTAAGTGAAGGAGTTCATAATCCGTCTTTATTTATTTGAACGTTTTTTGGATTTTGAATTCGTTGATATTCAAATTTCCGATGTTACCCCGCGACAAACGACTTTTACGCCACACAAAAGGTCGTCTAGTTTAGGGTAAGAGACGGATCGCCCTGAAATTTATGTTCAAGAGGACTAACTAATGTTGCCAGCGTTTTTCGCCAGGCTCATTATGTAAGCTCTTCATGTCACTCCTTCATGCTTAGAACTGTTTTTGGAGTTATGCATCCCTCTTACAGAACTTATAAAGCCATTAAAAGGAAAGATTATCAGGAAGTGGTATGGATATCGTAATTTTTTTACAAACTTTTCGGGACGTTATAGGTGACACTTGGCATGTACTGGGTAGTGTTCAGCATGTATATAACTCTGGAGCTGGTGACGGATATTCTACTCCAGTGGTATATTTATCTTTAGCATTGGTTATTTCTAGGCTTCCTTTTTATTACGAAGTGAAGACTCTATTCGTCATATGGCTTGTCACACCAGCCACTTCCGGGTATAGTTTTGTATACCGAAAAGTAATCCACCCAGAGCTTACCAAGAGAGAAACTGTATGTTCTTCAAAATGTACTCACTTTTTCAGGAAATTGACGAAGCCATAAGTAGAGCAAAAGAAAAAGGATACTCAAAAGTCGTGGAGTTTGGTGCCAAAGGACTAAATTATGCTGCGAAGGCTGTTCTTTCGGGTGCAATGTTGGTCTGTTGCTGGGCTTTTTTATATTTATTCTCATAATTTCTTACTCCGAATTGGATTCTAGGTTTTTATGTATCGAGCATCGCATAGTGTATTCAAATTTGTATTATTTTCAGTGCAAAATATTTTGGTCGTTATAGGTGTTAGTTTACATGCTGACAATTATGTTCAGCGGTAATGACAATTTTGTCTGCGTGAAAACCACTGCGACTTTATATTGTCAATCTTTTATTGTAATCTAATATAACGAAACCATCAATACAAATCGCCCCAGTAATTGGCTATATTTGTCCCTTAGTAAGTGAAATAGGCCATCTTGATGGACCGAATCTCGCTTATTACCATCAAGTAAACTTACCATGTGATGAGACTATAATTTATGGACTAACTAATAACATCTATTATGGTGAGTCTTGCATTTTGCTGGAAATTGATCCATCCATATGGCTAAACAGCATTTCAGCAATCTAGCTGATGTCATTTGGCGATGAAAACCCTTGTTCTAATTTCTAACCTTAACTTCTAACTGTAAATTCGGATTCTGATTCCTCACATCAGTTAGTGATGCTTTTCGATTTTATTAAATAGTTAAACTTTTTAAAGTTCATATTAGCACCACTCAAAGGTACTCCATAAATTATAGTCTTACCGACGAAGTTTGTGTATTGTGGTTCCAAGAGTAGTGCAGTTTATACTGTTATTTTTATAGCCCTAAGCTTCCATGGTCTATATCAGCACACCGGACACGAGTTTACAAATAAAGAAGTGATTATGTGACAATAATGTGATGTTGAAGGAGGGAGTAAAACATGATATAAAACAATATTGCGACATAAGTCGTTTGCTCAAAATGCGCCTATGTGGCTGAAATGTATGTTGGGCATGTCACACAAAGTCTACTAAGCAAATTATCCCATATATATCGATCTAGTAGTATGAGCCACTAAATAACTCAGATCAGTAGTCAATGACTTCACGGGTAACCTCCCTACTTCGGAGTTTAATCAGTCCTGATAGTTTGATGTCTGATGGAATCTCTGAACTGATTTGGAAATCTCAATTGCCTTTTGTTAACTTGCGTCACTTGTGGTGCAGGCGATATATGTCTGCCAGCCAAAGGACGGGTTTACTGCGCAACAGTTCGCTCCGTCCTATTTTAGAGGTGTGAAAAATGACCATTTAGAATAGAGCATATTTGTAGGTTACCAGTAATCCATCATTGGTATCTTCGGAGCTTCGCTCTTTTATTTCGGAACCATCGAGTGAGAAGTGCTGTTAGGTAAATGTGGGAAATTATTTGTTGGGGTACTGAAACTTTACCACCTGTGGTTGACATGTGTTTCGTATAACCTACCGCGTACCACGACAGGTAATGTTTGGTATTGAACTGAACCATGCTGATAGGTGTAGATTGCCTAATTAGTGTCGGGGCGTTTATCGTAACCAATTGTTAGAGGCTCTTAGTGACACGGCTTAAAATCTTTCACAATGATGGAGGTGTATTCACTTTATTTTCCTTTATAACTCGAGTCCCGAAATCTTTTTACACCTTTTTTCCTCTTTGTGTAAATAATCTCTACTAGTGCTGCTACTACTAATGTTGTTGCTACTGCCCAGATTTTTCCTAATAATGTTATCTCTGTGCTAATGTGATGCTGCAACCTGAACCGATGTATATATGTATCAGGTCCTACGTTGCGTACGACTAACTAACTGACCTGGCACAAGCCCTTGTTGTGGGTCGTGATCCGACTCCGAATGATCGTTGTTGAAATACGTATGTCGCCTATCCTCGTATATAATCATTGACTTAAATCGCGTTAGTCAATAACGGAATTAAAGAAGTCAAATAATGAGGATGGACTTTTGAATGCATATATTTTGTATAACCATTGACTGGTAAGCCAACTTCACCGTGTGTCATTCTTGCTTCGCCTTCCTTTCTTCGCATCGTTTTCCCGTTCGTTTGTCTGGATCAATGATTATACAAAATGTATGCATTCAAAAGTCCATCCTCGTTATTTGACTTATTTAATTCCATTATTGACTAACGCGATTTAAGTCAATGATTATATACGAGGATAGGCGACATAGGTATTTCAACAAAAATAATCATTACGATCTAATTGGAGTCAGATCACGGGCCACAAAAATGGTGAGCCCGCCGCCTCAGACGAACTCAACGTCACCACAAAACCCTTGTCCTTATTTGATCATTTCAGTTTTTCTGTCCCAGTTCTTTGCTAGTATAGAGTACGTTGTTGTAGTTGATGGTCAGATATTCAAAACTTGTTTATCAACTACGTTGACTGACAAAAGTTCGTAACCTAATCAGCTTATTTGTCACATTTATCTATAAATATGTATACATTTTTTTTTCTTAAACCAAATTTCTCTACTCCTACGGCAGGGCTCATCTTACAACTTGCATTTAGGTGAAGTCGGTGTATTAAATCGTTGATATCTCAGTACTAGTTCTAGACCTTAAAATATTTTTTGTGGTTTCAAACAATTTTGATATTTAAAGCATCTTATCGTCAACACCAATTACATTACCGAGTGCATTTTTAAAAAAATATATGGCTAATAGAATGATATAAAAATCTAGAAAACGTTTAACAAAAGAGATGACAAATGTCAATCAAACGGACTCATTTTTTGGATATTTTTGAACCTTTGACATTTACAAACGAATTATCAGATTTCAATCAAAGATGAGTTTCCGTTAAAAATTTATCTACACTAATTATTGACACCTCTGTGTTTGAATGAATAAGTAAAGAGTGCAGCTTTTGATGTACACGTGCGAGATAGTTATAAAGAAAACAAATCAATGAATTTTCAATAAAATTGAATGTTGCGATAAATAAATGTTTCTTATCTGCAGTGTGGTTATGAAAATAAGTAGAATCAATACTGTCCTACCTGTGGTACATTTACTTCTCCGGCAACTACTAAAAGGATTGATGAGGTTAATTGTATGGTTCTCAGTAAGAGGGATAAAGCAGTAAATGTGAATGAATTTAGGCCATGTGGGACATTAATCTACTTTCATTAACGATTACTTAGATGAGTGTTAGCGGTTATCATGGCTGCCTTCCAAGCAGTCGATCGGGTTCGACTCCCGGCGGTCGCAGGCGATTTGTGCTGGGATCACCGGGTAAGTAATAGTGAGGTTAGACGCAGGGTATTAGGGAATGATGGTAAGTCAGTTGATGAGGTTATGAATCTTCATCGACTGAGATGGTTGGGCCACGTGTTACGTATGCCTGAACACCAATTACCACGGCGCGCAATGCTAACCGGTGTTAGGGATGGTTGGAAGAAAGTTAGGGGCGGCCAAACCAAAACGTGGCATCAGTGCTTGAAGACACTAACTTCTGGTCTGAGCCGTGTTGGTAGATTCAGACTGCCTGGTTGGGGTCCGCGTGACTATCGTAAACAATCGTTGGAGACTCTTGGTGACATGACTCAGAATCGATCACAATGGCGTAGGTGTATACACTCTCTGCCTTCCTTTAAACTAAGAAATTAAAATCACTTCAAATCTTTCTTTCTAGGAACTAATTCTTTCTTCCTGTACTATCTCCTTATATGCAATCTTTCTTCTATATATTACCACCATTGAATTAACCACTCCTATGAATCCGGTGTTCATCTTGTTGTGCTGGTGCGGTATGGCAACTTGGACCGATGCATATACGTGCCTGGTCCTACGTTGCAGCTGACTGACTGACTGACTGTTAGCACTAAAGACATACAGAATGTCGAAACTTCTAAGGATGCAAACCTAGGTTTTCAAAAACATTCGAATTCATGTTTTATGTCTCATTTTGAAAACTAAGTTTTGCTTATTATACCAGATGTATTCTTTCAAGCACTAAGTGAATTGTTGACCGTTAAGATTGTAGAAATTCGAAATAAAACTGTTACACTGGAAGTTACTTTCTGTGCATGAATTGAAGGTTTAAATAATGAGTCTAAGTGTTGCACTACTGTACTCAAGTTTCTATGACTAGTGCTATGTTGACCTAGGTTGATATACATTTTACTCCAGCCTTTTTGTTGATTCTAACTCTACCCACATTTTTGAATACGTCATATAGATTTAAAGTATAAATACTATTGTTACTGTCAGTTTTTATGGACATTTCGAAATTCGCATGTTGTATGTGAAACATTATTTTTATTTCACTTCTTTTCTTTAGGGACAAGATTTTTTAGCTGATCGTCTTGGTAAACGAAGCTCAAGCATGTTCGAACTTAATCGTGGACCTATAATGAGACGGCAAAAGCTGAGAACCACTGAGGTATTCGATTACGATGATCCCGACTTCGTTAGCACTTTACGAGGTTGGTATTGAATTTTTCTACTCTTATATCTGATTTCTCGTTTCATCGTATATTTTGGTTACACACGAACATGGGTGTTTTATCAATGTTTTCATGTCCTGCTTATAATCTTGGTATCAGTCATCACTTAATCCAATTATCTTTTTGGGTCAACATAACATTACTAACTTTTTTTCGTTGTAGTAGTTTGTATAATTTTACTTTCATGTTTTAATCACATGGTCTAAATTTTTAGAAAGAACAACTCAAGAGGATGATCCATTTGCACTTAACTGGCTTCAAATGGGATCAACAGGGTCTCTAGGGCGACATTGGAGACCAGGTTCTAAAGGTGTGCTGTGCAATTTTTTTGTTTTATTCATATACTGTGAATGTTGCTGTCTAATAATTTTATGAGTTTTGTCACTTTGGCACACGATATGTCAGTAGAACACCTAACCATTACATTTCATCTCCGGGTATTCTAGGTATTTAAAACGTGGTCAAATTATCCAATACATTTTAGTCAATCTTTTTTCATGTCTTGTTATCTTCAACCGTATATTTAGTTGAGTAATTTATTCCTTTGGTGACTAACTTGTTTTACTCCTAACCATGTATTTATAATTCCATTGTTGAATTTGTCTAACAGTGTCCTCGTATACATTTACACTAGATTTCATATACCTTAAGTTAGCTGAATGCCGGTACATAATTAAAGTCTGTTTTCTTAGTAACAGCTGATTCTTTCATTTTCTTTGAAATAAAAGTAGGACTTTCTGGCATTTTTTAGTCGAATATCTGTTTTGGAGCTCAAAAGAGTTTGGTTGCGTGTCTGCGAGTGAATCATGGTATTAAATAAGTAGATCGCTTTACATCGTGGCAACAAAGACGTCAATAATCTTTTGTATTTTAATCGATTACTGTTCACTACTAATCCAGTAATAATCCACCGGGACAGGTGACTATATGAATACGTTCATTTGAATGCTTTTTGGACTACTTGGAGGTATGGTTTACGTATGGCTTTTGTCCGATGTTACTATACATGTTGATAACCACCCTCATACCTCTAGCAGCATCCAGGATCACCGTATTCGTAATCAATTCCCCTCTTTAATTCCTATTATTCCTCCTACCTCAGCTTTCAACTCTAAACTTTCTCTTTTGACTTCCTCCTCAAGTGTCACCATGGTCAACGATTTTAGTGCGCGAAAGCTTATATGTGCCTGGTCCTATGTTGTCGTTGACTGACATGTTAAAACACTGTGTACGTCACCCTATCATGAGTTGAATGAGATATGTTTGAAGATATCATTCAGTCAGTAATAAAAAACATTAGATTTAGTTCAAATATGTATTTGTTTAGGTTACCAAAACTACCACCGAAAACTCGTTCGGATATTTCCCACTCAATAGTTTAACCGCAAACACCCACTATTTTGAATACTCATAAATACAAATGTCAAAATTTTCATCTAGATAACATAATTACGTGACTGTCAAGAACATTCATAATCATGGGTTGGTAATTACCAGTATATGGTGCTTACACTTAAACCGATTTTGCAGCATATATCTGGATCTAAGCACAATATCAATATCAAATTATCCTTTCTATTATAATACAAACGACGGATGGAGATGGAATCATTAATGCCGATTTCAGATTTTAGACAAATTATTAATAAGCGTTTAAGCGTTTGTAAATATATAGTTCACAAAAGAGTTTATAATTTATTTTCACTCATCGCAGTTATATGGCATTGTTACTGAAGATATATTTAAACTGTTCACGAGTATGCTTAATGTTTGCTTACAGTACGTTTGTTCTGTGTGATCCATAGTTCTTTTACTTTAACGCTATAGTTGATGGTATTTCACTTCTGTCGATTTCCTCTTTATTGATGTGAATTGTGATACCTTTGACCAACACACATTTATGCTGGGATCACTAAAAAAGAATTACTCTATAGAAAGTGTTTGCTTGCAAAAATAGTTTTCTTTTCATTAGGCTATATGCCAATACAAAGAGAACACAATTATAAATAATACTTAGTTGTTTTTAAATTTCCCACTGATCAATAATTCTCAACTTCACTAGAAAACATATCCCAGGTTTACCCTTAAAAGGTATTTATTTCGCGAGTCCGTTTTTCTAGGTTATTCATGATACCTCATAAGTTTACGTTACTTCAGATTACAAACCAGTGTTATAAATTCCAAATTAATAAATCGTTTATTTTTAGGTTTGAGTAACGTACCTGAAGACACAGAGCATTCTTCTGAAGATCCTCAATCGATTTCGTCTACCCGACACGTTTCAACTAGACGTACAAATGTTGCTCAGGTAAAAGTACAAAAAAATGTAATCGATATTCCTCATATATTTTCGCAATCTGTATATATTGTGAAATGATTACTGGGTCATTTCACTAGACATAGTCGTATACATTATTATGGTGTTGTAGCTTAATAGCTGAATGTTTAACTTTCAACTATCTGGTTTCCGATTTGACTTCCATTCTACCTCCGAAGGTTTAGGACATTGTTTGTCATTGTTTGCCTTCATACCATATGTACGGTTTAGAATCTAATATGTGCAAATATATGTGACAAATACGTCTTTGCTATTTATTACTGTTATCCAAGTATTCATAAGGGAAAAGATCACATTAATCGTTATTTGAGACCCAATGTATTCATGTTTCGCACCTTATAAAATGTTCAAGTCGCTTGTAAATGTAACACCTTGCTTCCTATCAAAAAAACTATTATTGTAGTAAAATTTAGTTTAGCGTTTTCTTGAAAGCTATTGGGGTTTACTAGTACCTTGATTTTCACATAATAATATCCCTCTTCATAATTTTATGTTGATCTTTTGTCACCCTTAAGAGAATACTTATGAAAAATAATATGCATCATGTTATGCAAAACACCCTTTCCATTTTTCTAAATTTCTATTTGATTGATAATAATCTGAAATAAGAATATATATAAATGAATGACTAATTACACTAATCCTCATTTTATTGAAATAGCTCTTTTACGATCCCCAAGAATTAGGTTTTACAGTCGGTACGTGATAAGTCATCTGTAAACTAATCATCTTCAATCACCTTTGACATCTTTTAAAGTTTAGTTTATTTTAATAGTTTGTATATACGCATGTCATTATACAATATAATAAACCTACTCCTCTGGTTAGTAGTCTTGTCTTGGATTTCAAATCATTTGGGGTTTTCGAGTGCTGTTAGAGGTATGAGGCTGGTTGTTATAAATAGGGTATTAGGTATGAAAAGTCGATTTATGAGGTAGTGAATCTTCATCAGCTGAGGGTTTTGGGAGATCTGTTACGTATCCCCGTCCACCGCGTACCTCAATGGGTGTTGTCTGGTGTAGGAGCAGGTTGGAAGAAAGCTAGGGGTGGTGAGACCAAGACATATCATCAGTCCATGAAGTCATCGACTGTTGGACAGAACCATGTTCATCGGTGTCTGCGTGATTACCGTAACCAATGGTTAGAGACTTTGAACATGAGTGAGAATCGTTTGCAATAGAGCAGATGCATCCATTCTTTGTCTTCCCTCAAATTCTTTGATCCTTAATTTCTCATTACTTTTTTTCATACTTTTATTTCAGTAATTTATTTATATCTTCATAAGTCATTCGATGCCTATTCTTTTCAATCAACACTGATGCCGTTACTACCTCTAATATTCAGGGACTTGCCTTCGATTCGTTGGATAGGACTGTTCTCTGGGATTGTCTATTGAAGAGGGGTGTGCATGAGAAGTTTATTAGCATCCTAAAAGCCCTATATACGAACACCTCAGGCAGAGTGAGGGCATACAACCACCTCTCTCTACTGTTCCATCCAAGCAGTGTAGTTGTGCAAAGTTGCTCAATCTCATGATTCCTCTTCAGATTTGCTACCGATAACGTTCTGGAGACAGCTCTGATGGATGTAGGTAGTTGTGATACGGATCTGTTACCTGGAGAAACACTTCCCGACCTTGAGTATACGGATGATATTGTCTTACTGTACGATGATACCCAAGCCATTCAATCCGCACTTAATCAGTTGGCAATCAGTGTCCGTAAATATGGTATGTGCTTTGCATCTTCGAAGTGCAAAGTACTTCTACAAGACTGACAAGACCCTGATCCTGCACCCACCCAGGGTAGTGAGTAGATAGTAGTTGAGGTGTTCGTGAATCTGCGCAGCTGCATAAATGCTGGTGGTGGCGTGAGTGATGAGATCGATTCACGTATAGTAAAATCCAGAGCGGCTTATGCCAATCTGGGCCATCTTTGTCGCCTTCTTGATGTTAGTCTGGCTGCAAAAGGTCGGATCTACAACGCGTCGATGAGAGCAGTTTTGCTCCATGTTATGAGACCTGGTATCTCCGAGTTGAGGATGTTAGACGACTCTCTGTGTTTGGTCATCGTTGTGTCCGAAAAATTGCTGACATCCAGTGGCAATATGATGATAGTAATCCAGAGGTTTGGCATCGTGTGTCCGGGCACAGCGACGATAATTTGATTCGTGTCATTATCCTGAAACATCGACTTCGGTGGCTTGGACATGTTCTACGAATGTCGTCCCAGAGAATTCCACGTCGTGCATTATTTGCCGACGCTGGGATCAGTTAGAAAAAGCGGTGTCGTGGTATGAAAGAAAGCTGCAAAGGGCTGGCTTTTGTTGGTCCTTCACAACTCCCTGGCTGGGGTCCGAGAGATGGTGCAACAAAGTGGCTAGAGACGTTATCAGATATGGCTCAGAATAGAAGTCAATGGCGATCCTGCTGTAACCTTTTACTTTCTTAGTAAAAAGCGGTTACTTCTTCCTTAACTGAAAGATTTCTTCTGATTGTAACTTTTCTTTTCCTCCGTTATTACTACTATTACACTACGTTACACTAATCTGTTCGTTATTTTTCTTTTTTTTAAGCTCCTTGCCCTCCTTTCTTTTTTTCCCTACTCTTTAAATTCTCATTGTTTTGTGTGGCGCATATATATTTGGTGCCCCCATGTACCAATATTTATGTGTTCAAATAAATAATAAATAAATTCCGGGACCATTTTATATCGCTGTGCTAATGAGGTATGTTAACTTGAACCGATGTTTGTACGTGCCAAGTCCTACGTTGTGATTGACCGACTTAAATTCGGGGATTGATGTCAGTAATTCATATCATTGTTTATCATCTGTCTATCAGTTATTTTTCCCCCTTTATAACAATCGAAGATTTCGTCCACTAAACCTTTATTGATAACAATCTCTTAGTCACTAGAATAAGCATAAGTGGTTGTTTGTATTGATGTCAAATCTAGTTAAGCACTGTTGATGTGAAGTCGATAATATGTTCATAAGAAGAAAAATTCATCTGAATATAATATTATGTAGATTGAAATAAATTATTGTTAATAATTTTACTTCTCTGTGTTGACATGGTGTGGTAACGTAAATTGATGCACATATGTTCCAAGTTCTATGTTACTTTGACTAATGTAACACATTAACCAACTGAAGATCCATGTACTCAGCTTCAAGTCAAATATTCTTTTTCAGGATTTCTAATATTGAGGGACTACATACAGTGTTCATGCATACATGTTGATGTCTAACCTTGTTCATATAATACCTACCTAGCTTTTTCAGTCGATTTTTGTTCTATATGATGGATACAAACATTCTTGAATAGAGATTTTTTAATTCATATCATATCATTGTGATAACAGTATTTACTTTTTAAACTCTCTTCATTAACATTTTATAATTCATGTACTCAAGTAACTATTAATTGTTAATTATCATTAGTACGAGTTACCATACCACATTAGCACAGAGATGCAGTTATCGATTCAAATCCCGTAGTGGTAGAGGTACTAAAAGTATAAGTAGTAATCGGGAACATTAGGGTTTGAAGATGTTATTCAAGCAATATAATCCAGTGAAATAAATTTGGAAAGAAAATAAAGGATATGAAGAATTCAGAAGATTAGAATTTGAGAGAACACAAAGAGTGGATGCACCTGCGTGATTACAAACGAGTTTGAGCCATGTCATTCAAGATCTCTAACCATTGGTTGCTGTCGTCTCGCGAACCCCAACCAGGTAGTCTATACCTACCAACATGGCTCAGTCCACTTGTCAGTGACTTCATGGGTTTGTGCCATGTTTTGTTCTGGCCGCCCCTAGCTTTCTTCCAACCTACTCCTACACCACAAAACATCGCACGTCGGGGAAGTCTGTGGTTGGGCATACGTAACACGTGTCTCAGCCATCTCAACTGATTAAGCTTCATTACTTCATCAATTGATTTGCCATCTTTACCTAGTACACGTTTCCTAACAACTGAGTTACTTACTCGGTGGTCCCAGGATATACGAGCGATGTTTCGAAGACACCTATAATCCAATACTAGTAACCTACGAATATCCTCTACTCTTACCGGCCATGTTTCACAGCCATAAAGTAGGACGGAACGAACTGCCGCGCAGTAAACACGTCCCTTGGTTGATAGACAGATATCTCACCTACGCCACAAATGATGCAAGTTGGCAAAAGCTCGTCGAGCCTTCTGTATCCGTGTTGAGATTTCGTCACACACCAGACCACAAGGGCTGATGAGACTTCCAAGATCAGTGAAGCGGTTGACACTCTCATCTACTTCACTCCCTATCACTAGTTCGGGTGCCGATGCAACCTAATCCTGAAGCAATATTTTGCATTTCGAGGGAGAAAATCGCATTCCGAACATGCCTGCATTGTTGCTTAGAGTGGTCAGTAGACTCTGCATTTTGTCAGCGTCTTCACCAAATAGAACAATGTCATCGGCATACTCTAAGTCAAAAAGTGAATCTCTCGGTAGAAGTTCAACCCCTGGAAATTTAGACGAGGAAAGTGTTATCTCTCTCAACGACAAAGTTAAACAAGAATGGAGAGAGTGGACAGTCCTGACGAACACCACTTGAGGTAATCAGTTCTGATGACAGTTCTCCATAAGCTCTCACTCGACCAGTTGTGTTCGAGTAGAGAGCCTTTATAAGGTTAATGTACTTCTTTGGTACTCCTTTCAGTGACAAACACTGCCATAAGACATCACGACCAACAGAGACAAATGCCGCCTTAAGGTCGAGAAATACTATCATTGTGGGGCGTCTGAATGTGTGTCTATGTTCTAGAACCTGACGTAGTGTGAATATCTGGTCTATACAACCACGTGCAGGTCGAAAACCAACCTGATTTTCTCTAATATGTTCTTCACGAGCTTCAGTTAGGCGTCGAAGAATTATTGAAGCTAATATTTAAGACACTATATTAGTTAAACTAATTCCTCTGTG